TCGCTTTTATCCGAGCCATAGCAGGACCTTCAGCATTAGATACATTCTTGTAACACTCTAGGCAACGTTTACGGACTTTCCGGCTAGGACCAGGCAGCGTATCAATATAATGTTGGTTTTTTGGCACATCATGGCAAAGTGGAGTGTTTTCAACGAGTAATTTTTCAATTATGGACTCCCTAAATTTTAACAAATCCATTTTTTTGGTTCCAAACTTTTGGTGTATATACCACGCATTCGTGACGGAAGTGCCACATAGCAATTGGAATACAACTTTTTTGTACCATTTTATTGTTTTCCTGAGACTACTGTAGTAAGATGCTAGTTGGTCTGACAGATCTACCCCTGTTTTAGCAATATTGTAGTCAAACACAGCGTCTGGTTTTTCTTTGTTATCGCATTCAATAATATCACAAGTATGTTCGGGAATTGTTGTTAATAAACATACCGTTCGTTTGTCCGTCCATTTCACAAATTTAACATTGTTACGATTTATTGCTGAAAAACTTTCACCACGCTTCTGTTTCTTTTTTACGTCTTCGGGTAGAAATCTTCTATTGGGTTTTATGGTACCGCAAATGTATGTGGAGTGCTGCAACAGTTCCTCCGCCAATGGAACGCTTGTATAATAACTGTCCGTATATAATTTCCTATTTGCGTCCAAACATTCACGCATCAAGCGCATCACTACGTCATGCGAGTGAGAAATTTTTATCTTTTCGCCATTTTTTCCGGCATACACTTCAAACTTGAAAGTGTATCCACCCGGAGAGCAAAGTTTGTATTGTTTCACTCCATATTTGTGCGCTTTCCCTGGAATGTATTGCCTGAAGCTAAGCCGTCCTCGCCAGGGAACTATGCTTTCGTCTATAACTACTTTTTTTCCAGGTTTGACAGCGGCTTGAAAATTAGTATTAATTTTCTCCATCTCCGATTTGTTGAAATATTTGCATTGTTATCGCTAAAATGCAGGTATTTCAGTATGTGCAGGAAACGATCACGGGACATCTGTTGTTGGATACGTTGATTTGCGTACATCGGATTATTTGACCAATAAAGGCGAATTTCTGGAACTTGCACAATGCCCATAAGATGCACAATACCAAGGAATGTATGCAGATCTGCTGATGTTATTGGTCTCCAATTTAATTGATGTCTTCTATTTTCATTGTCATGGGTGTCTTGTTCCATACACTGTACGGCATACCTATTGGTTTCAAGAATTATTTGCTCCATCACGGAATCCGTCAGAAATAATCGGTATAAAGCAATTGGATCGTCACAATCAACATTGTGTAGAAGGCGTTCATCGTCACATATTATTTCACATCTCTGCACTCCGTTTATTGGTTTCCATTCGGTATCTCTGTTATCATCTTCGTCGATGTCATCTGCATCTGTTTCATCCGAAGAACTGGTTAACACTAATGGTCTCGATTCGTTTAGTACAGTAGTAAAGATTGATTCGCCTGACGAACTTTCCTCATCTGACGAAAACATTTTAGATCTATGAATAATTTGAAAGATTATTTTTCGTTTTTTTCGTATATTATTTATTATAAATATATCTTACCTAATATAAAAAAATTGAAACAAATACGACAACAGGAAACTGGCTGTATGTGTACTGGCGTGGAGACAACCAGTCTTTCGGCCTCTGGTTGATGAACAGAACTTATTTACGATTTGATGGCTTATATATGCCGTCCTACACAAAGACAGTTTCATTAGGGCGCACAAGGAATTCCTAGACTAAACATAAACTAAAGGTCTTAGACTAAACATAGACTAAAGTTCTTAGACTAAACATAAGATAAAGGTTCTTAGACTAAACATAAGATAAGACTAAGTAAAAATATAATACAAGAAAATTAATGAAAGTTACTTCGAATAAATAGTGACCGACCGAAATTTCAGTCGTCACTTGCCATCTCAGTTTGCACATATTTTAGGTCGGACTTTAAAGATAAAGGCATTCATTACAAAGAAAATAAATAAATGCCGACGCATTTGCAAAAACAATCGCTTTTAGCTTTAGCAAGGCATAACCACCAGTGGCGCACAACTGAATTAAATAAACAGAGATGATAACGCTCAAACGCCGCCCGATGCGGCGGACACTCAAAAACCGCGCCGGCGTCAACGTGTTAACAGATACTGAAATGAACATGTGATGGCTGATTATTCTTGGAGCATTCAAAATAGTACTCATAATACATCTCACTCTAGAAAATCCAAAAAAAGGAAATTTCATTCAGAATAATAAATCTAATAATTTTTTTAAACTTAAACTATGTGCATTTTCAATGAAAAACCTTGTCACTTCATAACTCCAAAACTAGAGCTGCTACATAAATACAGCATATATTTTCGAAATCAGCGTGGAAAAACTATCCAGATTCATGTAAAAAATCTCATGCAACAGACATGCTGTTTTCCAGTGTTATTTATCTATAGAAAAATCAATAGAAATTTTAAGTATTTTACTGGATTATCAAGCGAAGCGACAACAATTTAACGCAAAAGAATCGTCATAAAACGATAATTTTTCCTACAATAAAATGTATTACCGGTGTAATTAGTTGCTTCAGTGAGGCCCTAGGCGCAAATCAGGTTTGGGGCCCCTAAATCCGAAGATTTTCAAAAACGGTTATATAAACATTGTAAATTATGCGTTTTATAACAGGTATTAATATAACAAAGACAAAAAAAATTAAAAAAATATATTCTAATACTACCACAATAAAATAAAAGACAATACAAATTTAAATACAAATTACAAATTTACTTTTTTTGCTTTCTCTTGGGCAAAGATTCCAATAATTTTGTTGTACTCTAGTTTTTTAAAACATATAATTTTCTATGAACATTAATGCCAAGTCATTTAAGTGCTCTTGTGAAAGACTATTGCGCAGATAGTTTTTGACTCGTTTTAAAACTGAAAATGTCCTTTCTCCACTTGCATTAGAAACGGGCAAGGTCAAAAAAATTTGCAGTATTGTGTGTATATTTGGAAAAGTTGATTTTACACCATTACTTAATGTTGCATACATTTCATGTGGATCTCTAATATTTTCTTCCTGTATGTATTTTAGAAAATGAGTTAACTCATTAGTGAAATATTCTGGCTCAATATCTTTTTCATACTTAGACAATAATCGCTCGACACAATTATTAGTCTCAACTCAGCTTAATTTTAAATCAAAGAAAATTTTAAAATCGTTAAGAACATTGATATAGACATCACCCCTTCGAAATAATGAATATTCCAAAAAAGAGTTACCCGCTATTTTACAACCTCAATGGAATATTCCACCTCCACAGATGTTCGAATTTTAAAAAAATTGACAATATAGGGGAGAGTAGGGTAATGGGAGTCAGCGGGTAATGGGAGTCACCCATATATCCACGAAACAATAGTTACGAGTAACGCGTAAACGGCGTTCCTACCTCCGTTCTGGCCCCCCAGTGCCACCCCCGACAAATCATGCAAATCGGTGCGTGTATCATTGAGATACGCCAATATTTTATTTTTGAGCTCCGCTGATCTAATTTTACGTCCACGCAAATTAGAAGATAAGTGTCGAATATCTTGCAATATTCGAATGAAACTTTTATATAGTCTTAGTTAAATATTCAAAATCGTGATGTGCAGTTCATATTACATTAATGTTTTGAAGAAATATTTTTTTTGTTTTTTTTTTTTCACAATAGTGCAATTGTGGGCAATGGGAGTCATGCGACTCCCAATGGACGTTTTTGTCTTTAGTCCGCTCTAAATGGCCTATAAAAAGCAATGTGACTTATTTTTCAATAGCCTTCTTGCAGAAACGTTACTACAGGAAAGTAACAAAACTTATGATTCCAATATTGGCACTGATGACTTATGCCAGGGCGATGAGGATGAAGATTTGGAAAACTGATGTCTAATGTGCAACGATTTAAAAAAAAACAATTAAATGTGGTTCAGATGCACTTCATGTGGGCTATGGGCTCATGTGAAATGCACTGGGTGGGACTTTGCGGAATATTATGTCTGCGATATCTGCTAGATTTCGTTTGATTCCGATTGTCTCCAGGGTGACCACCATTACCCGCATATCGGTGTAATGCGAGTCAAATCTGTTTTTTTTTTAAACTTTAATAATATCCTAAATTGATTGTCAAATTGACTGAAAATTATTTCAAATAATAGGTATTTAAGTAAACAATGCTTATAAGCAATTGCAATAAGTATTTTGTTTATAATTTAAATTATATTTGAGTTCTCCCTTAAGTGACCCCCATTACCCTCTTTTACCCTACTACTCGCATTATAGCTACAACTTTCTAATGCAACATTCAAGAAAAGGCCTCCTGAGGGAGGAGCCTCAGACTCTGACAACAAATTGCTGATTTATTATCACAATATACCAGTGTTGGCTCAGTCTCGTTAGGAATTATTGGGCCAATTACATGGCCATTGCCATGTACTCTGCTTCAGCTGTTGATAATGCAACAGTCTTCTGAAGACGGCTCTTCCAGCATACGGCTGCGTTTTGTAGCGTGAGTACATACCCAGTTACTGAGTGGCGTGAAGTAGTGTCATTTCCCCAGTCAGCATCGGAGTACATTGCTATATTTAATTTTGCTGATTTCTTGTATCTCAAGTTTATGTTTACAGTACCTTTGAGGTATTGAAAAATCCTTTTCACAGCATTTAGGTGTGTTGTCTTTGGCTCCTTTGAAAATCTACTTAAGTACGTAGTTGCGTATGCGATATCTGGTCTTGAAATACAAGTGACGTACATCAGGCATCCAATCATCTCTTGGTAATTGGTTACGTCCACATTTTTACCATTAGTATCATCAAACTTTATTCCTACCGGCATCGGTGTTTTGACTGGGTGGCAATTTGATAATCCGAGTATTAAGTTTATGTATTCTGATTGATCCAGGGTGATGGTTCCTTTGGATATGTCTTGTTGAATTCTTATTCCAAGAAACTTCTTGACTGGACCTAAATCTTTTATCTTAAATACATTCATCAACTTTGATTTCGAATCTATAATATGATTTACATTTTTGGACAGTATTAGGATGTCATCAACATACGTTACAATTATAGTTAATTCATTTTCAATAGTTTGGAAATATAGACATGGATCGGCTTTCAGAGACTCATATTTCTTTCGCATTGCTTGGACCCATTCGTTGCTCATTTCGTCATCTAAGGCATCTTTGAATGTGCTGGGTTCTTCAATTGTTGCGTTGCAAACAAAATCGTTCCATGTTTTTGGACATGGCTTTCTTTTAGATCTTCTTTCTCCTTCTTTATCTGGATGTTCATCATCATTTGTGTCTGCATCTTCGGAATAGGAATCTGGTACGTAGTCGCTGTCTGAGTCGACTTTTTCTGTTACCTCTATTTCGTCGTCGTCCTGTTGTTCATCAGGTTCGGCATTTTCATCTGTGATTGAGTCGTCTGGTGCTTGTCGATCTTCTTTGGGTTGATCTTCTCGTTTTTGTTGGAGGCTGAACTCGAAGGTGTCATCCTTATCGTTGCTACATTTATTTGTATTGAAGACCCCTTCAATGAAGCTAACATCACGGCTGACAACGATTTTCCGTTCTTCTTCTAACCAAATTCTATAGGCTTTGCTTTCTTCGCTATAGCCAACGAATGTTCCAAGAGTCGATTTCGTCTCCAACTTGGTTCGATTTGGTTTTTTATTTAGAACGTAGGCTTTGGAACCATAAATCCTCAGGTGTGTTACTACCGGTTTTCTTCCAAACCAGATTTGGAATGGTGTAATAGGATGGGTAGTATTTGATACACATCTGTTCCGTATGTAGTTAGCTGTCACAACGGCCTCTGCCCAAAAGGTTTCTGGACATTTTGATTGTATCAGCATACATCTGGCCATCTCAATTAATGTGCGGTTTTTGCGTTCAGCTAATCCGTTTTGCTGTGGTGTGTAAGGGGCGGTAAGTCTTCGTTGTATGCCATGTTGCGACAAATAGTCATTCATCTGTTTGTTAACGAATTCTAATCCATTATCAGATTGAAGATATTTCAGTTTCTTACCAGAAACTTTTACAACTGTGTATCGTGATTTTTGGTCAGTAAATGTGACCATGTATCGTGAACCTCCATTCGAGACAGTAGTCATGGGGCCACACACGTCTGTATGAACATACTCTAGTAGTTCATTTGCTTTGTTGCTGGATGCTTTTGGAAATTCTTTCCTTGTCATTTTTCCTTGGGTACAAACTTCACAAATGGGATTTTCGCTTGTTATTTTCAATGGTTTAGGATTCACTCCTATTACAGATTCTTGGGCAATCATGTCTTTCAATGCTCTTGCATTTAGATGGCCGAATCTGTTATGCCATAGTTTGAAAATTTCATCGCTCTTGGCGTCTGTGAAGTTGGCATAGTCGTTCGATTGATTTCTCACCACATATAGGTCGTCTTTTCTATCTGCAACCGTAGTAAGTGCACCTTGTTTATTCCGAACGATGGCCTTGTGTTTGTAGAAGGTTACTTCGTACCCCTTATCTGTAATTTTGGAAACAGACATTAAGTTTAAGTTCAGGTTTGGAACGTACAGCGTATTTGGTAAATCACAAATTTTGTTTGTTGGTCCGATGTCAGCATTTATCTGGAGAGAGCCTATTCCTTCAGATTTGGAATTGCTTTCGTTCGCCATGTTGACATTCTTAACGGATGACTTCAAATCATAGAAAACTTCCTTTGAGTTGCACATATGAGAGGTACATCCACTGTCTAAGATCCACTCATTTCTGGATATGCCTTCTTTCACAGAAGTACATTGTTCATTGACATAATAAGACTCTTGTTTATTCTTATTGAACCAACAATCCGCTATTACGTGACCTTTCTTCTTACACTTTTGACAAGTTTTTGTCTTTCTGTTCTCATTAGTCGCCTTGGACTTCGAGTTGTTGTATGTATTGTTCTTTGGTTTTCTCCAAGCAGCCATCGCACTCGACGTTGATGGGTCGTTGTTTCTGTCGCGACGAGAGTCGGATTCCTCTATGATTTTCACTTTCAAGTTTTCTATCGTAGGTAGCGCGTCTCGGCTCTCTATGGCGATGCGGAAGTTGTCGAAAGACTCAGGTAGACTGTACAGCATGATGATTTTCAGCAATTCCTCGTTGATGTCGAGTTCCATGTCTTGCAGCTTGTCCACGGTGTCTGCGAGCTTCGCTAGATGCACGCGCAGATCTTCGCCCTCAGACATTTTTGCGAACAGTAGTTGTTTCAAGAGGTTGGCCTTTTTGCAGGTCCTCGTGGCTCGTGAATTGCAGATAACTTGCTCCAAACTTCTCTAGAAGTTTTGCGATGTTTAATTTCACGCAATTCGGAAACATTAATTGAAAGAATTAAATCGGACTTAGCTTTTGCATCGTTGCTGTCCCACGCAGCGACTTCGGCGATGGTTTTCGGTGTGTCCGGGTCTAGCGTTGGTCTTTCGTTAGTTCCATTGACGTATTCCCATCCACCGGTTTTTATGAGGAGTGCTTCAGCCTGGATTTTCCACGTGTCGTAGTTGGCCTTATCGAGCAGTTGGATTCTCGTTGTTGCATTCATTTTTCACTTAACTTTATTTTTCGCAAGAAATATTGTTTGTAACTTATCTTTACTATATTGGCGATTGGCCTGGGCCCATAACCTGTTAAGGATATGGTCGGATCGTTAAAGTAAAGACAGATTTCGTATATCAAAATGTTATTTCTTAGAAGCGTGTGTATTCGACTGTACTATTGTATTTATTCATTGTATGCAACCATGCGTCTGGAATATTCCATGGAACTTCTGGGCCTTGTGTCGCTGTTAAACAGCACCATTTTGCGTTTCGCTCTGTGGCATTAGCACCATCTCCTCGTTCCTTGTATATTTGGAACTTGAATACGTATGCTGCTCCCATCTGTGCGGTTGATTCGCATGATGCTGATACAGGTTGCATGGTCCTTTGTGTCCATTGTTTTCCTCTCCACCCTGCTAGATTGTGTGTTACACACGATCCGGCCGGTCTTCCCATGCGGAAGTTCGGGATCGGGTTGTTGTCGTCCATTGTTAGTGCCATCACAATATCGGCTGCAACGCCTAAGGATGGAACTTCTTCAAAGAGATTGTGGCTGTCCACGGTTATGTTTGGTGAATGATATCCACCTAACCCTTGTGCCACGGCAACTGGTAGCTCAGGAATTTCAATATATATTCAATATATATTCCACATCAACAAAAATCATCTACACGATAAATACTTAAATATTAAAGAAAACATCCAGATATACAAACACAAAATCAAACAACTGCTAAACGAACAAATAAACTCCATACACGACTTTTTAAAATACTTAACAAACTCCGCATACCCACAACACACGATAACACACCATAACATAAACACTTAACACGCAGAACACCCCTAATATACAAGACAAGTTTTTTCAGGGCGAAACATGTAAAACTCAAAAATACAACTGTAAATTCAAAATCACGTAAATTTTAATAAATAAATATATTTTTATACATGCACAACATGGATTACGTATTCGACATCGAGAGTAATAAAATCAAACCACTTAATAAACTCCACATACCACAGCACATAACGATAACATAAACATTTAACACACAAAACACCCTCTAAACACAAAATCAAATTAGTGACTGAAGCGAAATATGTCTACCTCAGAAACATTTTTGTAATAACTTAAACATGGATTACGTATTCGAAAAAGAAAATAAAATGAAATAAAGTTTTCTTATACTTACAGCATGTTTAAATTGTTCTGAAGTTCTGAAGATCAGTAAAAGTTGTGTGGCCGGGGTTGTGATTCAAAACTCACTGACCGCTCCGCTTTTTTTATGCCAACTATCACCCGAAAAAGTAGATAAAGTTGTAGGAGGAGGATACACGTTGTTGTGTGTATCGCAAATATGAAAAAATGATACGAAGAAGCCATAAATTCGACGCAGTCCATATTCTAAATCTAGTACGTAACGTACGAAGTGAACACAGAATTAGACCATTAATCTGTCTACCTATTGTAATACTCGTCACTCTCGGTTTGATTATGGTCCTGCTGTCATTCTCATCGTGGAGCTCCAGTAAGCATCTTATCCGTTTGCGGAGGGTATCGTTCGGCGTGTTGGTAAGTATCGTTCCGTATGTTTTTATTTGTCGTTTTTGGTATCACTCTTTGTTTTTCAGGAAATCGTGCTGGATGTTTAGAAGATCAGGGAGAGAATCTTTCCGCCAGCTGCTTATATATGCCTTTTTTCACCTGTTCCGGTTTGTTGTATAGATTATTGATTTTCCGCTAGGTTTGCTAGTGGATCTACGATAGTCCATCGCTGTGTCGCGCGATCTCGTGGACTATGGTGTCCTTAAGAACATTTGCGCGGGAGGTTGAGAAGATGTTTTCCTCGATTTTCTTGAACCAACGTTTTTTTGTAGGTTTATTTTTACAGATCGCTTTCTTTTAAGGCTTGTCCACTGCAACGATTGCCAGATCGTCCGCATATACTATGAGGGATACCTCGGGTTTTACAGGTAAGCACAGTACTTAATACATAATACATAATAAACATTTCATAGATATGGTCCCAGAATTGATCCTTGTGGAATGGCGCATATTATGGGGAACGTGTCATTTCCAGCCATTATCTTTTTTTCCTGAAATAGCCTTGTATCATGTATATTAACTGTAGTTTATCCTTCCTCTTCCTTAGTACCTTGTAAGTGCCATTCTGTTGATGCCCATTGAAGAAGTTTTCGGAGTTTACGAGTACACATACCAAGGAATCTACAGCATCCGTCGCCGCGGAGAGATGCGCGTGATTCAAGGTAAGTTTTACTTTTAGAAAAGCCGTTCATGATTTTAGATATATTAAAAAATGTATGTGTTTTTCAATGTTGTCAATAAAATAAAATGTAATATTATAAACTCCTTCATATGTCTTTTTCGTATCCCCTTTGTATTTCTCAAGTTTGACGTCTTAATCATGTTCCATATAAAACTTGAGGGCGTGTACGACATCACTGTTGCTTGTGTTTGTTTTTAAAAATTGTGTAAAGCAGAAACATAAATAGAAGAATCAAATAATAATGATAAAAACACTCGGTGGTCGAGTGGTTACGTGCACCTGCTAGCATGCTAGTAAACACGGATCGAATCTCAGGTATGGAAGGCATTTTTCTCAAATATAAAAATAACGGGTGTAATTTGGGTTGCATATGCAAACTCAAATGAAGTATGAGAGAAGTTGCAATACAACTGAAGACAGTATGAGAAGTAAGAAAGTAAGTGGAGAGGAAGGAGTAGCAGAAAAAAGTAGAAGAAGAAGGCGTAGTAGAGAATAGGAGAAGATAGAAGGAAGAGAACAGGGGAGGATCAGATTTTTAAATTTTTTGGCGGCGTGTCGTTCTATAAGACAGTCACTGCTTCGATGCGTCCACTGCTCCCGGCCCATCCTACAGCTGCGATGTCTCTACGCTTCATCCCCAGGATACTCAGGCATATCAACAATTTTTATGGTGGGGGATCATCCCCAGAGAGAGGGAACTCCTTATAAGGACAATCCTGATAAGGTAAGGTTAAAATATTTTTAAATTTTAAGTCGTCTTAAAAGAGGTAACACTTAAAAATATTTTTACAAGTTCTGACCTGTACCTGAAATGAAAGGAGTACACAGTTCATATAGGATACCTTAACAATTTTATAGTGGGGATCATCTCCTGAGAGGGGGAACTTTTCCTGAAATGATAGAAGGGGTACATACAAGCCATAAGTCAAAATCTTTCTTAACAGTTCTTTATTATAATAAATACAATATAAGTTTGGATTTTACAAGTCAACAGAATATGTGTCGCCATATTGAAACAGGACTTACGACCGGCATAGCCGCGCACATGCAAACAAGTATCACTTAGTATAGCTCTACTGGGATCAAGAAGTTAGCAAATAGCCCATTTTCTACGTGATTGTAAATGAAAACAAATATACAAGGTGTCGCAGAAAGAAAATTTAAAGTGCAATAAAAACTTTGAACACTGCAAATTTCACTCGACAATCAGGAAAACTAATATACAGGGTGTTACAAATATACTATATTGAAAATAAACAGAAAAAAACATCCATATCCTATTAATATTGCTCAATTTTTGCCCGACTATCAAGGAAATTGGTATACAGGGTGTTCCCGAATGAAAATTCGAAGTGCAAAGAGGAGAAATCAAAAAACAACATATATTGCAAAATTTTCACGGACACAAAGAAAAACGAGTATACAGAGGGTTGCAAAAAGAAAATATTAAATTGAAAAAGAACGACACTCCATATTAACAAGAAAAACGCATTTTCTAAAGATGTAAATGAAAACTAATATACAGGGTGTTACAGCAAGCAATTTTCAAATTCAAAAAGGACTACATTCCAAATCAACAACGAAGCGTACTTCCCAAAGATGTAAAAGAAAACTATGATACAGGGTGCTCCAAAAACAACGAATATAGCATATTTTCCACGTACACTAGATGAATACAAATACACAGGGTGTTGAAGAAAGAAAACTAGTAGTTTTAAAAAATACAATGTTCAAGAAAGAAAACTAACACAGCTTTCAAATACTGTCTATTTTTCACGTGCAGTTAATCAAAACTAGGACACAGAGCAGCACAAAAAAATCCAAAAGACGGAATGGATTACAATGAATTAAAGAAACAAGATACAACGTCGGTGTGAACGGGTAAAAAGTAAAAGAATTGCAAACGCGAGGTTCGTAAATTATCACACGACAAACGAAAATTATTAATTATAACGAAAATTGTTATTGAGAAACATGCATTGCAAGAGAACGTGGTTTATTATTTATTACTGTCCGACGGCCGACGGAACCTGATTGGTATTTAATAATAATATGAACGTTTAATAAATTCGATATACAAGCGACGGCAACATGCTCATGAACAATTGATTCAAGATTTATGGACATTTTACGCGTGATAACTCATGAATTACACAATAGACCAGACACGCACGTTGCTACTAATTGCCGTCGATTGTTGATCAAATAAGTAGTATTTGATTTATGACGTCAACGAGAGTAAAACCCTGATAGTAATATAAATCTCTGTTATATAGGTGGTACGTGATGAAGTCCGACGGCACGATAAAAGAATTAAAGATCGCAAGTCTAAGAAATACCGCGTAAAATGTTACACCGCGTGTGTTGGACGCGATGAATAAGATCAAACTGTTTATTACACACGGGTAGAATCAGATAAAACATCACCACAAAACATACCTTTTATCTTGAAATTAATGAGAGGAGAATGAATCCACGATTTACAAATCTTCGACGCACGATGTAATCACAGTTAAATATCACGCACTAAACGAGTATAATCACATAATTTAGGCTATGATTAAAGAATACAGCGTGATTTACCGAAGAATATTCTCAAAACGCATGGCAAATTTCGACCGTAGCGCGATCACGACGAACGCGCGGGATGCACTGAGAACAAAAGATAAGAGCACATGTTTACCTTGTTTTTGTTTTGTCGCTTGCCGGGGCTGTGAGAGGTGGAGAGAACTGAAATCGCAGCGACGTCATGGCGCGTGTTAAACAAAAATGTTGCGTCAGTTGCTTCTTTTTCCTATCAGACCTTGATATTGAGATAAAAAGCATTTAAAAAGCAAAAGGTTTTGTTATTTTATTATCTATACTAGGTATATGATTATTATTACTATTTCATAGTTATCCATGAATAACAAATGCACACAAATTAATTTTAAAAATCAAAGTGTTTATGAACAAAAGTAATGACAGAAAACTAACTTCTCGAAAATAATCAGTAGCAAGATATCACATCAACGCCGTAGTCGGCTTTCACCCTTCGTCTAAACATCACCCACCTTTTGGCACAGTTCAAAATTTAACCATTCCCTAAGTTTCGAAATTGCAAAATTTTTTAGTTAATATACCGTCTACAATGGCAACTATTATGTTGAGACGTTTTGCTGTGAGCGCCGCCCAGGCTCTGCGCAACTACAACATCGAGCTGCTGGCCCAACAGGCACAGCAGCAGGTGGCTGCGTTGAGTACGTCACCGGCGGTGGCCACCAAGAAGAAGTGCGTAACACCCTTGGACAAGTGCAAGAAGAAGGCGAAGAAGTGCAAAAAAAGTCTCAAGAAGTGCAAACTGGAGCGTAAGTGCGCCAAGTTGGCTGCCAAGAAGAAGAAGTCTAAGAAATCTTGCAAAAAGAGCAGGACGGGCAGGAAGAAGTGAACAACCTCACGCTTAACTAAGCGAGTTAAGCATGGTGTCGATTTGGCGCACTTGGCGTTCCTTTGCATTATCATCCAATCAGATCGGAACGACCAACAGAAGTTGATGACTTATTGCGGTGACGACGACTATCGCTTCATCAGTTGCGTGAATCAGAAAATTCGGCCATTTTGTGACACAAGATCCTGTCTCATATTTTCAATATGCATCATAACTTGGTAATGAAACTGTACTCACGAATTTGAGAATAAAATCAACGCCTTGCTATCATAATACATAATTTAGTTATTTATTTCAGTGCGCTGAGCAAAACGTCATATTAACTGAAATTTAAGTAATTCAATTGATTTAAAGTGTATTATTCACTTGACGCATCTTAACCGGTCTAGCCTGGACGATGCTCTCTTTATATCCTTTTCCGCTTTCTTCTTGCCGTCCTCCGCTTTGCAATTCTCATCGTGTAACTGTTTATTCGCAAACTTGCACCAATCATCATGCGTATCCAGCAACCGCTTGTGTACATCATTCATTACATCTTCGTCCGAACAAGCATCACCTTCGCATTGATCTGCTTTATCCTGTATGTATTTGATGTTATCATTAAACTTGTTAGCAAATTTATTGTGCACAACTGCGACCAGATCCTTGGCAGCAACCTCTTCCAGCTTCTTTTCACCTTTGTTGTATGCTTGCACTCCTGCGTTATAATAGCGTCTGCAGAAATAGTACCTACGAATCTTGCCGTCGTATTTTTCGTGAAAATCCATTATACACCCGTTCAGAGTGTTGTTGAGGCTTGTAACATTCGCTATTAACTCAGCCTGCCATCCGCTGAATGTTTTGTCGGCCGCATCGGGGATTCCTTTGGCGAGATCCAACGCTTCGCTGAGGTACTTCGTTATTCCAACTTGAAGATCAAATCCTTTCACACATGCTGATGCTGACGATTGGCCAGCGAGCACAATCAGCGCGAAAATAGCTGCACGATACATTGCGATAAGTATTGTATTGAAAAATCCAACATAATCAATTCCGCTTATATACAAAATGAAATATTTTGAATATTCGTTAATTAAAGAATAACTAACTGGAATTGATAAGACGTAATTCATGAAAAACAAGTTAACGACCATCAACATTCTTAAGTTAAATAACTAACTCAAATAGTTGTGATAAGTACACTTATGAATAAATTTGCATACAATTTAGCCAAAGCTGTTTTTAGTCATAAGCAAAATTAACTCCCCCGTGCCTTTAGATTATTCCCTATCAAAACCTCTTCATCGCCATCGCCACTGTCATTATTCTCATGTTTAAGAAGTATTTCAATCTTCGACTGTTTCAATGATTCTTGATCCGTGTGCGCCGTTTGCATGTGCTGGTCATAGTAGTGTTTCAAAATGAATACTTTCTGGCACACATCGCAGGTGTATGTTGTGGCCGCCTTCTCATGCGTCTTCCTGTGCTTGTGCAAATTATCGCTACGCGAAAAAGTTTTCGCGCACAAGTCGCACGTGAAATCCTTTTGCCCAGTATGCAATGTTTCATGCCTTAGGAGATGTTCTTTCCGTCTAAAATCCCTGGGACAATGGTTACACTTAAAAGGTCTCAAGCCTGAGTGCAGTTTTGAGTGCTGATAGAGGTGTTCGCGCCGCTTGAAAGCTTTGCCGCACTCCGCACATACATACTGCCTCTCTAACACTATGGATTGATCTTTGGGTTTTGTATTTACATCAGCATTTGCTTCATTTGTACTCATGTCTAAATCTACTAATTCTTGTTCAAAACTAGTTTCACTTTGATTGTTTGGGTCACTGTCATAGACTTGAACAATGAATGTTTCACCATCATTGATTATTTTTGTTTCTGCTTCCATCCTTAATTTAGTTTGCCTCTGTTTTTGTGCAATATTTGGATAGGTTGTTTGATTTTTAACTTGGACTGGCTGGATGCCCTTCTCAGAGTTCACTTTCATCATCTTGGTAGTTTTATTACTGCCAATAATAATGTAATTCATCTCATCAGACTTGAAATAAATTTACCACAATTATTATACAAATTTGATTTGAAGCTGGAAAAACTTACATTTTCGGAAATATTTAAATCATTATTTTGAACATAAACTGCACCAGTGCTCTTAAAATAGTCTATGTTTTGTGCGCGTGAGTAAAAACTATTAAGGGTGATTTCGGCAGATTGACATGTATTCCAGAATTTTTCAGCTTCCTCCAGTTTCAATAAGCAGTTACGACAAACAACTTTTGGCAAGATGATCATCAACAGAAACCTGAAAATAATGAAGAACCAGGTAAAATAATGTAAATTATGACACTAATATTTTAACCATGATATGAAATAGTTCATATGCTCATAATCTATTAGCTATTTTACCTTAATGTTAACAAGAGTTTGCATCTTGTTGTGTAGTCTCAATCTTATACCCTCTTCTTTATAAATGTTCACTTTTTCGACTGGACGATGAGTGGCACAGAGGCGGCAGAGCTCCGCGTACATGACCCGCGTGTAGCCCTGCATGATAAATGATAAAACGGACCGTAAATTAAATATTTCGTTTTATAATCCACAGCATGCAGTGACAAACATTTGTTATTGTATTTGTTGTCGTTTTCCACACAGAATGTATGTAGATAGGCAGCCAAGTATTCATGCAAAATATAAATATATATACAGCATGCTTCATATGTATTAATTAAATTGAATACAAAAATATTTCAAAGCCACAATAAACTGTATATAACTTAATTTTAAGTAACATATAGAATAGAAACTTATATTTATTATATTTTTTTTTTTTTTGATAATCGAATTATTGGTGTAAAAAATTAAATAAAATATTTGTTACATCCGGTTTGTTAGATAATTTTTCAGTGCTGCCAATATAACAACACAGTGTATTGCTAGTCAGTTTTTAAAGTGGCTAAGTTCATAATTTAACTAGCAGTAATATTTTTTTCAAATATAAATAAAAATATTATATATGGTATTTGAAAATTATTTTATAACTGATTTATATATTAATTTAAAACACACTGATTGATTCTTTTCTACACTTGCTAAGAAGTGTAACTAGAAAGTGCTACCAACTCTACGGCAGAAAGTGTCTCTAGAAATTTGTTTATTTTCAGTAATTTTCAACTTTTTGCATTTTCCATCGTCGTTTAGAGAGCTTTCCACCACAAATTGCATTATGCACGCCACAAAATGTCTATTTATAACCATTTTCTAGTATTTTCACCTTGACTAACACCGACTTTCGTACAATCGAATTGTGGCACGTACAAAAAGATGAGTCAAAGTTGAATCGCAAATCGCATTCCTTTGCTGCTTATCAATGGTTCTATCCTTGAAATAAACTAGCTACCAGTGCTATCAACAGCCAAACATCCATTTACAGCTGGTTACTAGTCATGGCGCTGAATGGATTCTTTGAAATCTTCCAAAAGGGCAAGGTAAATGTAAATAAGTTCTCTCTTCATAGTGTTAGGTTATGTGTACTTAAATTTGTGTTTTCCGGTGGTGTTTTAGACTTTTCGGCCCAAGAAAAAGTTCGCACACGGCACGATTCGCTACAGTCTTCACAAACAAGCTTGTGCCAGTCTTAACTCCGGCATTAATCTAAAGTCTGCAGTGTGTCTTCCAGAAGGAGAAGATTTAAATGATTGGATTGCTGTTCATGGTAAAACATTCACTGTTTTCAAAATAATAAATTATTAACTATTGTTTCTTTCTAATAGTTGTAGATTTTTTCAACCGGATCAATTTAATCTATGGTACTATATCAGAATACTGTTCTGAGACAACATGTCCAACAATGTCTGGTGGTCCAAGGTTTGAGTACCTCTGGGCTGATGGACATAAATACAAGAAACCCACGCCACTTCCAGCTAGAGAATATGTTTCTCATTTGATGGACTGGATTGAGAATCAAATTAATGATCAGGCACTGTTTCCATGCACATCTGATCTTCCATTTCCAAAGAATTTTGCCTCACACTGCAGTAAAATCCTTGCAAGGCTGCACAGAGTATTTGTGCATGTGTACATTCATCACTTTGAAAATATTGTGATGATTAATGCTGAAGCACATGTGAATACATGCTACAAGCATTTCTACTATTTTGTGAAGGAGTTTGATCTGGTGTCTTCCAAAGAATTGGAACCATTGCAGCAGATGGCCTCAAAGATATGCACCTAGGCACATGATTTTAGTCATTTGATTAGTTTTTAGTTGCTTTAAAACAAATTTACACCCTAAACAAAACATCACGAATTTTTAGTCAAGTTATACATATTTTTTCATGTTAAATTTGCGTTTTTAATTATTGAATTATGTATTAATCGATTTTAGTCTTAGTGTGTAATCTACATTCTGTATTGTATTTAGTAGTATTAGTTATTTATTGCTATTAAAATGATATTCAATACTAAGAATGTATCTTCGAAACGGAATAAGTGTAATAACTTAATAAGTACTCTTGCGTGTTGTATGTCGACATCTAATGAAGAACAAAACGAGTTGTATAAATATGAAAAGCTTATTTTCGGACACTCTCAAAGTTCTCTAAATAGTAAAAGCGTTTCATGAAAATCAGTTTTCAAAAAAGATTGAGAAATCCTGATCTAACAAATAATACCGAGTGATACAAACAATAAGAGAATTTTAAAAAAATCATCAGTTAGTTTCGCTTGTTTCTACTTTTTCAAACAGCCCTCCAACACAAACAATTATGTACACTTGAACTACAACTGTAATTGTTATTACTTTACTGGGTGTGAACATTTGACTATTATAACCTCTTTCAAACAGCACCACACTGACAACACATTCAAGACTACGCACCGCCCCTCCAACGAAAAATACTGCACAACTTAAACTTGATATACTCTAAAATAATTATATTTAATATTTTGTTAATTTAATAATTAAACGATGGTAACTAATACAATTGTTCCGGCGATTTGAAACAACGGTTCGCGTGAGTAGGGGGGTGAAGGAGGTGGTTTCGATCGATGGGGAATAATACCATTACACCATTGTATACCATGTGTCCGTGTGCTGCTGCTGTTGTTATCGCTTGGAAGGTAAGAAGACTCACTTTCTGACGGCATACGGTTTAAAATTATTTAATAATTTAATCGTGTTTTTACGCTTTTTATGTTGTTTTTTTTTCTGTTTAAATCTCTATTTTGCAATTGAAGTGGATCTAGTGATCCTTGCCAGCAGCGGCCAACTTCTTCTTCAAAGACTCTGGCATCTCTGGTGGTGGTGGACGCGGCATTGCGGTCGCCACCTAATTTTAAAAGCATATAGGATTAATATTATTCATTAAATTTTAATTAAATGTTTTGTATACCTTGAACGCATCGTAGATGAACCACTGTGCGGCGGTGAGTGTACCGATCATAACAATCCTGGGAATGAGACCCTTCCACAATCCCATGAAGCCAATCTCCTTGAAGATGTCGCCCATAGACGCGCCCTTCTTCTGGTTCAACTTCGACACCATGGTGTCAGCGGGATGCGACACGATCGCGCAGAACACGCCAGCAATGTAACCGGCCGCGAAGGTGACAATCAACTGTTCGCCTTTAGTGCAGCTCGCCCTTGGTTTCGGCACGACGTACGCGTACAACAACTCAACGGTACGCTCGAAGCAGGCAAACTTCATCATTGTGTAAGGGATCTGCCTGCCCCACAATGGCACCAAACTCTTGTAGAGACCATTCATTCCTTCTTCGGCCATGATTTTGGGCCAGCACTCACGCAGCGTGTTGGCGAAACCAGGCGTCGTCTGGATCTTTACCTTGCAGGCCTCCATGGGCGAGAGGGCAATATCAGCGAAGAATTCAGCGGACGCTGACGCACCAAGGTACAACCATGTGCGGTACAGGTAAGCGTTCTCATCGCCCATCAAGTTAGTGTAGAACACTTTGAAGACCTCGTACAGGCCGAATTTGCACATGCCTTGCATGGAGTAGCCGATGAAGGTTGGTGCCCAGCCCTTTGCCAAGCCACGCACACCCTCCTCAGCCATTGAGACCTTGAAGCCATTGGTGAGGTTCTTGTACTTAGCGCCGTCGACCTGCAATCGGCACTTGACGAGATCCAATGGCACGACCATTGTGTGTGTGATACCGCAAGAAAGAATACCGCCGAGACCGCAAAGGAGGAAATATTTCGTCGATGCGAACTCACAGCTCTCACCGGGATTGATCGCGGCGGCGGCGATGGTCCTGCCGGTGACCAACGGAGTGCTCAGCGCTTTGATCGCTGGCTTATCTTGTGCCTGCGACGGCTGGCAGATAGCCCTCGTAATGAATGATGGCAGCATTTTGATATATTATTTGCAACAATTGAGTTAACCTGAAACAATCACGACCAGAATTAGGCAAATCAAAATTAACATATACTGTACATAGGTGTAATTAGATTAGGCTGGTGAAGGAATGCAGGTTGAGGTCACACATGACCAAAGCAACCTGTTATATAAGATCACTCACTCTATTTTTACATTCAATGTTATTGGGACACTACTAACGTACACAATTACAAGCACGAAGAATTTTCATTTTGAGAACTGAGAAATAATCGATGGCACGCAGCGTACGACGTTATGTAACATTAGATAACCTTACAAAATGAGCCTAAACAAAAAATTGTACTTTATCACTGTTTTCGATCAGATTAAAAGCGCCAGACTGATGACTACAACTTCAAGACATGTGATAAGATATGAGTATAGTGTATATCTAGCGTATTTATTAGTTTATCGCGTTTGGCACGTTGCACATTTGAATATCTGTAACAGTCAAAAAAAAATTACATAATTTGTATGCACGTAATGTCTAGTGATCATCGTGTCATACACTGTCGTCTAGGATATTTTTGTTGATCACGTTGCAAAAATGGCATAGTGATAGTAACTTCGCCAGCAAATCTGTTGTACACTAATAATTTCCAGACACACAACTGAAAAGCACGTCCAAGTTTAAATGTGAATTGTTATCGTGAACCGACTGATTGATTAGGTAATTAGCACTGTTTTGCGGTGTTTTGCAGTGGAGTTGCGCGCGTAATTTCGGCGTAAACTTGTTAATCAAAGACTTACCGGATAAAATGGCCGCCGACTTCGGTGCGGATGAGCGACGAATGGGCAGAGCACTGGGCACGAAATCGGGAAAGTTACGTGTGCTTGACGGTTGTACCTCGCGCACGTTTGCTGCGCCGCTGCGAACGCGCGATTCGAGAGTTTTGTAACTTCGGGCACGCGCATTGCTCGCAAAGTTCGCGTTCCGCATCGATATCACGTGCTAGGCAAGCACAAGGTCAATCGACACCTTGACGGACATTTTTTGACAGAATACACGAGGCATACCAATACAATGTGGTAAAATTTTGTTATATAAAAATACAGAGCGCGTAAACCGTATTATGATAAGTTTAGTATTGTAATTTAATATTAGAAACTTAATTGTTTAGTTAAAAATTGCTTTTTGAAAATAAATTTAACCAGTGAATAAGAATTGTCAGTTATTCAATGCTTTAACCACATGGTATTACTGCTGACCTCTAATGTTTTGACAGCACAGAATTTAAATTTCCAATGGTGTATAAATGAATATTACAATTTAAGTTTGTAATAAAACATTTAAATTCTTTAATTCAATTACTCAAAATCAAATTTCATCGATAAAAAACGCAATAAAAAAGAAAAACGTATGTTACAAGTATGTATAACGTAAAGAGATATCCGAGATATTTGCATCCATATGTCTTAATCTTAGAGCTTATCACGAACGAACATTTTTCTGCACAGCTGCATTCACTAATTTTTGCACAAATTTCTGTTACGTAGACGACAACAATCCATTCCACAATCGTTGCGCTCCACTTGTCACTTGGAGTTTTAAACTAATTTTATATAATATATACGTACATATTGCAATTATAATAATCTAACAATAAATTTCCTTCTCGTCACAAAGTCATTTTCTTTTTGTATTTCGATACTGAGTACATTCATCAGTATCTTTTTGAATTTTTTTTTTCGTTCGATTCACCTTTCGAGCATAGTACAATTTGATTTTTGTGTGTCACACATTCGATAAGTGTAGTATTGACAATTGTTTACGTTTTCAAACCAAAAATTGAAATATAAAAAAGAAAAAAAAAGTGTCATGATTTGGCTGGCTGGCTGTGTACTGCGGCATAATTATAAGTATAATTAACAATTAATGGTAGTGTGTTGGTGGTGTATGTAATTGTGTTTTTTCTTTGTGTGTGAAGTGGTGCAGAATATGATACTAGTGATAATATTAAAAAATAAACAAACAGAAACATAGTATATATCACATTTAGGCTTAACTAATATTTATATATGTATAAAAAAAAAAGTATTCATCTACATACTTTCGTGTGTCGTGTTTCGCTAATGTTTTGTTCATGTTCATTGGCAATGATGTAAGTTGTATGATCAATCACAATTAATTTAATGTGATGACGTAATTAAAGCATTTTTTTTTATTTGTATGCAAATGAACCGCTAGTGAATGACTTGTTGATTTGCATTTACAATGTGGATGATGTTGATATTGTTGAGTCAAGATGAGAAGTTGCTTTTAAAGTTTTCTTTTTCGATCATTTCGTTTAAGTTTAGTTTTGTTTAATTACGAAGGCGTGGCGCACTGATCCGCGAACGACGCACTGTTTATTCGAGTGTTTCTTTCGCGATGATGCGCAGAGAGCAACTCATCCGTGATGTGTTGTGGGGTTTATCACACTTCGAGATGTTTCGTCGTGCTGAGGGATTTGAATGGTTCAGACCACATTCGTCTTAAATCACCCTAAAAATAAGAGCAGAATCATAGTATTAAGATATACAGTAGAGTCCGGTTATAATGACATCGAAGGGAATTGACAAACACGTCATAATAAGCGGACGTCATACAAAGCGTTTTGTGAAATGAAATCCCTTTTTTATGTAAATATGTACATATTCATACATATTAAATCAAAATCAAAATTGCACGTAATCAGCACATTATAACACATACAAGTGTATTTTTTACTTCAAGTAATCTGTAATTTTTTTCTGCTTTTGTTTTTTCATTTAATTAATTTTCTTGTGATTTTCGAAGCCTCTTCGGTCTCAAAATATTTGAATTGAACGATTGCTTAATGCGGTTCTTGTTTTTTAAAAAGCATTGAGATTGTCGAATGACCCACGCCAAATTCGGATTAATGGAAAATACGGATTAAGTCGTGGTCAAGGTACTGCTGTCCAAATGCTTATATTTATTATTTAAGCATTTGGTCTTTCCGATAGTAAATACATAAAAGTAATTTGACAATCATAAAAGAAATGTAGCAATAAATATAAAAAGTTCGCCACGTGTCGAACGTCGTCGGGTATCAACGAACATTACCGGAGGTGTAAAGAATCATGTTGGTCAATATAACCAGACATAATCTGTTAAAAATGGGTCATAATAAGCGACATGTCACTGTAAGCGAAGTCATTATATCCGACTTTTTTTTATACAGAATTTTATATGAAAACCAAACTTGGTAGTGTAGGTACGTCATAATAACCGGTTGGTCAATATAAGCGGAGTCATAATAAACGGATTCTACTGTACAATTAATCGTCCTGTACATAAATTAAGCGTTTTTTTGACATTGGCATTTTTTAAACATTCAAATAAGCAAATACGAACAACATACAATAATAAAATAGGCGGTAATATTTTTGGTTTAGGGGGGTGGTAAGGTGGTATGAAGAATACAGATAATGACATTAAATTCAGACAAGTTTTCGACCAGGAACAACACACGCGTGGAACACGGCCAAATGGAATTGTATAATGCATAAGAACACCTCTAGAAACAAAAGAAACCCTGGAACTAAAAGAAAGTTACCTACTGGAAAAAGAAAAAAAGTGAATATTGAATAAAATTTATAATCCCAAATCGCATTTCGATTGTTTGTTTCCAACAACACGATATATTGACAAATATACGGCATAGAGAGTAAAGAGTAAAATTTCTGACGATGCCCTCGAGGCGAAACAACAAACAACTCGAAAGAAAATTGTAATTCGCTGCTCTTTCGAAACCCCCTCCACTTAGCGTAAAAATAAGAACGAACAACAGCACAACCATGCTTTTTTAGTAATTCTTCTACCATTGAATATAAAATAAAGTTTGAAGAAATACCGGCTCTAAGAATTTTACAACGACCCTAAAAAGTATATAGATTTGGTCGATTTCTATTATTCCCATACATACTTCCCACCATTCAGGAAAATAAAAAATCAAGGTAAAGTTTAATGCTTTTTCAGGAAACCTGTCAAAACTCCACAAATCATATACCCAACAAAAATGAATCGTTGAAATGCCTTTCTCTTTCATCGACAATACCTATCTGTCATTCACATAAAAAAAAAACACGCAGACAACACAAAATAATCTCATAACCAATCCTCCAGAGCTTGAAGTATGAAGCGAATTTGATACGCAGATAAACCAAACAGAGCGTAAACTTTTAACGTGTAACTAGACCAGACAGAACGCATTAAAACCTATTGAACCATTTCCCCACCGCGTTAATACGCATATAATTAACATGAAGAGAGAAAAATGAATTCTTTACCTTATACCACAACCTGTATCAAATTGCGGTAGGCGATACACTCCATTTCATTTCCCAACGATCTACATACTATTAAATGTTTAAATTCCATGCGATTAACTGTGTATCGTCTTACCTTCAAGTAAGCCATCGTGAGTAGCGGCAACAGCGTGAAAGGTACGAGGTACAGAAGCGCCGGCTGCGCCGCCTTGAACACCTCCGAGCTGACGGTCGCCGTCAGCAGGCCGAGGAAGTATCCAAGCAGCGAGCAGTGGAAGTACGTGAGGCGCGACCCCGTCGGAATGCCCTGCGACTTCTTGTATGCATCGTACCGCAGCACGAAACATAGCAATAGCCCAGGCATTACAATATCTCCCAAACCTACAACACATTTTATTACATAACATATACATGTGTTTAAATAAATATTTTTATTTCTCACCAAGCATACTAAAATGTCCTGAATTATGCATGCTAGGAAAGACGAGCTTGCCGGGAAGACTCAACTTGGGCGCCTCTTTCACCACGCCGCCGAGATGTAATTTCCGCGCAACGATTCCCACCGGATTGTCCGCAGGACGTGTCGCCACCTTGACCATCACATTCGTGCTGAATATGTACGATGAAAAAAACACCCAGAAAACGTCGTAGATCAACAACCCGGTGAGTAACAGCGTCGACACTTTCAAACTCGGCAGGCGCACGAACGCGATGAACGCCACGCACAAACCCATACCCATTGCGTCCATCAATAACCAATGTCCTAACATAAAAATAACATCTTCATTATTTTAATATAAATATTAATAATGAATAACAAACCTGTTAACACCCAAATACAAACGATGAACACCGACAACGAAAACGAGAGCAGTTCGGCGCCTGTAAAACGCCCACAGATACCGAACGATATTTTATTCCCGTCCGAACAGGGTCGTATGATGTACTGACACATTGGCAACAGCAGGAATGCAAGTGCAACTGTTGCAATTACTAAAAATCATAATTAATACATTATTTAAATGTTATCCTTGATTTTATCTGTGGAACTTACTTGCTGTGCAGATTGCAAACAACATTTGCATGGAATCAAAGAAGAAAAACATAACAAGCAAGGAAATGCTTGCACCTAATGGTAAACACAATGCTTGCATTGCATCTAAAGTCTGCACATTGTTATCCAGTGGAACACTATTACTTGGATTGAGTAGGAGATTTGTAGACCCATTCGCGCGGTCCCGCGCTTCTTGCTCCATGTTAAGACTACGAAATGAGCCATAGACTATGAGCAGCATTGAGATGAGAAAAGTTGAGACCCTGGAGGAGTCCATAATGCTGTAAGCCCACTGATATTCAACTGTTTGTGGTTCAGCCATTGTGACAACTAAAAACCAACAGGATTAGTAAGATTATCAGTGTGTATATATGTACTCTAATTACCTTAGAAATTAATATTCAATTTGAATGTTATTGAGTGTGTTCTGTATGTGTCACAGCATTCTTTTGTTTTTTTATTACTTCTTTAGCACTTATTTCCCTGGTGCTTAGCACAATTTTATTGTGATCCGCACATACAGTTCCCTAGTACTTCGTACTGTACACTGATGATTGGTTTGGTGTAATGTTTAACTATTTGAATTCACTAGCGAATGTGGATTAGTCCCGGAGTGTGATTGTGATTATGATGTGCGTCGGCCATTTTGGTTAGCGCTCTCTCTGCACTCTGTCGCTCTCGTCTTCACAGCACGCGGTGCACGTCCTCGATGCGACGATGAATGGGCTTGAAATGGTGCGTCACGCAAGCGGCGCCATCGTGCGAAGCGTTTCACCACACCGGGATGCGCTGGAGCCGAGTGTGGCGAGCGTGTTCGCCGGACAGGCTGGGTACGTGTGCGTGCGGCTGCGACGACGCGCGAGTAAACACTGGGAGCGAAACGAAATTGAACCACTCACACACGCATCCCGCTGCGGTACCTGCGGAAACAAGTGAGCGTCGCCCACTCAAAACAAACCAACAAAGAATCTAACAGCGACATCTATCGAACTTTATACATAATAGACTTACGAACATTTTTCAAGGTCCATAAAACGTAATAATCAATAGAAATTCATTGTCAAAATATATCTAATAAATAAACCTATATTTAAACTTCTTAATAATCTATAACTTAAAGTTGTGCAATAAAATCATGGAAGAAATAGTATATATTTTCATTGGTGTATATTGAGTTGCTGACTTTCAGTGAAAATTATTTTATCTGCAATACTTATGTTCATGTAAAGTCTTCAAGCCTTGTATTATTACTTAACTTGCACACAATTAGCCCACTCGTGGGCGACGACGTGTGACGGCGCTCATGATCTTCACTCCCTCATTCTTTTGCTTCTTTTTTTACTTTTCATTCGTTATTATTCTTCTACCATTACCAGTGCACGACTACGTCTAAAAATAAAACAAAATGTAGAATACGTTTCATTTTTGAATGTCGTGTATGTGTGCGTGTGTTCTTTTGTTTTAATCTTGATTATCCAAACCATTGTTAATTGTTAGCTACACACGTATTTTGTGATGACTTCAAACAAAAAGCAAACGTGTAGTCACCGGAGCAGAGAGTTTCAACGTGGCTTCAACCACTCATTCTTCTTTTGTTTTTGATTTTCAAGTTTTATTTCTATTGCGAGGTAGAGGTAGCGAATCATCTACTTATTACAATCACTCGACGTATGATTATGGGGTAACAGACAACTTGACAACATTGACAGCTTGTTTCCAGGTTAGGTAAATGTAAAGGTTATGTTCAATTTATTAGGAAATTTTCCTATTTTAAGCCCATAGTCAATCACTAAACAAAATTATGTATTTTGTAATTTATACCGTTGATTATTTGCTTTTTACTCGCGTTATTTAATCTGTTGATTATTTGATTTGTGAATCACATTAACACTTTGCAAACTAAAAACAAGTGCGCGTAGTGACTAAGTTAGATTACCTTTTGTTTAATGTCACTGTGGAAACATGATGATTGTTTATTTAAGCACTAATCGGTAAAGTAAGTAATAAAATCTGAAACATTTCCGTGATATCTGTGAAAAATTGAGTAGACAACCAAGTTTACACAGAAATTAGTGTATTATACAATGCGTTCAAAGAAAACCTTCCGCTTTTTAAATATATTATTAAAAAACGCATGTTTTTTACAGATTTTTTAATACTTTTATAATAATTACAGCAATTGTTGTTCGTATATTCCATCTATACAGCTTAGTACATCCATACACACAATCAAAATGTGAAAATCAATGAAAAACTCTCAATGTTTGTTTCATCCATGTGTTGTTTTTTTTTTCATGTTTAGTTTTCAGTGAAGTCTGTTTTCTTCATCATATTTTTGAATACAATCAGCACTCGTTTTCCATTAGTTTACTTTAGTTGCTCGCATGATGTGTTGCTTCCAGTTGGTAGTAAGTGTTAGCCCCGAAAATCATAGCAAACGCTGGTTGTTGCACATTATGTACTTAGTAGAATAATAACAATACGATACGCGTCCCTAATTGTTAAATGTTTAATTTATAATATAAATGCATGCGTTAAATGCACAGATGATGCAAAATGCAGACGCTCGTCTCATATTATTTAGTGTTTCAAGTTAAAGAGTGAACTCTTTGTTGTGTTTATTTTGTTGGTGGCGCAAAAAAATCGAAGTTTTCAGTTTGCTTTTGGTCGCTCTTTGCGGATATTGCTTACGATTTGCTACGAATTACAATCATCGTCGTCGGCTACTAGGCGCACTCGAAAACACATAAGTACATAAATATACAATACTAATAATATGACACTAAATAATTAGTAATACGAGTAACATGCACTTTATACGCGAATCAAAAACGGAATGATATCCCTTCTGGCCGTCCGGCTCAACCCTTAATCATAAAATAATATAGCGACAATAGAAAAATAATAATAAAGAAAACAAACATAGAATAGAAATGATAAAAATTTACAAAAATATATAAAAAAATAAAAATGAATGCTTCGAATCTGAATGGATATTAGTTCGCCGCGTCCGCACACACATCCTCACACCCTAACAAAAACCGATTGTCTGTAATTATTATTATCATCATCATCAATATATAGGCGTATATATCGATCATGCGCTTGTGTTTTGGTTTTACAATAATTGTAGTCGCACTCGCAGGTTGCAGCTTCACTTCGACACCGTATCATTAATTATAATTATATATAATGTATATGCTTACTTAAAAGGTATGCAATGTACTATTGTTAGTTGAATTGTTTCAGCTTGATCTGCTCCTTGCAAAATGTAATGATTGTGTGTGTGTGTGTTTTGCGGATACAACAACAACAACACTCAATGTTGAAAAATGTATCATGCGGAATTATGGAGAGCGACACAACACAACAGTCGACAATCGGTCATTTACAATCGTTCCCTTAACTTAAATACTCTTTTCTCCTTTCGCAATATTGTAATGCTAATTTTAAAAAAGGTTCATGTTCATATCTTCCTTATGAATTATTTTCAATTATGTTGAGGGGGGGGGCGGGGGGTCGGTGGTGGGCGTGGAGAGAAGACAGACAAGTCGATGAGGTTCGAGGAGACTGCGCGAAGAGAGGACGCAACACCACAATTAGTTTCCAAACAACTGCCAGAGCGCAAGGTATCATCGTGTCTTTTGGTCGTCATGTATTTCGAGACATGTGGTTAAATAATGTTAAGTATGGATTTAGTATGTGTGTGTGTATGAGTGTGTGGCCCTCTCCTCTAGTTTCCCTTATCGATTATTATTACAGATTATTAAATACAAGTGTGTTTTTTCTTCTCTTCTTCATCTTTTGTTTTGTTAAATTGTGTGTTTTGTGCTTGCTCGCAATGATTCCGTGTGTCGGCGCGTGCGCAATTCGCTTGTCTGCATCTTTTCCGGCTTCGAATGTAAAATTTTGAGATGGGATTAATCTTTTTTTGTTGTTTTTGTGTTTTTTCTTGGTTTTAAAGAATTTTTGTGTACTGTTATTCGTTTAGCACAAGTTACGACACGTCCTGATCCTCCACGTCCTGAAGTTGCTCTTTAGCTTCGGCTTCACCTATTCGAACAAGTAATTAAAGTTAATGATCATGATTTATAACTGCTTTAGTATAACACAAAGTAAAGTGAAGTTTTGCTTACCATCACCCTGCATGTCGCTCGTCCACAGAGTGAGGTTATCCCGCAGGAGTTGCATGATGAGCGTGCTGTCCTTGTAGCTCTCTTCGGAAAGCGTGTCCAGCTCGGCAATGGCGTCGTCGAAGGCGGCCTTCGCCAGCCGGCACGCGCGGTCCGGACTGTTGAGGATCTCGTAGTAGAATACGGAGAAGTTCAGCGCCAGCCCCAGTCGGATGGGGTGCGTCGGCGGCAGCTCTGTCATCGCGATATCACTAGCGGCCTTGTACGCCACCAGCGAGTGCTCTGCAGCCTCCTTCCTGTCGTTACCGGTCGCGAATTCTGCCAGATAACGGTGGTAATCACCCTTCATCTTGTAATAGAATACCTAATAAACAAACAAATGTTCCTATACTCTGTACATTAAGCATTAAATGTAAGCCGTACCTTAGATTCACCGGTGGAAGCGGCAGGAATAAGATGTTTGTCCAGAACGTCCAGAATATCGCTGCAGATGTCACGCAGTTCCTTCTCAACCTGGCTGCGGTAGGTGCGGATCATTTCCAGTTTGTCGTCGGCGCCCTTTGACTCCTCCTTCTGCTCGATGGAGGAGATAATACGCCACGACGCCCTCCGCGCGCCGATCACATTCTTGTACGCCACCGAGAGCAGATTGCGCTCCTCGACGGTCAGCTCCACATCCAGTTTCGCCACCTTCTTCATAGCTTCAACCATTTCTATAAAACCATATGGAATTTATGCAGAATTTGAATCTGGTGTAATTCGCAATGCCTGTTGATTGGTTGTCATGACAATCGGCAAACGGTTGGCAATCGTTACTCATGCTTAAACAATTAAACAATCCGCCGCGCCATGCAGTGATTCAGGCAGCCGGCAGCAGGCAGCGCCGTGCGGCATTCCGGCGAAGTGCACCGGCAAGTGTGCGAGAGAAAGATAAAGATGGCGGATGCGCGCGCGCGCGCGGCCGCACATTTGCCGTCGCTATCGATCGCGCCGGATCTCACACACACATGATGTACACATACACACGCGCGCAGCAGGAAGCCGCCTGCGAACCACCGGCCGCCACCTCTGCAGACCTCTTGCGAGGTCTTCCAAGATGATATGATAAAATGGCTGCGACTTTTAGTTGCCCGCGCCGGCTTAGTCCGGCGCCAAACCCGGCACGGGGAAGACATTTTGCAAAAAGTAGAGTGCAGAAAAAAAATGGCAGTATGCAAGACATTTTCATGTTTCTTGTCGCAAACACCGATATCAGTCAAGGACCGCCCTCGTGTTCGGCTGGCCCATGATGGTGGTGTTGCGCGGTGTGGTTATGGTACTTACCATCGTAGCGTTCGGCCTGCTCGGCAAGCTTGGCCTTGTAGACGTTGTCCTCGCGTTCCGACATCGTGTGGTGTTAGGTCTGCACGGTCTGCACTCGCGGCGACGACGACGACGACTCTGGCACGAGCTGGTGGCGAGGTTGGTGCAGCACGCGCGTCTCGCTGAGATGATGATGATGATTTTTCGGCAGCACCGAAAGAACGGGGAATGTCGCGTGCGCGAGCGTGTGAGTGTGTCGCGGTGTGCGCGTTTGCGGCGTTCTCGGGCGTTCTGGTCGCTCCGGCGCTCCCTTTCGGCGCTTTCGGCGTTGCGGTGCGTGTTACCTGTCTCCCACTCCCGCTGCACTCTGCAAACGCCGCAAACACGTTGCACGAGTGAGATACCGCTTGACACCCGACTATTCAAGATGGCCGCGCGCTCTCGACTACAGTTTACTGTAATCGACACCGCCGGCCACCGTCATTCTTTCCAATCGAAATCATTCAAAGCACTATCTCAACTCGCGCAACTAGCACAATTCGGTATGACACTCACCTAGATCACTTCTAGTCTACAATCGCCGCGTAAACAGATAAATTTCTGCTTGAATTGCGAAAGATCAAGTTTTGATGGGCGAAAAACTGAAAAAAATCAATCAGAATTATTAAAACGTCAAGCTCGAGTTACATTCGCGTTACGTTACCAGAGTGATAAACGTTCAGCTGTTATAAAGGATGACATGATTTAAGCGTAACAAATTAAAACTAAACTAAGCACGCCTAGCGCCATCTTGTAATGTTTAGTTATACTAAACAACTCACCCACCAACATTCATTCAAACATAGTTTTTGCCGAAACTAATCGCTAATATTATAAAAACAAGAAAAACGTTGAGAATTTCTGACATGTTACGTAAACTTTCCTGTCTCACCGATGCCTGTTTCCACTTTAGCACGTTTCGAACGCGGTCAGCCATAAATCACCCCGAAGTTCCGGTTCTATCGACGTGTTGATGTCGAGGACGTTCGGGATGTGAATTAGCAGCGCGCAAGCGCTCTGCACGCCCGGATGCGATCGCGGTGCTTCACGCGCCTTCGCGCCTTACTTGAATGCTAATCCCGCCGTCGCACGTTGACAGAAACTTTAATTTCGAGGTTTCCTTGCTTGACAGCGATGCGCTCACACGCACACTCGATGCGTCCACAATAAATTATAAAATGGTGGTACTTTTGTTATATCAACACGTATAATTCATTTTAGCGTATAGCAAATATTCATGTTATTTTTTCATGTGTATATATATATATAATTATTACAATATGTACAACGATCTGCATTTGCATGTTCTCCGCGTCTATAACCTGCTACTGTGTCGCCATTTTGTTGAAAAGATCACAACAACCCGGATAAAAAATATGCACTAACTAGCTAGATAGAAGTAATCAACGAATAAATTCATCTCGAAAACGAAAAGTCCGTAATTTAACGATAAGGTTATGTTAGGTTATTTTTGAGCGAAGGAATAGAAAACTCGTTTGAAAAATTTGGCTACGCGTGAGTTGCCTGCACGCGGTGTTTCGAAATTTCGCTAAAATCGCAGCTCTTAACATTTCTATAAAATATTTTCACGCGAGGCGGACTGGACGATGTGTGTTTGCACCTATGCAGGTGTATCCGGCGGCCATTTTAGAAAATGTCAGGACAACGTGACCAGTCGTGCTGCTCCTTCGCCTGCCAGTAAGTGTTGAGGTACGTGTGCACAATGCAGTCATTCTCGTCCTTCACCTGCTTGAACCAGAGTGGGACGTATGGTGTATACGGCCGGCCTTCTTTCGCCGCTTCCTCAGCTTCCTTCTCGCGATGACGACGCACGGCACGCTGTTTCTCTTCGAGGCGCAACTTCTCCGCATTCGCTTCGTCCCACATTTGATTTTCCATTAGTCGTTGATCGGGCCTTCGTCTAAAACAAGAAAAATTCAGTTTATTTCAATCCAAACCAGTGATATTCAAGGTTATTACCTGCTATCCGTTGGCGCAACTTCATCGTCCATTTCGTTGAGTTGAATCGCAAGCATGGTAAAGTGATAACATTTTTCGCAGTCCTGCGGCGGGTCGACGCGTTTCCACGCCAGTTTCGCAGCGCCTGTGTCATAGACAGCTGTAACGCTCTTGTCCTTCGGCACGCCGCTGAATGTGCTCTCCTGGTTGAGCACCGGCGCAATCTCGACGCTGCGATCCCACGTGCCGTTGATAATCCATTGCGCGCGATCGTTCGTATCCAAGACGGCACCTTTCACCCTGCGCTGCGATTCTTTACTGAAGTACGAATAGGGGATGAACTTCATATGGCACTTAATACCAGCCGCATTTCCTTTACCGACTATTTCCATATCACCTAACATCGAAAACAAAACATAGTAAATAGATTTTAATTTTAAGGTTATGTAGTGACTTACCATGTTGATCAACCCACAACTTTCCGACGATGATGTTATGCACGGTGGTGGTGACCTTACGCCACGAGTAGCGATTGCCGTTGGCAAATTCAACAGTAGCACTGCCCAGCGGCACCACCTGCAGATATTTACCGCGGAACTTCGACGTCATGGTAAACTCCTGCCAGCAGGTCCATCCGCGTCCTTCGCAATGCTGCGCGACCATTGGCGGATGATGCGATACCTGCTCGGATATCAACCGCCAACCGAGGTCATCTGTTCGATCAAATTCAAACGTTTCACCTACAAAAAAACATACAAAATTCAATTATTAATCAAACTAAACAATTTCTATGCTTCAACTTACCTAAAAGCGGATTAAAAGGTTTGCCTACTCGTGTACTAGTGGTGGAATACGACGAGATTGTAAAAGCAGCGACATACGCGAGTTGCTCGCAGGGGTCCTTGAGTGTGGCGGCTACGTCTAACAAGTCAGCATATTCAAAGTCTTCAGCAAGTCGCTGCAACATCGACAAAGGCTCACTGAAGTTCACCGGCATAGGAATCTTCGATAGATCCTTTCCAATGCAGTTCTTCATAATGCTCCACAAGTTCAACGGGTAGTTTGGTTTATTAGGAAGGCGCGTGCGCCGTACACGTCCTTTCGTCGTCGCCAGCGCCTGCTGCGCCCCCGTACCAGCCGATGCCGGCTCATTGGCATTCTTAGCGTTTGCAACGTTCGCCGTTCTTATAACAACCTGAAAACAATCGCAAGTTAGTAATAATAAAGTTGGAATATAATTTTGAACATACTTGTTTGGTTTCATGCGTAGTATCATCCGTCTCGGAAGAGCTATCGGATGAATTGCGTCGTTGGTGTCCAGTGGAAATATTCAACGTGAAGCGCTCCTGGCTGAGACTTGCGCCATCTGCCTCCGCATCGTAGAACTCGTTCTCCTCCTCGTCTTCCTCGCTGGCACTGACCGGATCTGCAATAGGTACAGGGGTACTACCAACATCAGACTTCTTCTTTAAATTAGTATGTTCACTTGTGACCATATAATGCACGGACCTGTGCGTCGTGGGCTTCTGCGCGTCGGAATATATCAGCGGTATGTACGCATGTGAGGTTTTAGTAGGAAAGCTATTATTTGACGCGACTGTCTTGAAATCGCTCTCGTCGCTAATGGTAGGTGATATAGAACCACGACGTAAATGAGCTCGTATTTTGTAAAAATCGCGCACGGGGACTTGATCGCGTTTCGAGGGTGGCGTTATTTGTGGTCCGCGCATAAAAGTAGACAACGGAATAAGTGGAGATTGGACGATGTGGATTGGCGTCGCGGATGGACTCGGTGAATCTGGCCACGCCTCCTGTTCGGGGAGTTATTAACTGCAAAGGTGGGGGTAGTTTCAAAGGCGCAGGCTCAACAATTTCTACTTGTGTAGCGACATCCTGGGTGGAACTAGTAGAGTCTATCGGGGAAGAAGGGATACTTTCATCCACCTTCTCGTTAACGAAATTAATCGGAATCGCACGAACTTGCAGATTATCATCCAGAAACGCCCTCTGTTTAACGACCAATACAAAACGATTATTCGCCGTTTGTATGGCGTGGTGTGTGTGTATAAGGGCGTACTCTCCTTCGGTGCGGTCCCTGTCAACTTCGTACACTTCAAAGACGATTTCGTTTTGGAATTCGGTTGATTTTAGTGGTACTTCGATGGTTTGCAATTGGCGTGTCTTGCGGACACGTGGTGTAGCGCGCGGTGTTACCGACTCCCTATAGGAACGTGGCGCTTCGGCAATCGCACGAGCATTCGGCTCGCAGTTCGCGAATGCAAGCTCGTGCAGAAAGAGGACGGACGCGACCGACAGCCACGCGAACGTAGCCGACGACGCGAGCCAATACAACGCGGAAGATTCCGCAATTTTCGATGCAGCAATAATCACGATAACTCAAAAAAGAGGATGATGCATTGAATGTAAGAAATGTTTCACTAGAATTTTGACTTTGATTGATTTGACATTCGAACTGTCAAGTTATAACCTAACCTTATTATTATCAAAATAATAATAAAACAAAATGGCGTACACTTACTTGTGTTACGATTGTTCGCATTCGCGGCGGCCTGCTCCAGCTTGGAGTGCTGCTGGGCGAGCGTCTCAACCATCTCCTGCAGTCGCTGTCGTTGTTCCCGCTCGTGCTGCAGAAGACGCGTCCACTTATGTCCGTGCTGTTGTGCCACCGTTAGATATTCAGTGCACGCCTGCAATAAACAACATTTCGTAAGTTATATGATTGCACACAACTTATGCAACGCAGCACGACATGAAAACATTTCGAATGAAATAACAAACTTAATTATCAAACCGCTCACTTGAGTACTATATTCGAGTTGATGGTCAAATGTACACTAAACTAAACTTTAAACAATTGTTGCTGATAAAACAATTGATAAACATGCAAATATAGCCGAATGTTATTCACTAAATTGAAAGCATTGAAAGCAATTTCGTCTTAATCACGTTTCAACGTTATTTTCGCTCGTGGCTAGCAACGTACGTTGAACATTCCGAAGGCAATAACAATTATCGCGACGATCGGTGCGAATGACAAACGTTTAACGTCGTCATTGTTAAATGCGCGCCGGTTGACTGCCGACTGACTTCTAGAATTTAACGTACGCGCTTATTATCGAAATTAACAGACACACACACACACACACATATAAATAAACCAATAAAACCATAATGAACGTACATTAATCATGGCGTTGCTAGCGATCCGGAAAAGTGTCGCCCGTTCACTGACTGCCTTCGATTTCGTCTCATCTGAATTCTGCTCGGCGTTGCTTTCTAGCTCGCTGAGAGCCCGCTGGAGGGCATTGCCGTGCTTTGCGATCAGATCCGAACACGTCTGCAAATCCTGCAGTTTACCCTGTAGTTCCCGCACGATGGTCGACCATTCTTCCGGCGAGCCGGAGCCGGAATCTTGTTCATCGTCGTCGTCTTCTGATTCCATTGTACGTCTTAAAATAGAAATTCAGTAAAAACAGTGTTTTACAACTTAACTAATAATATATAATAGGTTTTGATATTCAGTCATAGTTTTAGTTCTCGAATTCAACCCCAGATGGCGCAAACGTGCATTTTTCATTTCTCTCAACTAAAACTAGGAATCTTTTTTACAAATTTAGCACATAAAAGTAAAGTTAGGTTATATCACATCCATAATACCTTTGAAAACCAAAAATATTTATAACTTACATAGCTTTGGCTTTAGCAAGTTCCAGCGCCGTGACCCAACACTGCCGCTCCACTTCACTGGCAGCGCGAATATGAAATGTCTGCGTGCCGCCATTGCTCACCACGAACGTGCAGGCATCCACCGGATAAATGATAGCACCGTGCAGTGAGATACTGCCCCTACAGTGTGTGACATCTCCGCTTGGTTTCTAAAATAAAATACAACATTCAGCAACAGCGCACAGATAATTAAGTAGAGTAAAAGTGTGGTTAGATTTGTTAATTTTGCGTGCATACATACACATGATATCTAAGTTTAATTGTATATGTAATAAGTGTAGTGTAACATCGCGTGACACTTGCGACGCAATCGATCGACATTCAAGAGTGTTTTAATTATGCATGCAATGTTTTAAATTGTTTAAAAGTTTTTACCAAATGACACATGCGAAAGAATCCGCAATGCGAGTGTACGGCTACAGTGTGTTCAAAAAAAGTTCAAATTTATTGACGAAGTTATCTATGCAAGGCCTGTTCCGCGTTTATTTATTTTTTGATTAGATTATTTTGATTCTTTGTTTTTAAAAAACGCGTGGGCGTGGGCTGGTTGTGACTTACCCCCCGTTCGAACGGAACCGCCTTCTACGCCGGATGGATAGGGTGGAAACGCCACCACCGTTGTGTTCAGCCCTGCACAGACAATTCCGACACATCCATTTCATTTCATTTAATCTCTAATCAATTGATATGCGGCAAAAAATTTAGCTCGCTGATTACAACTAGACAATAAACAAATGAATGACTCATGAGCCAAATGACAAGCAGCTGCTGCAGTAAAGAGCTTCTCCTCCAAAAGCAAGAATGTGTGTGTGTGATTGTGTCCTATCCGAGTGGTAGGTGCAAAGTGGTGTGATTGAGCAAGACCAACCTGTAGTAGGACAGGAGGCCGTTCTGCAGGACGAACCATCGACGTTGGTAACCCTTGAGGTAGTTGGTCCACTTGAAGAGCCAACCCTTCATGTCAGGGTCGCCCTGCGCGCCCAGCTGTCGCCCGACGGTGGTGGTGGCGGCGGGTGCTGGCACCGACGCCGGCACCGTCGCGTCCCCCATCATCACGCTGCGGTGCTGTGGTAACGGCCGTGGATTCTTCCGCCCCCAGGAAATGAGAATATGGCGGACGCGGCGAAAACAAAACTTGTTGTAACGCTGATGTCCACACACACGCACAATGTTTGAGGATGAATTTGCGCGGATGGGACGAGCGACGTCGACCGCACTTGATGGCGTCGCAAATAACAACACTAACTAATTATGTACAACTGGTTTTTACAACCGTGACAAGGGTGACACGTCTTCCATTTTGACAGCGTCACCGCAACACGGCGCAGTGGAACAGCTGACGTTTTCATTCTACCAACATACATTTGGCAAAGTGAAAAACTCTCAAGTAGATTCTAGGGATTTTAGTGAAATGTCACTAAATTTTGACTGCATGTTGCAACAACAACTTAATGTTTAATAAAAATAAAATTAATTTATCGGCAAAATAAGTTGATTATAAATAGACCAATTTATATTAAGATATTTTAAAATACATTTTACAATAATTTTTAAGAAAAATTTATATTAAAGCTAAAATTATAATTTTTTGTTTGTTTTTAAAACCAATTTGGATCATATGGTGTATCCCCAAATATAACTAGAATTATGAAATACACTAAGTGCTTTAAACTAATTTACAAACTCAAAATTAATAAATAATTCTGTTGATTAAAACTAGCAAATTACAATTTATGATTTTAAAGAGTTAAAATATTCTTATATTTATTATAACTCTAATGACTTAAAAGTGCAATTCTCTTAGGATAAAACTCATTTTATTTCCATATAAATTTATTCTCAACACTTAGGTTTTCCCTAAATTTAAATCCATTTCAAACCAACTATGAAACTCACTAGACTTTTTGACAGTTGTTTATGTCGGCGAGCTGACAGTCACCCCGTCCATTTTGCGTGTTGAGTGTTGTGTTGTGAACGTTGTGAACAAATAAATAATTCCTCATTGTTGCGATTGCGACCGATAAGCGACTTATCGCCGATTGCCTACTGTTGAAGTAAATAATCCGTGCGTGTGTTGCGATGGTGTGAGAGAATCCATATATGCAATGCAACCTTGATGCAAAACCGATTCTGGACTGAATAATCCGTAATCTTTAATCCGTTGAAAAAATCAGCTGGACGCAAGAATGGCGCATTTCGGTTCCATGAACGGTAACAGACCGAAGCGGTTTTCTATCGACGATGCGTTCGAGGAAGAAACTGATGAGGCGATCAAAGTGTACGGGGCCACCACACAGCGCACACCTGTGGGGGGCAGTCCCGATTGCACGAGTGTTAAAATAGATGGCAGGTTGGTAACAAAATAAAACGCAAACTAATTGTTTCATTTTTGCTAACTTAATATGTTTTCTTCAAGAAACTATAAACTAGTAAACGAAGCGTCAAGGGACTCAGACTCTCTCATTCAGGACTGTTATGACTCGTCATCACAAGAGAACCTCAGTCGGTCGTGTTTCCGCCACCCAAAGGTGCGAGAGAATTGGCGCATGGTGCTCGCCGCCACGACGCTTCTCTTCATCGGCATTGGTTTACTGGCAACCGGGGCGCTTGCCCTGGCTGAACCTGCCGCCGGCCTGCAGGGCGCCGTCTTCCTGCTTGCCGGATTCATCTGCTTTGTACCCGGCGCGTATCATGTCGTCTACATTTACCTGGCAGCGAAGGGAAAGCGCGGATATCATTTTCACAATCTACCGCTTTTCACCTGAACACTCAACAATCACCTAAACACGTAAAAACAAATGAGTAATGTTAGGTTATAAATACTAAAATATAAGTTAAGCATGCAAAGTGAAGTTTATTTTTTACTACCGTACGCATATTTGCAATTTTGTGAAAATTTGAAACAATCAAATAAATTATTGTAAGCCAAATGCATGACCTATATTTACTATGAACAAAGTTCAATTAATTTAAGTAAATTTCTATTTCAAATTGTATATAATACTCTTCAACATGTTTGGGGTAAACAATGCATATAGTAATATTATTACTAGCGGACTCGACAGACTTCATTTTGTCAAAAAGATTTGGAATGTCGCAGTTTTTTGTTCTTACCTATTTTATAGTCGGCGCAAAAAAAATTCCCTTAACAGAACCGTCACCCCGGTGTGTGGAGAACTGCGGAATTTGTTTCGTTTATATTTTAGTTAGAAAACAGTTGTATTAGAAAAAGAAAAGGTCTTTAGGGTTTCCCCAGCAATTATTTGAATTTTCTTTCCATAAAAACCATGCATTAACGAACATTTTAAAAAAGAACTGGCTAAATTGGTCTAGGCGTTATGGAGTTATGCGCTTACCAACAGATTTTGCGATCCATTTTTATATTATAGATTACAATATGTTAGCGCTAAAAACTAATTAATATTATATTATTATTTTTTCAGATTTGCAATAGTAGTTATCTTACTAAATATGGGGCTACGTTATGGAAAATATTGCTTGATTAACTATGTAAAAAATATTGCAAAAAAATTGACAACTGGGTTGTTGACAAGTTCATATTGCTATTATTCTGCATTTCAAATGTGTTTGTCGCTTTGTGTCTAATCGTCTTTTTCCTTTGTTTTGCGAATTTATCTTGGTTTTCTCACTGGCTTCCTTCTTCCTTCGAAAGAAGCGAGATAATCAATCGATTTTATATGATTTACTTAAACAGAAATGGAATTCCATTTTCATGAAAAACACCAATTGCTCAGTATTAATAAACTTACTTTCCAATATCCTGAAGCACAGGTCCAAAATGACATTACAAAATCCAAACGAGAAGATCTATGCGTTTCTCAATGCGATCATCTCTGCAGTATAACAACAACAAAACGAAATATTTTTTTAATACACTCGAAGAGCATTTATCTACTAATATCACTATGCAATTTATGCCACTTCTGCAAGAGTACTTAGAAGATGTTAAATCAAAGGGACATCAGACAACTGAGGAAGTCAAAAATGAAGCGCCAACAAGAGAACAAACACACGAGAACGTAATATTTGCTACAAAGCAAATAAAAACGCTGTTGACAGGCGTTTAAAAATAGCCCAATGTAATATGATACAAATATTGCTCACAGAACAAACAATATACTTTCGTGATTTTTTCTTTTATAAATATTTTATGATTTTAGAGGTGGAACCAAAGGAAGTGGCGGAACTAGAAAGAAGCACTCAAATAATATCAACAAACGAGAACATAGTTTACGATACAAGGCCAAATGAACATGAACATAGAAGTGTCGTTCCATATAATATTGCAGATAATCAATAAACATTTTTACAATGATATTATTGATATTATTTACAATGATATTATTGTATCAGTAACTAGCTTATGTCCGCGACTTCATCCCGGTAGTGTTTAATAAACATGTAATTTGTTTTTATTCTTGTGTTCAAGACATAGCAAGTGTCAATTCTATCAATAAGATTTGCAATTTTATTTTAATGAAATTAATTTTATAAAGAATTGCTAATAATGCACTTCAGTGTGCCATCTCGGAATCAACTATTTAACTATAACTATGATTGAATCGTAATGCCAACTTTTATCCTATAGAAAAGGGCTGTCTTTAGGGTTTTACCGGCAATTATTTGAAATTTTCTTGCTGTAAAAACCATCCTTGGACTTTACTAAACATTTAAAAAAAATAATTGGCCAAATTGGTCCATGCGTTGTTGAGTTATGCGGTTACCAACAGATTTTGCGATTCATTTTTATATTATAGATAAGTGACGTTAGGTATGTGTTATATATTATTTCTTTTGTAAATATATATTATGTAAATATATATTATGATTTGAGGAGAAGGACCAAAGGAAGTGGCGGGACTAGAAAGAAAGAAACAAATAATATCAACAAAGAAGAACATAGTTTACAATGCGATGCCAAATGTATATGAACATAAAGTGGTGTTCTAAATTATATTACTGTATAACTAATAAGTGACGATAGGTATATGTTATTTATTAATTAGATATTGAGGCTTTTACTTTCATATTTTCACTATTTAGATGGGAAAAAACCAGTCGCAGAGAAGACTGTTCATGTTGTCCAAAATCTTGACCACGGTGTTGTTCATGTTTGTAAATTATTCATTGCGTTGTTCACTTCAAAGAACCGTGTAAATCAGAGAGGTATTGTATACAATTTAAATGGAGATGAATATAAACAAAAAAAGGCCATAATAAATTGTTACCTCGATTTTCTTAAATTTTTTTATAAATAATGATATATCGGTCCTCAACTCAAGCAAGATTCAAAGGCTCTGTGTCATTTATGATTTAACATTCTTCAGTTTGAAAAAAAAAATAAAACACTAGCGGACTCGACAAACTTTGTTCTGTCAAAAAGATTTGGAATGTGGCAGTTTTTGAAGTGAAAACTTCTTTAGAATCGTTCTCGCTGTGATTTCAAAATTAATGAAACTATACTGTGAAAATATACTGTGTCTCCTCTATTACCTTCGTCTCCTCTGTGTGTGATGCTTCGTAGCTTGTCACAAGCCACTTGCTCCTGAATATTTTCTGAATATACTATAATAACAATCTTCAAGTATGCCAAAAGCTAATGTCGATAAGTGTCGTGAATATCGGCAGAAAATATTAAATAACTTTTTTATTTGATGCCAATATTATATTAAACTAGTTAACCGGGCAAACGTTGTTTTGCCATATAAATTATTTCTAGTTTCTAGATAAATTTTAGTGTAGACAAAAAGTAACTTACTTATTATAAAAAATAGGGGTTGGTGATAAGAAACCCAAAATTTAGGGTTGTATGTATATTTTAATGCCACATTAAAAAAATAAAAACAAAAAATTTCGCCCAAAATTAAAAAAAAATTAAGGGTGAACAACCCTTATCACTTAGAGATATGACGTTACCGATTCTCAGACCTACTGAATACGCACATAAAAATTTTCTCTGAGCGGGATGAAAAATGATTAAATTACTAAAATGGCTATAAAGAAATAGGGGTTGGTGATAAAAAACTAAAAATTTAGGGTTGTATGTATTTTTTAATTCCACATTATAAAAAAAAAAATAAAAACAAAAGAATTTGTCCAAAAATTAAAAAAAAAAGTTAGGGGTGAACAACCCTTATCACTTAGGGGTATGAAAAATAGATGTTAGCCGATTCTCAGACCTACTGAATACGCATATAAAATTTGGTAAAAATCGGTAAAGCCGTTTCGGAGGAGTATGGAAACAAACACTGTGACACGCAAATTTTATATATATAGATAAACCCTATAATTATCCCGCTCCTGATACTACTTTCGTTCCATTCTCTCGCAATGCAGTGTTCTACAAGTTTCACTTCTACCGCGTGTAAACTGCACACATGAGTTACCTCAATTAATTAATTAATATTTTGAATGCTCAAAGTAATTTTCCTGAAAATGCGGTCAAGAATACTTATTCAGAATTACTTGTTTAATTTCGTGAATTTGGTAGACTAAATAATTGAATCTATATATATAAAAGAAAGTCGTGTTGGTTAACTCCTTTATAACTAAAGAACGGCTAATCCAATTTAGCTAAAAATTGGTGGAGAGGTAGCTTAGGGCCAGGAAAAGGTAATAGGATACTTTTTGAAGTGAAAACTTTTCTAAAACGGCACTAAACGACACTAAAAAGAGACAAACATATTTGCGTATATGGATTATCTTGCGGGAGAATAAGAGAACGCAAATACAAAGTTTTCTATTATCCCCGTATCCTCTTGAAGTTGACCGGTTGATGTTTTTGTTTGGAGAAGGTTACTAGGATACTTTTTGAAGTGAAAACTCCTTTAGAGAACACTAAACGACACTAAAAGGAAACAAACATATTCGCTTATATGGTTTAGCCTACGGGAGTAAAAGAGCACACTAGTAGCGTCTCCTCTTTGTGCGATTCGTAGCTTCCCCCTAAGCATAGACGTGCGTGTGTGTGTACGTGTTGGTTGAAGTTGCCCGGTTGATGTGTTTGTTTGAATAGGACATAGTAAGTGTAGGATACTTTTTTAAATAAATTTTGAAGTGAAAACTTTTTTGGAAGATACTAAACGAGTTTTCTCCGTCTCTTCTTTGTGCGATGCTTCGTAGCTTCCCATGCAGGGACCAAAACGATCAAATCTTATCCGACAAAACCGTAATGCAACTAGGATTCAAAGGATTGCGAATGAAAGGACTGAAGAAGAACAAGAAATTGCACGTAAAAAGCGAGGCAGAACAAAGTTTGCCGGGGTCAGCTAGTATTCATATATATATATATATATATATATATATATATATAAGATAAGATATATAAGATAGAAAGTAGAGACCGACCGAAATTTCGGTTTCGGTTTCGGTTTCGGCCAGTTTCGGCCAAGAATTCGAGTTTCGGCTTCAGTTTCGGTTTCGGCAAAAATTGGCCGAAACTTTCGGCCGCACCGAAACTCACTTTTCGTGAATTATCGTGCGTCGCTCGGTTAACTTCGCGGCTAATGGCGGTCGTTACTTGCCATCTTAGTTCGCTCATATTAATACTATATTAAGTATCAAGTGACTAAACAAGGATTTTACTCCCGATATGGTTTATGTATCTAAAAAACCTGGAAATACTGGCGATGTGTAGGTAAAACTAGGAAAATATGTTTATGTAAATTAGTTTCGGTTTCGGTTTCGGCCGAAACTGATTGCACGGCCGAAATTTCGGTTTCGGTTTCGGTTTCGGCTAAAATCCAGTTTCGGTCGGACTCTAATAGAAAGGTACTAAAATTAGTTAATCATCATTATCATTTCCTCTTCTATATAGTTTTCTTTTTCTACTTTAAAGCTTTACAACCTTGAAACCGCCAGTTTTGCCACAGTTTTGAGACACAAAAAGCACGGGCGATCATGGCCATGAATAAAGTACTTTAGAAGAAGATGAAGTAGAATTCTTTATTATTTACCAAAGTTACCAGAAATTATGTTGTTCGGAAAATGTACATCAAAACACGATGAAGACTGATGGTGTGATTAAAACAACTATATTCTATGGTTACGATAAAAATACGGAAAAAAATAATTAATAATAGTTAAGTTATTTATTTAACTTAGTTTTATTTAAGTTATATATTAAAGCTTATATAATATTATGGTATATAAATATATCTATATCTAACTTAAATGGTAACTGTAATTTCTTGTTTATTATTTGCGTTGTTTCTGTCAATTAAATATAATACAGGATGTTATAATATGGTTTTTAATATTATTTTATTACAAGTTTACGTTTATTTGCGCTTTTTCGCACATGCTTGAAACAAGATCTAGCGCATAACATATTTATACAAATACCTTGTAAGCAAAAGCTTCACATATAAATTGACTTTTCAATAGAATATAAAAAAGAGTTAACTACATTCAATTATTTTATACCTAAAAACCCTTGATAAGGGCTAACAGAGGTAAGAGTCAATTAACAAGTCATTATTTAGTTACTTCTAGTTACATATTCAATTCAAACCAGATTTAAATTAATTACTAGATTTTGCTAAAAACATACCACGACGCAGTTGGTGCGTCTACAACTCAACTCACATTTTGCCTGATAACTAACACTTTAAAATAAAGCCTACCTCGTCCACTTCAATCACGGCGCGAACATCCTATGTATGCCACTTGAAACTTCAAGTCCGACGGATTGATAAATGCGACGCAATAAATTGAAATGATTTTTCCAAAGATGATCTCCCACTCTAATTCTCAGTATCGTTATCTACAAATAATCTTATCAAAGGTTTCTGCTGTACTTATATTTGTGTACCTATGTTTCAGTCAGGTGTGACTTTGTAATGAATTAAAAAGCGACAACGATTGCGTGACATTAAATGCAAACGTAGGAAATTAAATATTTCTTCTACTCAAACATTAAACAACCTCACAAGCTTTGCGAAAATGAGGTAAGCGTTTATTGTTTGTATACGTATTATTAATTAATATATTATGACAATTTTAGTACTGACAAAATGGCACTACCCAAAGCCGTTAGAGATTATTGTACTTTAAACGATTTACAAGTGGATGGAGTGTGTAAGTTAATTGAGCTATTCTTGATGCAGACAAGGAGATGATTTTAGAAATATTAGAACCATGGTCGGACGAATTGAAAGATAAGTGTCTCTCGATAAGTTGGAAATATTTATTGGAACAAAATATTCCAATTTCTTATAACATCAGTGAGTTTGTTGGCATTTCTTTGCTTCCATTGCGGTTTTATTCTCCTGGTGTTGGAAAGCAACTGCAACTAAGTAAAGCCAAGAAAACAAACATATTGAAATACATGATGAAACATATGGACGCAATTTTGATCTGGAAAGGTCCAACGGATAAAATATTATTATATCATATCAAACAAGTAGTATTAATGGCTAATGAAGTAAGATACTTGTTTCGCTCTGAAACTAAAAACTGCCATGGATCAAACTAATATTTTATTGCGTACAATATATTAAATATTTCTACGCAACAGGCAATCGCAACACATTATCATCATTAATGTCAAATGATAAATTGATTAATTATATTAAGTTGTGGAAAATTGGCTTAGAGAATATGCATGATAAAGAGAAGTGGCAAGATAAGAAAATACAAGACATGTTGCAGGATTTTGAAGACACTTACGATTCCATTAGAGATATTTACACTATTGATAAAATGAAGAAGTTCAGCACAATACGGACTAGTTTTTAAACAATTTAAGAATATTGCAAGTATTTGGTGATTGCTTAAAAAGTACAATATAAACTCCAAATATTTCATTACGCCTACAAAAATATTTTAAGTCGCATTTGGGAACAGATTACGAAAACTTGATTATGCTCAGAGACACTATATCTCACTTAACAGGAATACCACAATGTAATCAATATGACATAAAACAAGTTGCCAAATTGACCCACACAATGGAATCAACACTTCGAAAGATTTCAGATTCAATATTCAATGAATTCGATTCTGATTATGACTCTGATTCTGATAATTATATATATGATTCTCAAAAAGATCTAATTAAGACAATAAACCAAGAAATTAATGATGCTCCAAAATTGTCATATTATGACTGCTTAAAACAATTAGAAGATGCCCTCAATCATAATAAAGAGCAAGGAGAAATTGAAATGCTACTTATGATCATATTGAATAATTTAAATCAAGAACAAGGCAGATTGAATGCAAATCGGGAATGGTTCATGGAGAAATATCCGACATTAACTGGCCAACAACTCAGAAACCATCTTGCACATGGAGATCCAATTGTGGAATTAATGGATGTGGATATAAAGATGGCAGCCAGACACACAGCAATAATGCTGATTAAGGAATTGAAAATGAACGATAAGAACAATAAAAAGATCGAGAAGGTTACAAAAAGACCCGCAATTGAAGTGATGCGGAAAATCGATTATCAACAAATAACACACTTGGAAAAGAGAAGAAATTGTTTCAAATTATTATTGAAGGTGATTTGGAAAAATTTAAAGACTACTTACAAAATATTAGTTCCGAGTGGGTTAACTGGCAGGATTTAAGGAAAAGGAATGCCTTGCATTATGCTGCAGCAAACAAGAAAGATAATTTAGAGCTATTTCAATTTGTTCTTGAAGAAAGTTCAAGCTATATGAAACAAATAAAGACAGATAGTAGCTTACTATTTCAAGCTTAAAACAATTTTAAAATAGCAAAACGCATTGCCGAGTTGCATATTTGTGCATTGCTCGAAAACGACAGAACATTCTTGCAACCAATTAATAATTATGATATATTGGAATTATGCAAGAAATTAATCAAAACTGAGAAAATTCACAGCTTTTGGAACGTTTGTTATTATCAAATAAGTTGTGATAATATAGAGAATCTAAAACTATTATTGGATTCAATTTATTATTTGTCACTCAAAGACCTAGATTACACAGTATCGGGTACTGGGACAATGAATTTTCGAATGTATCGTATAGCTTCCTTTTATAATGCTAAAAAAGTGATGAACTATCTTATCAACATTGGATATGCAATCAATTATCCTAATATCAACCATCAAGAAATACATACATATTCCAATACTGAAAAATATAATGAATTAAGAGAGATTATTAAAAGTGGACAAGTATTCAAAGTAAAAGAACATAAAGAAATAGACGTCATGAATAGCTTGCATTTTGCTGTTCAAAGTAGGAACTCCGAAATAGTTAAGCAAGTGTATCAATGCCTGCCAGTATTATTATTTAAAAAGAATAATGAAGACAAAACACCTTTAGATGTTGCCGTCAATGAAAATCGTGTGAAAGAATTTAACGTTTTAATCGAACAGGTAACGAGCTATACTCGTATGTGATATTAATTTTGAGGACAGTTTGAAAATTCTTTTCTTTTAGGCAATCAATAATTCTTCAAAACAATTACAAATGTTTAAGACCTTGGCCAATGAAATTATTAATTTGCGTGAGTCAAATATTTTAGAGACAACAAAGGCGTGGCTGAAAATGTATTATCAAATACAATATATGCAATGAAGATGAACCCCGAGGAAAAATCGGTTCAATATTGGGCAATGTATTAATGTCTACATAAAATGAGTGAACATGTCTAATCCATTTTTTAGTAAATTGGCTCAAAGCATGTTAGGATACTACAAGTCAAACGAACACTTACTTAACAGCTGGAAACAAATAGCGATTAATACACTATTTCATTTTTCTGATGAATCGCCCATTGTCACAGAGTGCATAGATTTTGTTGTAGAGATATTCGACCATAAGTGGAGAGCACAACCGAAATATAATATCGCAGATCAATTAGAAACCATCTTAGTAAGTATATATAAAACAATAATATTGCGTTTAATTCAAATATGATTGATTTTAGTGTGCCAAATATGACCATTCATCGATTATTTTAGAAAACTCAATATTGCATTACAAAATAAAATTGAATATGGACATTGGAGTAAGAAAATAGCACACCATGCTAAATATGCAATTGAGACATTTACGGATGATCCTCATATTCAACGTTATGCCATGTATAAATTAACTTGTTCGATTTAAAATAACAAATATTAATGCTTTGCTGATTTTAGTAAGTTGATATATCATTTGCATAAAAGTGGAACAGATTCAGGAGTTTATGATTTATGCCTTCGAACATCGTTGAAAAAGTACTGTCAGTGTTTAAAAATGACAGCACAGTACACATATGTTGTTATTTGATCGGATTTTACTTAATTTGTTATGAGTCAACAGTGAGTATAACTTAAATATGAATGCTAAAATAATTAACTGATTATATACTATTTTATGTATTTTAGAAATTAGAAGAAACTGATAACAAGATAAAATCTGAGATGAACTACTTTAATCTAGAAGACGAATGGGAAATATATTTCAAAAATTTAGTTATAAGACACTTCGAAGTTTTGGAATATGACTGGTTAACTTATGCAGTTAAAACCCAATTTATGCCATACAATCCCAAAATAACAAATGAAGAAGTGCATGCAATTAGTGAATTAATTCATGCCATCCAAGAATGACAAAGAAAACGAAATATTGGAAATTATTGATTCATTTAAATGAAGATTCTAAAGATGAGTTGCTTTCAATGAGTGTAAAATACTTAAATGATCAACACTTTGAAATCCCTGAGGACGTTGCCAAATTCATTAACACCACTTTACTTAGATATCGTTTTTATACAAATGACACATCTATACAGCCAAAACCAGACTTACACAAAAAGGAAGAGGAAGAGGAAGAGGAAGAAAAGATTGGAGTATTTAATTAAACAAATGGATATTATTTTGAAATGGACGGGTTCAAACAATCAACTTTTATTATATCACATAAAACAAGTTATATTCCATGCAGATTCAGTTCGATATGGTTACGAAAATTTACTTCCTAAATTGCCATGGCTTCAGCTCATATTTTATCTTCAGCAATACATTAAGTATTTCACTTCAAGGGATGAAATTCACTTATATCAAATTGGACTTATATCACAAAAGAACTGACGAAAGTTATTAATTTGTTTCGAACAGTGCTATTATGCGTAAAGAATAAAAAGATTCATGTTAAGTTAACAAGTGAAGATAAGACTATAATAGAGGACTTTAAAAAGATATATCATGAAATAAGGGATGTATACGAATTGTACAGAATTTGTCATTATATTGACAAATCCAACCAAAAAACAAGGGTTTAATCATATTACGAATAATACAAGTAATTGGTGAATCTCTAAAGCAAACTGATAACACACCAAATGTTTCAGGTTGCTTGTTAAATTATATTAAGGAATATTTTTGTAAAGAAGATGTTACAGGCATCATTAACCTTAGAAATATAATATCTCATTTAACAAGAATTCCCAATTGTGTTGAGGCAATACCAACATTATTTGAAGAGGCTTTGAATGATATTTCAAAAACTTTTATCCATATTAGATCAAATTATATATGTAAGAAATATAATGATCGCATCGACAAGTTTATAAATAATTCACGTGACATTGGGGAATTGCCAAATTTCTATAATGTAACAAATAAAAATGTCATTAAGAATATTTTGAGCCGGAATCCTGATAGAGAAAAAGTAAAATTGAATATTCTAACAATATTAAGCTATTAACATTGGAAATTAAGAAAGACCAAGATAAACAAGAAAATACAACAGAATATCAAAATTGTTTAGAGCAACTACATAAATCCCTAAATGAGACAAATAATTATATGGAAATTGAATTGATACTTATGATTACATTAAACAACTTAAATGAAAAACAGAAGAGACTCAACACAAATAGAAAATGGTTTCAAGAGAAGTGTCCAACTTTAACTGGTGAAAAACTTAGACATCATCTTGCTCATGGGGATCCATTTGTTGAGTTATTGCGTATCGATGAAGAAATGGCAGTCAGAGACACTGCAAAACTGCTTACAGATGAACTTGACAACCCATCTGAACTTGTAATAGAGAAGATAACAAAAGTGCTGGGAGTGAATCAGCTGAAAGAAATAGATAAAATTCAAATACGTAAAACGGAACAAATTGAAAATCTCTTTGAATATATCAATGAAGGTAAATTTGAACAAGTCTTAACACTATTGGGTATTGTGAAGGATAAATGGGTATATTGGCGAGACAAAAACGGACACAGTGTAATTGAAGCAGCTGCACGAAACAAAGAGGACAATGTAAAACTATTTAAATTCATTTTAAATCAAAATCCAAAATTTATTAACCAAATCAATAAAAACGGCAACTCAATTTTATAAATTGCCAATATGGCAGGTAATACTAATATTGCAAACTATATTTTGAAGCAAAAGAATGAAGCCATACAACTTCCAAGAATTTCTGAGTCCACCACAAATCTAAACGAATTAGTGACGGAATTGTACAATATGATACTATAGAGCCGAAGCTACAAAATGTATGGATTATTGCTGTTTCTATTGTTCCTGGGTCCCACTTACTCGTATTGGTCTCACAAATGTCACTTGAAACATCTATCAACAATCGTACAGCATCGAAAACAACGGAACTGCACGTTTGGCAAGCGCATAACTCAATAACCCCCAACAAAAGAGAAGACAGAAACGATGCAACTACCTCCAACTCAAACTTGTTTCTTTATTTAGAACATGCTGCTGAAGATGATAGAATTGGGTTCGGTTTTTTTCATAAATTGTAAGTTGTAAATTAGAAATACAAGTGCAGATGTTATTCACCATGATATAGCAAATTTATTGAAAATACTCCTATGCAATTTGTTTATAAACTATTTTTTCTACTTCCATCTATAAAACGCCAGTTTTTCCATGGTTATTACTCGTAGACACATAAAGTGGTACTTTATATATAGGCGGTCAAGCCATGAATAAAGTTCTTTACTTTATAATGGTTATAAATGCGAGTACATAGGAGACATTTTCATGTTGAGGTTTTTTTGAATTTTTATATTTTATCCCGATGAAATCTCTTTGTATAGTACTGTGAAATGTAGGACTATAAATTATAAATTCAACTATTATTACTTTGACTTGTTTGACTGACGGCGCATGGCATTTCTGTGCTCGTGTACTGCATCGTAAGCAAGGCGTAAACTCCACCCCATGACTAAAGCTAGTGATTAAAGTACTTTAGTTTCGGCCTTGGCCGTCCGTGTTTAAAGTACCACTTTTTGTATCTCAAAACTATGGAAAAATGGACGCTTTATAGATGAAAGTAGAAAAATGAAATTTAAATTTAATATTTGCCCGACTATACAAAAAAAATCTATGCCAAATAATAATATAATAAAATAGTACTTTTCGCAATATTGAACTACATGTAGCAATTATTTATTAAATGTTCATCCTTATTTAGAATTTAAGTACATATATAGATATTTTTTCCTAAACATGTGTTTTCTTAAATTTCATGTGTATATTATAATAAAATTGCGTTTTAAAATAAAAGATAAAATAAACTATTGAAAAGAATCAAAATTAGTTAATCATCCCCATCTTTAGACTTTTTCCCTTTTTTCTTTTTGCGGCCGTCATCTTTTTCATCTTGATCATCCTTTCGAGCGTCATTTTTCTTCTTTTCCGGCGTAGGTTGCTGTAAGGGAATATGTGGCTTTCCACGAAACTGTTTTAGATGCAGAACCATATCATGGAATGAGGTTGGATGGAAGCTGAAGTAGGTGTTGTTGGTGTATTTGCATTTATGATATTCCTCTATTTCAGCGATGTAGTCTTTGTCCGGGCTGAGGACGTGCCCAAGATTGTCTAGGACGTCGACTTTGGCTGCTGCCTCAAGCTTTTCACCTGTAGATGTACTATATTAAAACATGATTAGTTATTTAATATACATTTATATATTTATATCCAAATCTACACAACATTTAAATTTTAGAAAACATTTTATATTTAATGAGAAACAAACTATAAAGTACCTCACCACAGCTATATCTTCTATAATATAAGAATGAATTGCAAAATATGTTGGTAAGCGTATAACTCAACAACGCCTTGACCAATTTGGTCAATTCTTTTTTTAAAATGTTCGTAAAAGTCCAAGGGTTGATTTTACGGCAACAAAAATTCGAATAATTGCCGGGAAAACCCCAAAGACAGCCCTTTTCTATAGGATAAAAATTGGCATTGTAATTCAATCATAGTTATAGTTAAATAGTTGATTCCGAGATGGCGCGCTGAAGTGCATTATTAGCAATTCTTTATATAATTAATTTCTTTAAAATAAAATTGCAAATATTATTTATCGACTTGACACATACTCTACAACAATAGAGTAAAAATGAATTAAAGTTTTAAACACTACCGCTGGCAAAAGCTAGTAATTTCATAAAAAATTTACGTAAAAAAAACAAAAGCCGAAATAATCCAAAGCTATGAATAAATGATATTCTTGTTTTCCTCAAACTTTAGCTTGAATACTATCAAAATTACTGAAAATCAGACATGATCAAATACAATTACTGATTAATAGTATCAACTATAAAATAACATGACAAACTTACGACTTGTTTTTGATGTAGCTTTGCACTCCCCATTCTCCTCATCATGTGATTTCATCATACTGGCATTGAATACCCCGCTTTTCTTCTTACAAGATTTTTCCTCATTACAATCACCGTCATCTTGCTTACATCCATCACAATCATTTCGTGAGGATGCATACGACATATATCTCACTCCGCTTATTCCTGCACACTTTACTCCTCCCTTTCCACAGCTACTTCCAGATCCTTTACACCCGCCATCGTCACATTCGCCATCCTGACAGCTCTTAACAGAAAACACTTTATTCTTCAAACTTTTCTTCTTCTCCTTGATTTTCGAACAAGTCTTCATATCAAACACTTTATCTTTGTCATTAGCACAAAGATTCACAGTGCAGGAATTCGTCGGTGCGCTTTTACACTTTTTCGAACACTTGTCATTCTTTGTTTTTTTGCAACTGGAAACAGAAGTCTCTGACGGACATGGCACACCATCCCTACCCACTTTGTGTGGTTTAGTAATATGTGATTGACAACCGCAATTATTCGGATTGAAGGGTTTCTTATCAGAACAAGTGTCAGAGCAAGATTTTTTCTTTTCAGGTTTCTTACACGTTGTTTTTTGGGTTTCTTGCATTCGTCTTTCTTTTTAGGCTTCTTACACGTTGATTTCTTTGGTTTTTTACATTTATCCTGTTTAGGTTTTTTACACTTATCTTTCTTAGGCATTTTACAGGTTGATTTTTTAGCTGGTTTAGGTTTTTTGCAAACCGATTTTTTCTCAGTCTTGCAAGTTGATTTCTTCTCCGGTTTTTTACACACATCTTTTTTGGGTTTTTTACAAACAGATTTCTTCTTAGTTTTACATGTTACCGATTTCTTTTTGGGTATTTCACATCCGCCGGACTTCTTTTTGGGTATCGCACATCCCTTCGGTTTACTTTCTTTTTCTCCGGTTTTTTACACGTGTCCTTTTTAGGTTTTTCACATATAGACTTCTTTTGGGTTTACATGCTGACGACTCTTTTTTGGTTTCGCACAAGTTGTGGATTTCTTTTCCGGTTTTTGCAGACGTCTTTTTTAGCTTTAGGTTTTTCACATCCGCTAGACTTTTTGGTTTTGGTGGTTTTACAAGACGATTGTGATTTATTATCAGTTTGTTTAGCAACTACAGCTGTGGTTGGTTTAGAATCTTTCGCGGATATTGATGCAGGTTTTGCCGGTGGTTTAAATTCAGCAGCTTTTTTCTCTGCAGGAGCAGCTACTGTATTTCCTTTAGCAGAAAGTCCTTTAAACATATTACAAAAAGGACCTAGAAAACAGGATACCTTATCAACATGATTTGCTTTTTTGCTGGCATCAACCGGTTGAAGATCAATTTTCTTCTTCTCAGCTTCTTTCTTAGCTTCTTTTCCTTGTGCTTTATCAACAGGGGGTTTTACAGGCGGTTTACTTTCACTACTAAAGTATCTCCTTTGATCCTCATGACCTTCATCTCCCTTGACCTTTCTTTGACACCTGTACCAATCGCAGTAATCCATAACTTTTTTAGTATTTTTTGCTTCTACGTCTGGTCTGTTACATTCATGACCAGCATCATCTGTGGGTATATAACAAGCGCAACCATGTAAATCCGTAGGCGGGCTCCATGGATGGACATTCTCGTAGTGCTGAAGAACAGCACGGTCATCACACCAACGACGTGGCAAGCGGTCTAGGATTTTATCACGCCAGTACTCTTCATCAATAGGTGGAGGAGAGGTATTATTGTGTCCAGCATGATGAACTGGGCATAAACTCATTGGACGGGTTACGGTGGTACCTCCTAATAATGCAGCGCGGTTCGCTCCCGCGCATGCGCGGAACGACGACGCCATTGTCATTAACGACACCATCTTGAATAGATGCGAGTATGCACGCAGCAGATGCAGCCGCATCAAACTTACAATTTGATTTTATTACTTTTGAATTAAATTTTATTATTTATACGCCGTGTATAAGGTATATCATAATTTCACTTACTGTTGAATTTTGATTTTTATCAGTTGGTAGTTTACATAATACGAAGTAATTTTGGGGAGAAAATTTTGAGGTCTTAAATTATGTGTGACATGCGCAATCGAATTTTGACATTTGATAAATTTGTTTGTGATTTTTGTTTTGTATCAGTTATTTGATTAGAAACCATGTTTTGTAAATACTTGCGAAAACATTTGAACAGAATTAATTGAGATCAAAAATTGTGCATTTAGACCGTTTAATATGAAAAGGAATACAAATCTATGCCATAACAATTACTTTTTGAATCATGACATTTTGCGTCAAGTATATCTACAATATTCACAATTTAAATTTAAAGAAATCAGAAATCATAAAATTTGGATGTAGATTTTTTTAATATTTATTATAAGCAATATTCTCATACCTACTGAAAAAAAATGACAAAAATTACCAAAAAGCATAATTAAAACTGTAACAACCGACCTCTGCAATGTAATTGTTGAATATTTAGTATTAATTATCACCTCATGTAAATCAGACTTTTTACCGTTGCACTGCTTTCACACCAATGAGTAAGTAAGTTCCCGCTAGTAAGTTATAGTAACTGTTAGTCGTCAACTATCACAACTTGAAATATTACCAAAATGTATAATCTCTCAATAATTTTTATTATTATCTGTGTCTGTCTAATGTGCAAACCTAGTTTGGAAAATGACGCTTTACACGCAATCAGTAAAAGATTCGTTTTGTTTCCACGATATTCTGTAGTACAGGTAAATAAAATATAACTTAACCTATAACATAAGTAATTACCATTAATAAAAGATGAACATTTCTTCTTATTGTCAAGATAACAGGTGGCTTATCAGTGCCAGCAATATTTCCACGAAGATCAATTAATCTAAGTCTTGGTTTTCAAATGAACCATGATTTACCATACAACTTAACAAACTTTGAGCCGTTGTACGGGCGCGAAAGTTTAAGCGACCTTGATTTTGACAGAAGTACAATGTACGAATACGTTGTAAATATTGTCGAAGCTTTTGGGTTGGATGGAGAGGCTTGTCTGCTTCGAACAATTTGTGAAGTTTCAGAAACTCCGATGCACCTAGATGACGAAAATGGCGAAAATCTTTTAGAACAGATCTTGCATTATTTATTAACGTAAATATCAAAATAAAATGATAAAATAATGTATATTATAAATATTAATTATATAATATTTAGGCCTTCGAAGGATTTTGGAGACCACAACGCTCATATTGACACATCTTTGGAACATAAAGTGTTGGTAGCGGAAAGACTTGGTCGAATTCATGGAGAATGTTACAAAATATTTAAATGTCCACTAAGTTTACTTGATCTTTTTACGAATAAATATTATTAACTCGATTTTAACCTAAAATTTCCTCTTTTATTACCTTTTTGTTTATTGGACCTATTAGGTACCGAATTTTAGATTTTTCTACTTCCATCTATAAAGTGACAGTTTTTCTACGGTTTTTAAACACAAAAAGTGGTACTTTATATACAGACGGTCAAGCCGTACGTAATATTCATTATCTACGGGTATTATGCACGGGACAGAGCAAGCGCCTGCGCATTTGCCTACGGAACAGCACAAGACTGTATGAAATGCCGTGCAATGTCAGTCAAACACGTCACAGCATGTGACCCAAAGCGTCACATGACTCGGCGCGCAGCATGGCATTTATAACCTTACATTTTGTAATAGTGTATGAGCAAATTTTGATGATTTAAAATACAAAACTTCAACGTGGAACTAGAGTGGAAGTAGAAATAATTGCGTATGCATCACGTGGCTAAACGTTGTTAAACACTCGATTGATTGATAGCTCGATATCATCTCGTGCGTAATGCCCTCGTTTAGCCACTTGTTACTTAATATACTACATATTATGTTGAAACCGTCAGAGGTCAGTTACCTATAGACAGAAAATAATTAGTATCAATTAACACCAATTGACGTTTGACTTGCAGTTTCTTTATAGTTATTTTACCGTTTGCTACAAATGTAGGTATAAGTCTACTACTTACGAGATTGATTTAGAATAGTTTCTGCCTTGAACCAAATACTCAAAATGTATACTTTATCAATTGCTTTGATTATTATTATTTGTTTATTTTCGATGAGTAAATCTAATTTAGAAACAGAAGTTTCACATACTATCAGCAAACGGTATGTTTTATTTCAACAATATTCTGTACTTCAGGTATGCAATTATGATCAAACAACATAACCTTATATACTAGTCTTATAATTTGAAATTTAAGATAACTTCGGGAGTATCTGTCCCTGTGATATTTCCACGTCGCTTGATCAACTTCAGTATGGGATTCAACTTAAACCATGACTTACCTTATAATTTTAGTAATTTTGATCCTTTGTATGGACGTGAGAGTACAGAAGAAGTTGATTTTGACCGAAAAACAATGTATGAATATATGGTAAGTGGCTTAGATGTCTTGGGTTTGGACGGGGAAGCGTGTCTTTGCGTACTATCTGCGAAGTTTCGGAAGTGCCTTTACATCTTGACGATGTCAACGGGGAAAATCTTCTTGAACAAATACTTCATTTTTTACTTACGTAAGTATTCATTTGCTTTTTGAAGCGACAGCAGCGCCACTCAAATTATTTTTTCAACTTCCACCTTTAAAGCGACAATTTATCTACGGTTTTGAGACACAACAATTTGTACTTTAAACTCGGATGGCCAAAGACATAAATAAAGTACTTTAGTCACGGGTTTTAGTCACGGGTGGAGCTTCCGTCTGTGCACTTGCCTACGGAGCAGTACAAGACTGTATGAAATGCCATGCGACGTCAATCAAATAAATCAAAGCAAGCGCTGCTGCTCGTGTCGAAGCTGCACAATATGGCCTGAAGCGTCACATGGCTCGGCGCGCGGCATGGCATTTATAACCTTAAATTTTAAAGTAGTGTGCGAGCAAATTTCGATGATTTAAAATACAAAAGTTGAAATACGTAAACCTCAATGTGGAGCTAGAGTGGAGTTAGAAAAAATAGCGTAAACATCACGTGGCTAAACGTTGTTAAACACTCTATTGATTAAACGCTCGCCCTCAATCAATCTCGTGCGTATTGCCTTTGTTTAGCTACTAGTTACTTAATATACTATTATGTGGCACTGCTGTTACTTCAACCTAAATCAATTCCACGATATTCTACTATACCTAACTATATTTTAGGCCTTCAAAAGACTTGGGAAATTCTGAATCTCATATTGACACATCCTTAGAACACAAAGTGCTTACAGCCGAACATCTTGGTCGAATCCACGGCGATTGCTACAAAATATTCAAATGTCCCCTCAGTCTCCTAGACCTCTTTACAAATAAATATTACAAATAAAAAAAAAACCACACACAAATGAACAATGTTTATAATGTGTATTCGTGGGTGGTATTGAAAATGGCAATTTCAAACAAATGCAAGTTAAATGAGCGAACCATGGGCCGGCATGCTCATGTAGCTGTCCCGACGGTCGACGCGGCCCAAAATGTCGCCACCGCCGCCTCCGCTAAACGCCATCAACATCATCTCATCAAGCTGCAGGTTTCCAGCCAACCAATGTTATTATTAACGGCGCCTATCACTGTAATCTTTCGGACAGTTACTCTTGTACACATTGTGTCGGCGCTTGCGCTTCTTGGGGCAGTATCTACGACGCAATTCAAGGCACTTGCGCACGCGTCGTTCTTCCCTCGCTTGGAACCGCTGCGCACGCTCTATATCCTTGCCCGCTTCCTGCTCATCATGCCAAGCACGCGGGTCTACTTTTTCACATATGTTGTCTTTGCAAAGCGGTAGAGGTGGGCATTTGGGATCAGGTTTCTGCCATGGATTCATACAGTTTTGTCTCTTGCGACACAAGGGATACCTGATTGGTTCCTCGCAGTGGCATTCCTCTGATCTAGGATTTGTACGACGACGTTTACGGCATAAGTGTGCCATTAGAACCAGGTCACGGTTTTGACTTCGGAGCACTGGAGCTATGTTCCGCGAGATGGCGCGTGCCGCAAAACACAATATACCCAACGAGGTCGACATGTTTTCGTTATTTCGATATCTTCTTCGATGTTTTCTATTACACTGGTAACTGGATTGAGACGTGAGGATGGACGCTTACGGTATTATTCGTAGTTAGAAATGGAACGCTCTCATGATTGAATTTATTTTGATTCTGATTGTGGAATGATAACACGGCGAATTTTGATGATGCGTCTGCAAGGACGTGTGCACCGAGGTGAATTGACTGATTGTGTACTCTGTCATGGGTTGCCACCGGTTCGAAACAAAATGCACACATGGCCGACTTTGTTAATTTATTGGTGTGATTTGTTGTTTATTATTTTGTTTTATGTGTCAGTTACTTGAGTTTTAATAAATCTTGAAAAATCGATCAGAGTTACTAATGAAATCCAAAGTGAATTTTTTTATGCATTTCTCGAAAGATTCTGAGTCGTCAGGAAACAGAAGGGATATGATATCATCGGTAGAATTTGAGATATTCAAGTCTAAAATTGTAACTGCGAGTAAACAAACTAGAATTTTGCACACGTACTGCATCGTACTGTCACAATGACCAAAATTAAGCTTAAATCAATTTACTTTTCTTTGTTAATTTTTTGTTTTTTTGTTTTACCCTCTGATCTGCTTTATTCACTCGCACACTACTGAGAAATGTAAAGTTATAAATGCCGTGCCGTACGCCATACCATGTTGCTTGCTTGCAGGTGATGGCCAAAACCATGACTAAAGTACTTTAATCACGAACTATAGTCTCGGGGAGGGGCTTCCAACTGTGCACTTGCCTAAGAAGCACTACAAGATCATATGAAATGCCATGCGCCGTCTGTCAAACAAATCAAAGCAATTACTTTATTAATTAATTTATTAATTGAATTTGTTAAGCATGGCCTTGTGGCGTAGTCGGCAGAACTGCGCGCAAGCGCTGCGAGTGAAGGGGGAAGGATACTCAAGGAGTGCGAGAGACGACAGACAAGAGGGGGTTGACTAGAGAACGCGGCAGAGAGACGACCGTGTAAAAGGGGAGAAGTCGAGATCGTGAGACATATAGAGATTGTATAATTAGAGAAATAAATAAGAGATTTTGAAATTAGAGACCACATGCGGAGTTATTTCTTAACATCAGAAGTGGGATAAATTGAGAAGAATATACTCCGTAGAGACAACGAAGATCGAGAAATTGGAGCCGACCGCGACGAAGAGACGAAACCACGTGCTTCAGTGGGTAAGACCTTTTTTTTACGAAAATAAATGCAGAGAAAGTGGCTTGACCAACCCAACCACACGTGATGTGGGCTATATTTGCAGTTTTTTTGAGAAATTTTGAGAGCACGTTTTTCCCGATCGTCACGGAGGACGCCATGTCTACGCACGGCTCTAATAATTGCGACGTCACCGAAAACACAGGACATTCTCGGGTCATAACCATCGACGACACCACCGGCAGAGGTTTGAATTTACGCGAACTGCTTAACTGGATATCCATCGAGAACCGGCGTCACGATGAAGTCGTCGCCAGGCATAACAGGTGTCTGCGCCGATCATCATGCCAGACGTACTGCGGAATGTACGCACCTTCTCCAGCGTAAGCGACCAACCGGAGGAGTGGCTGCAGACCTTGCGCAGGATCACCACGTTCCACGCCATCCCGGACCCATACATGCTGGAGACGGCGCGCACCCGACGGAAAGGAATGGCTACGAGTAGACACTGGTATGCATTGAACGCAACCCATATGAACACGTTTAGCGAGTTTGTTACAGAGTTCGAAGAGGCGTTTTGCGAACGTAAAAACCTGACGGAGCGCTACGCGGAGATGATCGCTCGAGTCCAGCGCCGCGGCGAGGCGATCGACGCTTACGTATATGAGAAGGCCTCGCTATGCCGCAAACTAGATCTCAACCACCGAAAGACATGCGAACAGATAATGGTCGGGTTGTCTTCTAGAGACACAGCCAACGCCGTAGCGCTCAAGCGATACACGAGTGTAAATGATTTACTTCATGACGTTTTAAGATTGGAGAAGATATCTCTCGACCGAGGACGGGCACACCGACAGCCCTTTAGGCAAGGAGAGGGGCTCTCGACGCCGGAGCGGACTACCCCGATGCCAACGACCATGTCTTCCCGAGATGTTCCCACTAGCACCTCATGGCGTACATCGACACCAGCGACAGTACAAGACCAACCAGCCGCCGCGGCGAGACTCCCAGCCAGAGACAGGGACGGACGGCCGTTATGTTTCCGTTGCCGAAGCTACGAAGTTAAACAAGAGATCTCCGAAACCCAGGCACAGTTCCACGTCGCCTTACCAGGAGAGGAGTATGGCAAGTATCTGAAGGAAGCTTCCATAGGGGGAAACCACACAGTGACAGCTGACGTCGATCCAGGAAGTGTTGTGTGCTCTATCAGAGAGAGCGTCGCGATGGCGAAACAACTGAAGGTGCGGCCACACGTGACCTCTTTGCGAGGTTTTGGCCAGAAAACGGTGTCGACTAAGGGTAAGGTAGACACCACCGTAAACATTGATGATGTGTGCGAACAGGTACAGCTACTCGTCGTGGAGGACTCTGCCCAGCCGTTTGACCTGTTGCTGGGGGGACGCTGTTAGATCTACCAGCCGTTGCTTTCGTGAAAATCGGTTCGGTGCTAAGGGTGGATTACAGCTCCCAAAAACCGTTTCTGGCCATGATGAATTTTGAGAAGCCAAGGAAGGTACCAATACACAAGCCATACGATGCCTACCCGGTTTTTGTGGGCCGAGTGTTAAGCATGGCCTTGTGGCGTAGTCGGCTGAACTGCGCGCAAGCGCTGCGAGTGAAGGTGGAAGGATACTCAAGGAGTGCGAGAGACGACAGACCAGAGGGGGTCGACTAGAGAACGCGGCAGAGAGACGACCGTGTAAAGGGGAGAAGTCGAGATCGTGAGACATATAGAGATTGTATAATTAGAGAAATAAATAAGAGATTTTGGAATTAGAGACCACATGCGGAGTTATTTCTTAACAAATTATTTAAAAATTAATACTATTTAAAAGTACCACCCTAGTAACTGAGATTTCAAAATAAAGCCGGACTTGGCCCGAACATTTTAGAATATAGAGAGCATCGCACAAAGACGAAACAGAGATAATAGAAAACATTGTGTGTGTGTTCTCTTATTCTCCCGCAGGCAAAACCATATAAGCAAATACGTTTGCTTCTTTTTAGTGCCGTTTAGCGTCTTCTAAAGAAGTTTTCACTTCAAAAAGTATCCTAGTAACCTTCTCCAAACAAACACATCAACCGGGCAACTTCAACCTGCAGTACAAACACACGCACGTCTATGCTTAGCGGCGAGAGTGGGGAAGCTACGAAACATCGCCCAAAGTAGAGACGGGGATAATAGAAAACTTTGTATTTGTGTTCTCTTATTTTCGCGCAGGATAATCCATATAAGTGAATATGTTCAAAAAGTATCCTATTACCTTCTCCTGACTCTAAGTTACCTCTCCACCAATTTTTAGCTGAATCGGATTCAGCCGTTCTTTAGTTATAAGCGTAGTAACTAAGTCGACTTTCTTTTATATATATATAGATACAAATAAAATACAAATTTTATTGGATTCATACGATGTTTCTGTTGCTAGGTGCGAATGTCCATTTACTCGTATATCAATTTGTTCTCAAGTGGAGACACGAAGTATAGATATCTACGAGTATACTTCATAAGTGGAGATATCCGTTGATGAAATCATTCGTTCTCGAAATAATTTCTGAACTGTTTAAGCAAACTCTTTATAAGCAAACTTTTTATAAGCTTATATGGAATGTGTCATATTTGCTAAGATCATGTACTCGTAATATCAATTTATTTGTATTTTTCAATTTAATTTGTCTAATGCATAAAAATGTCGTGTCACAGTATTTGTAAGCCTAAACTTCGATACACTTTGTTAAACTCAACCGAAACGGCTTAATTTTATTTGATTCATACGATTTTTTTGCATACTTGAGAGATTTGATAATAGGTCGTAAGCTATTTTTATATGGACAATTTAACAAATAAAGTTATAATTTACTATAAAAAAATAATAATAAATACTTATCAATAGCGATGTTACAACAATAAAACAACGTTTGCGGAGCCAGTTAGTAATTGATTTAATTATTGTAATCTGGCTTAAATAAATATAAAATACACGAAATCTTTAATATATTGAGAATCACGTTTCTAAAAACTAAGTTAATAACAAATCAAAACAATCTCTCAAGCTCATACCTAATTGGTATATGTTGACGTATAAATAATCTAAAACAAGTTATTTATCTCAAATTTTAATTAAAATTTATTAATTCACCACAATTAATTCAAAAGTTACAATGATTGTAACCTTTTCGGTTTAAGTTCACCCATAACTATAAGGTGACAAGTACGCAGAGTGTAAAATATCATAGCGTTTTATAAATGTGTGTTAAATTCGGCAAAAGTAAAGTAAAAAATTTGGAGGTCACCTATATCACCAAAGGATATAAAAATAACTTACGACCCTCAAATCTATCAAATATTGACCAAAATTGTCATATAAATCAATAAAAATCTAAACGTTTCGGCGGAGTTTAACAAAGTTTATCGGAGCTTAAGCTAACAAATATTGTAAAACAAGATATTTATATATTAAATAGATTAAATTAAATAAATACATCATGTCGTATCAATTTATTTGATATATTTAAGCGAAATATAATTTATACCTTATCTTTGTGGCAAATTCCAAATAACAAAACACTTCAAAATATATGTCGAAAATGGATTATATCATCAACGGATGTCTCCGAAACTCTTATTTATACCATTAACCACTGATTATACATATAATTAGTTCAGCTATAGATCAGCAACGGCAAAGCGACTAGCGTTGAACTCGCACACTTCAGGAGGTGCTATTTTCGAATAATTCGAACGGAAAATATTTTAATGCTTTTTCTTATTAGTATTATATTATTCATAAGGTGAATGTGTAAAGTATTAAAAGTTTACAAAATGTGTTTTATTATTTTTCTTACTTGGTCTTCATAACAACCTTGATAACATTTCTTCTTTAGTTCCACGGCATCATTATTTAGTTCATTGCAGTGGAAGTTTTATCAAAAAGCAAACAAAGCAAACATGCTTAGTGCGCATATAGTTAACTTCAGCTTTATTTAATCTCTTGGCTTTTCTATACAATAATATGCATGGACTCGTAATATACATAAAATCCTTCCTCAAGAATCCATTTATCAATTTTTAAAATTTGTTGTGTAGTTTAGGATTAAAGGATACACATTGCTTGAACGACAAAACACTTCCAAGTACTCGTATATCTCGAATATGAATGATCGTATCAACGGAAGTCTTTATTTGAACATAGATAACAAATTGATATAAATGGTAATTTGCACGGAGCAACAGAAACATTGAGATTTGTGTATTGCTACAAATGAACCAAGTTTCAATATTTGTTTAAGTTTTTTCTTTGATCAAAAATGGCGTACCAGTTGATAAATGCAGTAAAAGAAGGAAGTCTACAAAATGTGCAGATACTATTAAAAAGAGGATTTAGTGCCAATACAACTAATGAAATGGGCATTCCAGCATTGTTGTTTGCTTCGAATAAGGGACATCTGGAAATAGTTCAAGAACTTTTAAAAAATGGAGCTGATGTAAATATAGCTAATAAAGATGGCAACACAGCATTGATACGAGCATCGTGTAATGGACATATGGAAATAGTTCCAGAACTTTTAAAGAATGGAGCTGATGTAAACATAATTGATAAAGATGGCGACACAGCATTGTTATTGGCATCAATTAAAGGACCTATGGAAATAGTTCAAGAACTTTTAAAGAATGGAGCTGATGTAAATATAGCTAACAAAGATGGCAACACAGCATTAATATTGGCAGCACATAATGGACATCTGCAAATAGTGCAAGAACTTTTAAAGAATGGAGCTGATGTACATATAGCTGATAAATATGGCAACACACCACTTTTATGGGCAGCACATAATAGACATCTGCAAATAGTGCAAGAACTTTTGAAGAATGAAGCTGATGTAAATACAGCTGATAAAGATGGCAATACAGCATTGATATTGGCAGAACTTAATGGACATCTGCAAATATTACAAGAACTTTTAAAGAATGGAGCTGATGTAAATATAGCTGATAAAGATGGTGACACAGCATTGTTATTGGCATCAAGTAAAGGACATATGGAAATAGTTCAAGAACTTCTAAAGAATGGAGCTGATGTAAATATATCTAATAAAGATGGCGACACAGCATTGTTACTGGCATTAATCGTAGGACATATGGATATAGTACCAGAACTTTTAAAGAATGGAGCTGATGTAAATATAGCTAATAAAGATGGCAACACAGCATTGTTATTGGCATTAATCATTGGACATATGAATATAGTTCCAGAACTTTTAAAGAATGGAGCTGATGTAAATATAGCTAATAAAAATGGCAACACAGCATTGATACAAGCATTGAGAAATGGACATATGAAAATAGTTCAAGAACTTTTAAAGAATGGAGCTGATGCAAATATACCTAACTAATAAAAATGGCTACACACTGTGTAGTACATAAACACTAATATTGACATATTAGTTGGTTGTCAAATCTAATGTCAAATATTATCGTTTGTATGGGAAATAGAAAAATGCTGTTTTGAGGATTTTCCCGGCAGTTATTCGAATTTTTCTCACCTTTTAAACCTTCCCTAGACCTCCACGAATAATTCAAGACCAAGATAAGATAAATCCGTTCAGCCGTTCTCGAGTTTTAGTGAGACAAACGAACAGCAATTCATTTTTATATATATATATATAGATAGATAGATAGATTAATTAATTAAATAAAATAAATACATCATGTCATAATAATTTGTTTGATATATTTAAGTAAAATATAATTTACACCTTATCTTATTGACAAATTCCAAATAACAAAACATTTCAATATATATTCCAAAGATGAATGATCTTATCAACGGATGTCTCCATTTGAACATAGATAAGAAATTGATATAAATGGTGATTCGCACGGAGCAACAGAAACATTAAGATTTGTGTATTGCTACGGACGAATGCAGTGTTCAATATTTGTTTAAGTTTTCTCTTTGATCAAAAATGGCGGACCAGTTGATAAATGCAGTGAAAGAAGGAAGTCTACAAAATGTGCAGTTACTATTAAAAAGAGGATTTAGTGCCAATGCAACTAATAAAATGGGCATTCCAGCATTGTTGTTTGCATTAGATAAAGGACATCTGGAAATTTTTCAAGAACTTTTAAAGAATGGAGCTGATATCAATATAGCTGATAAAGTTGGCGACACAGCATTGTTATTGGCATCAATGAATGGACATATGGAAATAGTTCCAGAACTTTTAAAGAATGGAGCTGATGTAAATATAGCTAATAAATATGGCAACACAGCATTGTTATTGGCAGCACATAATGGACATCTGCAAGTAGTTCCAGAACTTTTAAAGAATGGAGCTGATGTAAATATAGCTAATAAATATGGCGACACAGCTTTGTTATTGGCAGCATGTAATGGACATCTGCAAATAGTTCCAGAACTTTTAAAGAATGGAGCTGATGTAAATATAACTAATAAAAATGGCGACACAGCATTGTTATTGGCAGCACATAATGGACATCTGCAAGTAGTTCCAGAACTTTTAAAGAATGGAGCTGATGTAAATATAGCTAATCAATATGGCGACACAGCATTGTTATTGGCAGCATGTAATGGACATCTGCAAATAGTTCTAGAACTTTTAAAGAATGGAGCTGATGTAAATATAACTAATAAAAAAGGCGACACAGCATTGTTATTGGCAGCTTGTAATGGACATCTGCAAATAGTTCCAGAACTTTTAAAGAATGGAGCTGATATAAATATAGCTGATAAAGTTGGCGGCACAGCATTGTCATTGGCATCGAGTGAAGGTCATCTTGAAATAGTAAGAGAACTTTTAAAAAATGGATCTGATGTAAATATAGCTAATAAATATGGCAACACAGCATTGATACAAGCATTGTGTAATGAACATATGGAAATAGTTCAAGAACTTTTAAAGAATGGAGCTGATGTAAATATAATTAATAAAAATGGCGACACAACATTGTTATTTGCAGCACATAATGGACATCTGCAAATGGTTCAAGAATTTTTAAAGAATGGAGCTGATGTAAATATAGCTATTAAAAATGACAACACAGCATTGCTACTGGCATCAAAAAAAGGACATATGGAAATAGTCCCAGAACTTTTAAAGAATGGAGCTGATGTAAAAATAGCTAATAAAGATGGCGACACAGCATTTTTATTGGCATCGAGTGAAGGTCATCTTGAAACAGTAAGAGAACTTTTAAAGAATGGAGCTGATATAAATATAACTAATAAAAATGGCGACACAGCATTGTTATTTGCAGCACATAATGGACATTTGCAAATAGTTCAAGAATTTTTAAAGAATGGAGCTGATGTAAATATAGCTAATAAAGATGGCGTCACAGCATTGTTATTGGCAGCACATAATGGACATCTGCAAATAGTGGAAGAACTGTTAAAGAATAGAGCTGATATAAATATAGCTGATAAAAATGGCGAGACAGCATTGTTATTGGCATCGAGTGAAGGTCATCTCGATACAGTAAGAGAACTTTTAACGAATGGAGCTGATGTAAATGTACCCGATAAATATGGGCGCACAGCATTGTTATTGGCAGCACATAATGGACATCCGCAAATATTGCAAGAACTTTTGATGAATGGAGCAAATGTAAATCTTGCTGATAAATATGACGACACAGCTTTGATATGTGCATCGAATAAAGGATATTTTGAAATTGTAAAAAAACTTTTGAAGAATGGAGCAGATGCGAATATAATTGATAAATATGGCGAGACAGCTTTGATCTCGGCTTCAATGAGGGGCCATCTTGAAATTGTGCAAGAACTTTTGAAAAATAGAACAGATGGAAATATAATGGATAAATATAGCGATATAGCGTTGACTTTCGCTTCGATGAATGGACACTTAAAAATAGTCGAAGAAATACAAAAGCATTTTAATAATGGCCTAGTTAATTGAGATAATGTGCCATCAGTAATAATTACATTACTAAAAGCTTATGTAGACAGTGTAGCTGGATTACTGAAATGTCAAAACAATATAAGAAGATTTCCTCAAAATTACTTAATGTTAATATATGCTTCAGGTAATGAACTTTATGAAATTGTAAGAAATTTCTTAATGACGAATTTAACCAAATTGGTTAAATTATATAACTGTACGTCATTATTGTGTGCAGCACTTATTGTGCATCTTGCAATTATTGGCGAATTATTAAAACACGATTTTTTCAACAATGAACCCTCAAATAATTTGCCAAACGTTATTCAAGAATTCATAGGATGTATTACCAATCTGAAAAAAGATGTCAATGGTGACAATATTTGTGATGTACTGGAAGCAATTAAGAAAGGAATTGATACTTTTCAGAAATATATTGGCAATGAATTAAAAGATAGAAAAATATCGTACGAATGGACAGCTCTAAGAAGCCATCTTGATTTTGTACAGGAAATGTTACAAAATACAGTAGATGTTGAAGTAGTTAATAAAACAGGCTACGTTATGTTATCAAAAGCAACATCTCCAATTCACCTACAAATTGTTGAAAAACTAGCAAACGACAATGAAGATGAGAAGGTACTAGAACTACACCAAACTTCGTTAATCAGCTGTATAAACCAAACCTATCTTGCGATTTTAAATATGTAATCAATTAAGGTTTCACACAATAGCCATCTTCAAATTTTTGTTAAATAAATTAGTTTGACTAAAAATATTAAATTATTAATTGCAACTTTGTAATAGTTCATTTTAAGAGTTTCACAAAATTAAAATAAAAGAATTGTCTGAAAAAGACCTAATAAGTTCAACAATATTTTCATATTTTTAGTGTTTGGCCATTAAAATTGTGTTACATCTCGGAGACTATCAAGACATTATTATATATAAATATATATAAATATATTTAGAGATTAAATTGACGTGATTTATAGATTACAATTTTGTGTGAGTGAAACATGTTTCGCTCTGAGGGCATCTTCAGTAACTGTGTTCGGTATTTTGTATTGTATTGTGAGGTGCTAGCGCCACCTAGACGTTATAGTCCAAACTATTGGGAGTAATTTTTAAAATGAGTTTACACTAGTGCCACCTAGTTTCAAGTGGCCTAAAACCTCTCTTTAATACAGGAAGCTATAATGCAGCTAGTAATACAGAACTTTGAAGTACGTTTATTTGTCACAAGAGGCTCGTCTTCGACTGCACAAACGGGAAGGTGAAACTACACAAAATTTGGCGCAACCACATCCGTCGGACTTGCAGTTTCAAGTGGCATTCACAGGATGTTCGCACCGTGATTGACATAGACAGGGTCGGCTTTATTTTGAAATGTCAGTGACCAGGGTGGTATTTTTAAGTGGGTTTAATTCATAGAAAATTCGATTGTTTTGTCATTCTAATTGTGTCTAGGTACGTGTCGTACTCTAAACCGCCCCTACCCCTACCTAACCGCCCCCAGCAATTTTTATTTTTATTTTTAAATGAAATACATTATTATATTATCTTATGTATAAGTATGTAACGTCGGTAAACGTTAGTTGCAAATGCATTATACTACGGGCATTTACAGGGGCATGTGTAAGCAACCCACAGTGTCTTAGAAAATGTGGGTTAAATGTTTGTTGAATGGACACATTAAACACTAAATCAGCTTTGATCAAAGTGTAAAGTGTCTGATTAAAATTTTCGAACTTTTGGTCGATAGCTAATCGCCATACTAGTAGCAAACGTTTAATCAATCGAGTGTTTAACAACGTTTCGCATTTAGCAACATGTATGAAGGGTTTGACTGACGGCGCGTGGCATTTTCTATGGCCTTGTACTGCACCGCACGCAAATGCGGGCGTAAGCTCCACCCCGTACTTCAAAAGAACTAAAGTCATAGCCTTGGGCGTCCGTGACTAAAATGCCACTTTGCATGTAAAAAGTAGAGTTTTTCTACTTATTAAATTCAAACACTAACATTTCACTTATCTTCTTGATTGAAAATATAACCCACGGGCGTCTGTACTGGAGGCGTACTTCCTGCCCAGAGATTAAAATATAAAGGTGCATTCGCAGCGAACTCTTCCTTGTACATTTCATATCGCTGAGAGGATGTATGTAAGTTAAATTTTAGGAAAATAATACCAAAAATATACTTTTTTTTACGCCAATTTATTGGATATAATTAAGTAAAATTTAATTTTTATCTTATCTCAGTATCCAATTGCAAAATACAAAACACTTCAAAATATATTATGAGAATAAATAAAAACATCAAGGTATATAACCCTACTTGAATTGAGATAACAAATTGATATAAATGGATATTTGCACATAGCAACAGAAACATTGCTACTTGTGTGTTGTCACGAACGAATCAGGTGAGTCAATTTTCAATAAGTCTGAATTGATTGTTATTATTAGCATTTGCAAAAACACGTTATACTTATTATTATTTAATATTTGTTTTAAGGATTTGTTCCGGTCTAATATGGCTGACCAGTTGTTGAATGCAGCAAAGGATGGAAGTTGTGTGAGTTCAACAGGTAGAAATGGAGATAAAGAATTGCTAGAGGCATCGAGTAAAGGACATCTTAAAATTGTTCAAGAACTTTTAAAGAATGGAGCAGATGTAAATATAGCTAATAAAGATGGTGACACACCATTGATATTGGCCTTGAGTGAAGGACATCCTGAAATAGCACAAGAACTGTTGAAGAATGGAGCAGATGTGAATGGGGTTAATCAAAATGGCGACACAGTATTGATGCTGGCATCAGTTGAAGGATATCTAAAATTTGCACAAGAACTGTTGCAGCATGGAGCAGATATGAATGTGATTAATCAAAAAGGCGGCACTGCATTGATGAATGCATCGATGGGAGGACATCTGGAAATAGCACAAGAACTGTTGAAAAACGGAGCAGATGTCAATATAGTTGATGAATGTGGCTACACAGCTTTGATATGGTCATTGATTGAAGAACATCCTGAAATTGCGCAAGAACTGCTGAAAAATGGAGCAGATGTCAATATAGTTGATAAATATGGCTACACAGCATTGATATGGGCATCTAATGGAGGCTTTATAGAAGTAGCACAAGAACTGTTGAAGGACATCTTGAAACAACTAAAGAATTGTTGAAGAATGGAGCAGACGTAAATGCAGCTAATCAAAATGGCGATACAGCATTGATACGAGTATCAAGTGAAGGTCATCTGAAAATAGCACAGAAACTGTTAAAGAATGGAGCATTGATACGGGCATCGCATGAAGGATATCCTGACATAGCACAAGAACTGTTGAAAATTGGAGCAGATGTGAGTATAGCTGATAAATACGGCTACACAGCATTGATGTGGGCATCGAATGGAGGTCATTTTGAATTAGCACAAGAACTGTTGAAGAATGGAGCTGATGTGAATATTGTTAGTCAAAATGGCGACACAGCATTGATACTGTCATCATATGAAGGACATCTGGAATTAGTACATGAATTATTGATGAATGGAGCATGTGTGAATGTGGTTAATAAATATGGAGACACAGCATTGATAGAGGCATCGCATGAAGGACACCTGGAAATAACACAAGAACTGTTGAAGAATGGAGCAGATGTGAATGTGGTTAATCAAAATGGCGACACAGCATTGATGCGGGCATCGCATGAAGGATATTCTGAAATTCTCGAAATAACACAAGAACTGTTAAAGAATGGAGCAGATGTAAATGTGGTTAATAAAAATGGCGACACAGCATTGATACGAGCATCGTGTAATGGACATCTTGAAATAACAAAAGAATTGTTGAAGAATGGTGCAGACGTAAATGTGTTTAATAAAAATGGCGACACAGCATTAATACGGGCATCGCAAGCAAGACATCTTGAAATAACACAAGAACTGTTGAAGAATGAAGCAGATGTAAATGTGGGTAATCAAAATGGCGAGACAGTATTAATACTGACATCACATGAAAAATAACTAAAAATAGTACAACAACTGCGAAAATACTTTAATAATGAGAGCTAGATTGCATGGTGTAGAAAAGGGCTTTGTTGCGTAGTAAATCATTGGTGTGTTGACACATCTGTTGCCCCTCAAGTCTAAGCGTTGGTATGCACTTGGCAATATCTAGCCAGTATCACTTTTAAGTTTGTCAATTTATGGCCCAATACTCCCGGCGTTGTAAATCGTATATTCGTCAAGTGCGTACATCTACTACCATCAGTTTTGCCACAAACAGCCCCTTGCTGAGAAGATAGGGTTGATAGCAGCTAGTAAATACTTTAAAAACTTAAGATTAGTTCGAATTTGTAATTCAAAGTATTATTAATGTATAAAATGTATAAAAGATACAAAAAATCTAAAAATGTATACCACAATTACCAAACTTGCTTCCCACTATTGTTGAGCGACAGGAGGCATTGATGAATACCAACGCAGACCAAGAAAACATAATGTCTAGAATTTCCGAATTGTTATAGCTTCAAAATCAACTCGACTCAACCAACTTATGCGATACTTTTACTCCAAAATAAACAGTCTTTTAATCACTGGTCTGTTGCTGAAAGACCAGGTAAAAAATTAATTAATCCTGTCTTAATCAATAATAATGAAATCTCTAAATACCCGTATTTTATTAACAAATTAATTATGTAATTTCATCAAGTAAAAGTCCCAATATTTCAAATATATTTACGTTTAATAGTCAAATTTGAAAGTTATTTTATTCTCTACGTATTAAAAAGGATGTAGTTTTTATTAATTTTAGTAATACATACAAAAGATTACTAACCTCATTTTTCAATTTTGTTTAATAGGAACGGTTAGTGTACATTTTTTGGGTCAATATCCAATGTTACAAATAATTTTCTTTTTTTGCCAAATAAGTCATCATAATGATAACAAAAGTAAGCAAATGTTATTTTTGCACAAAAAATAAAACAAGGCTTAGTTAAATAATATTAAATTTTAGTTCAGTAAGCCTTAAGTCTTATTTTTATTTATTTGCCTACTTTAGATATTAATTTTTTTAAATATTCGATGCGTATTTCCTTTTTGCTAATAAATAAATTTATAACAAAATAAGCCGATCACGCAGACGACTCTTGGTCTTAAGACGAGGGCGCAGTTTGGTAAATGGTGCTGGCGATCTCTTCTCCAAATACTCCTGATCAACGTTCAAGAAACGCTTCAGACGACTGCCATCAAAAGGTTCCTCCGAACCTGGCGGATATTTCCTCATCTAATAAATAAAAATAATTAATTTCAACTGAATAAACTTATATCTATTAAAATGAATATATAAACACCCTGTATAATTATTAATTTTTACTAGTTTATAACATCATACTCACTGTTGTCAACGACGACCGATTTAACCAGACTTTCTTCTCGACAATCAACGAATTTTATTTTTAAAGAAGAACAAACAATCTCGAGAATAAAAAGAATGCAAAGAGAAGAAAGTCATCGTCACATGCAAAATGTACGAGCGAAACTCGAAACACATCAAAAACAAATGACACACGAAAACTGTCAAATGTCAGACAAGAAAGGTAACTAATTGTACGTTTACGTAAACAAAATGCACTATAACTCAAACTTAATGCAGACACCATCACCACATAACCCCAATTCAACCCTATACGTAATAAATAACTAATAAAATGACAGATGACAACAAACAGCTGTCATGTTTGACACCTTGTCCAGTTTGGTTATGTTGTCATTGTCATAGTACATGCGTATACATGCCTCACTAAACAATTGTTATTATCGATAAATAATAAATTATACAGTTAGTCATTTTAGATACTTTGTAAATAAGTTATTCGTTTAGTGTCTTTTTGTGTATTTTGCGTGAGTATTATTGATCCTCGGCGCTTTTAATCCTCTTCTGTAAAAAATATAAAACAAATATTTGGCTATATTAACATCCTTAACCATTTTGCACATAACCTAAAATTAGTTGAATTCATTTTCACTGATTAGTTAGTTTTTTTGGTTTTGTTTTTTATGTTGATATGATGTGTTGCAACTTGTTAGCCGGTCGCTTAGCTTTTGTTTAGCGAATTGTGTAGTCGCGATTGCGCAACTGTACCATTATCCTGTATTTCTCCTTGCAGGCAAAGTCGCTTTCGTCGATGTCCTGATAGCAGTCACTTTTGTAGTCTTCCGGTAAGGGGCGCCCTTCGTGTTCGCAGAGTTTATTCAATGGTCGGGCCCTAAACGAATTTAAAAAAATGATTACTAGTAAATATGTTATAAAGCTTTTTGTAAACTTACTTAACAATAAGTTTATCAATGCCCGTTGGCTTGGTCATTGGGCAGTAGAAAACGTCAGGGGTGTTTTTATCGAAAACGATACTTTTGCGCATCATATCCTTGCTTTTGACTTTGACAGCTGTAGAGAATTCAATTGTCACAGCCGCAACGATTACAAGAACTAAAATTTGCTTCATTTTTATCTGGAATAATTAAGAAAAATTAATCGTCTGGAAAAAATTCAAAAAGTGAAAAAATGTAAAAGAAATTGTAAGGAAAACAAAACGTCGCTTTTACACTGATAAGCAAGGTGCATTTAGAAATTAATTTTATTGTTTGTGGCTAAAATATAAATGAATAGTGTGTAAAAAAGATGAAAGCTGATATTGGAACTTAATCATAGTTTTTCTTATATAATGCGAGTCCAGATGGCGCTACCGTGCAGTACGGTACATAATAACCGGAAGAAACAAGAAAGCAACCAATTAAACGCTTTTTATTAAATTTAAATCAGACAAAATCTAGTTTATTAATAAAAATGCAAAAACACATTCAGCTTTAATATATACAACGATCTCCTGTTAATATTAGAATCAAAGGTAAACAATCATGAGTATAAATAATCTAAAGTAAATATTATTGAATTAGATACACCAAACATTAAAGATTAGCCGAATTCCACTTCACTTCTCCCAGAGATTATAATAAAAAGATAACATTCATATAAATAAGATCCAGTAAAATATAAAAACATGAACTTTTGCAACAAATTGAGATTGAGTACAGGTATTGGCAACACACAGAATTAATAACTACCTTCCTCCCATTACATATCTCCGCACCCAACAACCTTAAAAACTACTCACATCTATAAATCAAACGCGAATCGACGTTACGCGCGAGTATTCGTCACGTTGCGCGTCGCCGTGCATCTCATCAACTTGAAAATCCTCAAAGCAAACCGCAGCAAACATTGAAACAATGAGCTCATGTTCGAGACTAATGTAAACGCAAATCATGTAATGCACTCAATTGCACAACGAATTATTCAATCAAAACGTTTGTCTGATGTGCTTAAATCAAGTGTGAAGTGTAAATTGAAAAAACAATAGAGCTGACTGTAAACAAATCGGATTTTTTGAATGGTAAGTTTAGTTTTATTCCGAAAGCAACTTTCGCTTGGTATACTTTTATTGAATCTGTGTTCCTTTCTGGTGAATTGTGCAAAAACCGTAAAAGGTCATCCTTCACCGCACATATGTCACTTGTAATACAGTGAAAACCACTCTAATACTTTAGATAACGGCATAGACTTTTGCGCAATATATAATTATATATTAAACTTACGTTTTGGTGAAAAAGCCAAAATCAAATCCGGATAAATCCGCGAAAAACAGCGGAAAACAAAAGAAACCCGCCCACTTCGCGACTGTTCGTAACTGTTCACTCCCGTTCACTAAGCTGGTAAGCGTACGTTTTCACTTCTTCTTCCGCCGAGCATACTTGAGTCATTGTTAGAAGCTCGGATCTCAGGTGCGCGTGGAGGTGGTAACAGGCTTACCTGGTGTACCTGGCTTAACACTCGAAGAACTAAAAAAAGTCATCTCGCGAAACCTTGAATGCAGCTTAGTTTGAAACCTTCACGATTCTTTACGAATATACACGAACATACACGAAGCAAAATTATATTGTACAATTGGCAAAAAAATCAGTTTTTGCAATAATTATTATGATTTTTCTTAATCAAAAGTAAAAATACTTGTATTAACAATATATAAAGATTAATATTTTCTTTTCAGTTATGTAGATTACCATAAAATTTATTTTTGCTAAAATAAAAATTTTCTTGCAACACTCGTATAATTTTAGTTACAGTAACCGCCGCTGTCCACTGACATGTTTTCATATTCTATTCATATATATTCTATGCCCACTTGTTGGAAGCATCTATTAAATGTTTCGCATTAATTGCAATTACGTTAATTACCCATAAAGTAAGCACCGTATACATTCGTTAATAACGTAGAGAGCTTGACGTAACGCATTAACAATAACTTTATCTTAGAATAATTGATTACTATTTATCTACATTTTTGCTGATAACTTTGAAGAGGTTATTTGTTATAAAAAAATGAATTTGTCCTAAATCCATATTCATTTACACATAACTGTATTCAGCGTAGTGTGTTGCTATTGCGTCTATGTGCTGTAATACTGTAGTACTTTAATAAATTGTTTGCAATGTCCTTAACCACTTTGTTTGTAAGTTTAATTTTGCTTTTTATTTTTATTTTTTAAATATTATGTAATAAATAAGTGATTTAAAGTTTAATGGATAATATTACATTGTTTTCAGAATGAGTGACAAGCTACAGGAACAATTAGAGAGTTTAAGCCATGAGGAGTTGCTTGAAATCACTGAAAGCAGTCTACGGCGATTGATTGCTTCTGATGCACTGTTAAAAGATTTACCAGTTGATGTAACTATTGAAGAAGTGAATGCTCAGGTAGCAGTTGTAAGAGGACAATCCATAACAGTAACGATACTGAGAAGTCATGAAGCACCATTAAATGTAGTCGTAAGTCAAATTTTTACTAAATTCATTACAAATTAAATGTAATACAATAATAATAATGTAATACAATATGGTTTCAGATACCACAAATTGGTACAACAGTATTAGCACTAAAGAAAGCTATCGAGCGTTCATTCAATTTAAAGCAGAAGCGCTTAAAAAGTCGCACGAAAATATCGTGGCGATACGTGTGGCGAACATATCACCTGCAGGTGGACGGACGCACAATGCGCGACGGTAACGAGCTGGTGGCGACTTACGGCGTACGCAACAAGTCGGAGATTTCCTTTGTCAAACGACTACGAAAGCATTGACCTTAACCACTTAAAACTTAGATAAATTAGTTCAATAGTAGGAGAAGAATGATTATTAGAGTTTTTTTACTCTGTGTGCTGTTCATTGTGATGAATGCGCTTGGGCATCCTTGGTTAGAACAGATTGGCCGGCTGGAAGTGTTATCAAAGCAATGCGAGTTGCATCACAAGCGGATGGATCCGACTGGCGAAGATTTGGATCATATTCTAGTCGATCACAAGCATAAGTTCTTGTATTGTTATGTACCGAAGGTAAGATTGATATTTTGAGCAAATTTAAGGGTTGGAAAACATTAAATCAACTAGATAGCTGAAATAACTTTAATTATCCAAAGATTATGTTTTTTTTTTCAAAACAATTTTTTAATTTTCAGGTGGTTTGTACGAATTGGAAACGTCTCCTAATGGTACTCACCGGCCGTTCTAACACCACTAACGTGGTATCAATACCAGCATCCTTAGCACACAATGAATCTTCCCACCAGCGGCTCTCTGACATCCCTACCTCCCAACTGCCACCGATTCTTTCCACCTACACGCTGTTCGTCATGGTACGCCATCCCTTCGAGCGTCTTCTCAGTGCTTACCGCAACAAATTGGAAGATAACCAGGCATCCGCCAAATATTTCCAATCCATCTTCGGACGACACATAATCAAACACTATCGCAATAATGCTACGCAAAAAGACCTAGAAACCGGCGACAATGTCACATTCAAAGAGTTTGTACGTTATTTGATCACAGAGGGCGTTGATTCCGCATCGGCTAATGAACACTGGCGATCTGTATATAGTCTTTGTCGGCCCTGTGATCTCGACTACACCTTCATTGGCAAATATGATACTTTCACAGAAGACACACAAGCTGTGTTGGATTTAATTTCGGCGCCAAAGTTAACATTTCCGCATACCCGGTCGGGAAAAACCGGCGATCGTCTTCGGACCTATTTTCGGCAATTGGATTTGGATGACATTAAAAGTTTGTATCTACTGTATGAAATGGATTTCAAACTGTTTGGATATACGGCCGAAAATATCTTAGGATACGATTTTGGCTAAGCTAGCAAAATGGCGGATGGACAACACTACCTCACTAACGAAATTTTACCATGACGTCTTAAGATAATAAGTTGTATTTTTTTGTACAGTGAATAATTTTTTACCAGAATTATTTGCGTATGATTTGCCTTTCGTAGTCCGGGGCGCATGCGTCTGTCAAGGACTTGGCGTACATGTCAAGACGTTGAGTCATTTGGAAACCCCAAACGTCCTTTACTTGCCTGCACATGTTTAGGTCCATCTCAGCAATTAGCAAGCCGTTACTAACCCGGCTCAATCCCTGCAACCCAATTTACATTTTAGAGTGTTGGATTGCATATATGTTATACTTACAGGTGTTCTTGATCCATTCGGTGCAGCAATATAACTAGATCCGTAAAAGTGTCCGAAATCTTTGTGCGCAGGTTGGCCATTAGCTGAAGTAAATTCGTTTTGGAAGTGTTCCGTTCCCACGCGGTTTATGGCGCATGTAAAGTACGAGTTGGCAATGGCGGCGTTGCGAGCTTCAATTCCCCACAACGGTTCACTTAAGCCATCAGTCTAAATGTATAAAATCAATTTCAATTGCAAACAACAAAATTAAATAAGAATAACTTACGGTGGCAGAAGGATTGAAGACAATCTCCGCACCATTTATACCAAACATAAGCCAATTCAAGGGATGATGGCGGCCATAACAGATATTAATAGCAATTCGACCAAATTCAGTCTAGAAATACAAAATAACTAAACAAACTAGTAGTTCAACATTGAGGTTGTGGTTACCTCGAAAACCGGATGTCCGGTATTGCCTTCATAATAATACGTTGATTCGTTAAAGTCTCCAACGCGCGGAATGTGATTCTTGCGATGTTTACCCAGGATATCGCCGTGATTATCGATAACTACAGCCGTATTCCAGATAGTGTCACAATGCATTTCATCACGCTCCAAAATCGGCGAGATTATCACCATATTGTACTGTTTAGCCAGCTAAAACAAATCACAATGAATTGAATGGAATTTGTCATATGAATCATTACTTACTTCTTGTAAATATTTAATTGTTGGTCCATCAGTTGCACTTTCAGCGTATTCACACCATGGCTGCTTTTCTCTCGTACAAAACGCAAATGGCATATCTTTGAGAACAAAAAAAGTGCAAACTTTTATAAAATTAATTCATGTTTGTAGCCTTACTCCATGTTTCTTGGAAACAAAAGATGTTTGCATGTCCGTAGAATGCAGTGGTGATAGCGTCATGCGCCATCTTGTGCATGGTAGCTCTCATCTGTTCAATGGGCACGTTAGTTGCCATTGGTGTTTGATGCTGGAAGATACCAACGCGGACCAAGCGGGAAGCACGTAGTTGTTCGGGATGCGCGCCGAACGTGTACGCTTTTACTTCGGCGTTTTGCATGCGCGCATGCGCAATAGTATCTTCGGATATTTCCATCGGACTAATAAAAATTCAGTTTATAATTACTAATACATCAAAATTGAAGCGAATTAACTCACCGAACATTTTTACCGTAGTATATCTCTTGGAATACCTGCGCATCAGCATCTGGTAACTTCTTCAGCACGCTTTCGATACTCTCTAGCTGTTGCTTCTCAGCAGCCATGTTATTTGAATGTTCTAATCTATTTGAAACAAATTAACACCTTATAAAAATTTAAAAAAAACACGAAATGTTTTGTGTTACGTTGTGGAAAATTTCAATGTTTAGTTAAAATCACGCCAGCTGCTCTGAGCGAGCGTTGAAGCGCCAATGCGCGTTTGTTTTCTGTTTTCGCTAGCGTTTTATTGCTTTCAGTATAAATATAGAATGCTTGTAATGCTCATATTTTATCGCCTTGTACACACTCGCACACACACACACAATATACATGTGCTGTTGCTAACGCTTTTCAGTTGTATTTCCATCACTTGACTTAAATCTACCAAGTGTTGATTGAACAAATGAACAATACTTAAATTAAGCGATTGTTTAGGATAAAACATTTATGGTAACACTTGGTAGATTAATAAGATTATAATTATTTGATAAATACCTTTTTAAATATGATGGTCCGCAGAAAATATCAAGTTACATAACAATGCATCGGATTTTAATTCGTCAGCGCATTCAACTCACAATCTAAGTAAAATACTTAAGTAACATGAGACATCAGAGTCATCAAAGTAATAAACGGAATACGTAAGTAAATAAAGTCGTAAAAGTGTCCATAGTGTTGACATCACGTTTTGATCTATTTGGAAAATATTCACTTTCGATTGCTGCGCGTACTGGTGATAATGATTTGAATAATTATTGCTCGTAAACCTTGAACGCACCACAAACGATAAATATTCAGTAAACTATTGAATTACGTTCCATACCGATAGTGGAGTTGGCCTGTTCTTGTGTACTTGGTTGCCTATAAGATTGTTTCAGGTTATTTGCAAGTTTATCGATATTTTACCCGCGACTTCGTCCCGGTAGTGTATATTAAAAATATAATTCGTTTTTACTCTCTTGTTTTGGACATAGAATGTGTTAATTCCATCAATAAAATTTGCAATATTATTTTAAAGAAATTAATTATATAAAGAATTGCTGATAATGCACTTCAGCGCGCCATCTCGGATTCAACTAAATAACTATAACTATGATTGAATCTCAATGCCAATTTTTATCCTATAGAAAAGGGCTGTCTTTAAGTTTTCCCGGCAATTATTCGAATATTTATCGCCGTAAAACCATCCTTGGACTTTAACAAACATTTAAAAAAAGAATTGGCTAAATTGGTCTAGGCGTTGTTGAGTTATGCGCGTACCAACAGATTTTGCGATTCATTTTTATATTATCGATAGATAAATTTACCTGACAGGCATCAATCGTAGATCTTCAGTGTGTTGTTCAATAATATCAAGTATTTTCGCATGCAAGCGTTTGTTCTTGCGCTCACCCTCGCTATCTCTTGCCGCCCGCTTGAGCCGCTCGTACTGCGCACGCTCACTAGCCGACAGCGAAAACTTCGCCAGCTCCTCCCGGTTCCATTTCGGTATCGCCAGCATGTCCGTCCGCCATCCGTGGTCGAATCGCTTCGGGTCCGGTTGCGGTCGGTTCAATTGATCCTGTACGCTAACGGATCCAATAATAGTTCCATGTTGGCCATTTTGTTAGATATCTTTAACAGGACGTTGTTTCAAGATTGCGGTGAATGATGAACTGTCAACCGCTGGTGTTCCGTATGAAGTTGAATGGTAACACGGTGAATTTTGAATGTGCGCACTGCTCTTATGAATGCATAGTTTGAAGATGTCGGCAGCACGCACGTGAATGATTAGTAAACATATTTAGGAGACTATCACTGGGAATTTCATTTTATGTTGTTTGGCCCATCATCGCCAAACGCGCCGTGACAACACATCGGTTTGGTTTTGTTTCATGGCACATGCAATCAGAAAAAAATGTTACGCATGCGCATAAATAAGATTCAAAGAAATTAGTTCTTGTTTATTTTTATTGTATTTTGTAGATAGTTGGCTTAGCTTTTTAACTTTTCGATTTTGGTCCTACCCTCATTGATCATTGATTATAAAGACCAGTTTTTCTCATTGCCCCTTTATTATTCTGCTTATTATTCTCCTTATTTTTCTTTTTATTATTTTTATCATTTTTCTTTTTCTCATTCGTTTGTTTTTGCTTTTCTTCTTCTTCAGTATCTCTATCAAATCTGTGTTTCCACTTGTCTTCGGGGTTTTTGTATTTGGGTGTCACACATTTGGGTTTTCCTAAATTCGCTGTCCTCTCGCTGGCTTCACATGTCAACGCCGCCTTACTTACTTCGAAGGGATGTTTTTTTGTAACTTTATCTTTGCGTTCTCTTGGTTTGGCGAGTGACGACGTTTTTTCTGAAGCTGTAGCAGTCAAAGCGCCTTTTTTGACATACCTTGGTGCTTTATATTTGTATTTTTTGGTTGTATTACGAGGTAAGGGCTTACTTAAGTTTTGAGTGCGTTCGGAAGCTTCGTGTTCACGCGCTGATTTTGAGACTTTTGTGAAGTCCCGAGGGCGTGGATTGCGTCGTTTTGTGGGCTTAGCTAGGTTTTCTTCGCGGCTGCTTGCATTATGTTTTAGGGCAGCACGAGTAATTTTTAGAAAATTGCGGTATGTTGGGTTCTTCCGGTCCACAGGCTCTGATAAACTTAAAACGCGTTTTGTTGCTTTATATTTTAATGCGCTTTTCTTAACCTGTAAATATTTAGTGTTTCATGCGTAGTTAGTCGTTATTGTTGGTTATGTTATATTTACATGGTCAATTTCCGAGGCACTGCGGTTGTGTTTAACGGAAAAATCAGGGAATGGTTCGGCCATCTCGTCTAGATGTTCTAGAAACGCCGCTTTTTTTATATTTATCTTCTTTCCTCTCTAAAAATGTTAAGTGTTTCCTTTTTTGTTTCATATAAAATGTTTCTACTAACCGAGAACTTTTCTGGTAACATGCATAAATGGTTGAATGTGGTAAGTGGTAGCGAGTTACGCTCGCACCACTCAATCAGTTCTCTCTTCATTTTTTTATATTTATATATAAATATTGCCAAATAATTATAAAAGTCCTTTTTACTTTGTTTCACTGAGAATTTTGGGTGTTAACGATGATTTTGATGAAGAGACGATGTGAATTGGTGCACTTTTTGAATTACAATGAATTTTGATGAAAATGGCGGACGTTTAACGATTGTCACGTCGCCATCTTGTCAAACATGATGTAATAAGTTGGTTAGGATATCGCATAATTTTCATTCCTTTAGGCCAAAGTAGAGAAAAATTCTAAGTTTTTTTATAACATACAATGTTACTTGTAATTAATAATCAAAATGGATCCTATATGTAAGCCGATTATTCCAGCTCAAATTTTATATCGACGACAAGTTGCATGGGTGAATAAAAATGCATTGCCAAGAGTATACCCGAAACCACCACCAATTGATGTAATTGAATAAAAAAATATCAATTTTCAATTAAAATTTATTCTTGTGATGCATAAATGAACTTAAAACTATATTATTTTTCAGAGGGGACCGAAATTTTCCAACACTGGCCGAATGGAGGAACTTTCCATTCCGATGCATAAGTATATAAAACCGGAAAACGACCCGACATGTTGGGTCTACCTTTTACTTCATCCCGTGAAGGAATCTGCCAAAAATTACGTTGCATCTGCTGCAATTGATAGTTTGGCTGAGCCTCGTTGGGGACGCCCGCCATTAAAAAAACAAGTAAGGATTAACTTGAATTACTTTTTAAGCTTTACAAATTAATTAATTTGTTTTATGGTTGTAGACAGCGTGGCATAGTAAACCCTATAGGCAGTACACCAACGGTCCATGGTCGGAGCGGATAGAGAAATTGAGCCAGCCGAAGATTCCTTATAAAAAGATAGAACCACCGCCGCCTGTTTCCCCAAAAGCAATGCAATACAATGGTACGTTTTTAAATCATACTATATATTCACTGATACCCGACCTCAATTGTGAATTTAGTGACTTAAGCATCTTCGCGATCAAGTCGTAAATGCCGCATGCGTACCTTCCCCCACTATTTTTTGTGGGTTATCCATTCACGACCAGACGCGTAACCTACCTTTCTGCCATACTGCGTGCTTATATATCCCATTTACCATTCTAGCAAGTGAACGTATTACCAAACTGGCTGAACCATGCATGCGCAAAGTCGAGCTCAATGAATTTGCCTTCACTGTAAATCCGATAGCGCTGAAATACTTTCCTTCTGCACGCACGCGCAAAATGGCGAGACCACACCACGTGATGACAGCGGCGGAACTAGCGGAACAAGAGGCGAGACACGAGCGACATAAATACAAATACGATAAAGAACGCGCCCGTAAACTAGCTGCTAAAAGGGAAGCTACGGCCGAACGACATCAAAAAGAACGAAAATCGCTAGGTATCTAGGAAAGACAACCTCACAAAAATAATAATGGTGAGTTTTTATTAAATGTACAATTTCCGCATCGGTCGACAAATTAAATAAATAATAAATACTGCGGGACGTTCTGGTAACGCAACTGGTAATGAAATTGTTTTCAAATTGGGCACACACTGAATAATATAGACAAACATAATAAAATGCATTGTGATGCCTACATTAAGTAATAATTCGTGTTTTATGCCGATGGCAATGGTTGCAGATTATGGATGACAGCATGGGTAAACTCTTGCGTGCTGGCTTGACCTCCAATGTCCTTGGTGCGTACTTTGCCATCCTTGAGGACTTTCTCTACTGAATTGCGGATCATGCTGCCGTAGGCTGGTAGATTGACATGGTGTAACATTTTCGCTGCGCACAGCAACATGGCTGTCGGGTTGGCGACATTTTTGCCTACTGCTTCCGCAAATGTATGTCGCGCACCCTAAATAATGAAAAATTAGTGAGTTTTTAGCATAATATGGTGTTTGTTTTACATACAGGTTCAAATACAACTGATTCTGCTGAGTATGAAGCACCAGAAACAACGCCAGCGCCTCCTACAAGACCGGAAGCGAGATTATCGAGAATACTGCCGTATAAGTTAGGCATGACCATCACATCGAACTGTTGTGGGTTGGAAACCATCTGCATGGTGGTATTGTCGACGATCATCTTCTCAAATTGGATCTTTGGGTATAGCTTAGCGATCTATCCAAAAAAAATCGATTTTAGTTTATTTTATGTTTTAAATTATATAATACTTACAGTTTCGCATGATTTTAAAAACAAGCCATCGCCAAGTTTCATGATGTTTGCTTTGTGGACAGCAGTGACCTTCTTGCGGTTGTTCTTGGTGGCATAATCGAAGGCAAATTTGGCAATACGTTGGCTTTTCTTCGCCGTGACAATCTTGAGACACTCAACAACCCCGGGCACACCTTCATGTTCCAGCGCGGAGTACTCGCCTTCGGTCTGCTCACGAATAATTACGGCATCGATGTTACTATGTCGTGTGTTGACGCCCTTCAGCGACTTGACGTGCACTACGTTCGCGTAGAGGTCGAGTGACGTGCGAAGCTTCATATTAAGCGTCTGCAATTCCCCGGTGTTACTGTAGTCCGGTGTGGCGAGAATGCCTTTAAGGCAGACGCGATTCCGCGAGATGGAACCGACAACATCATCGAGGGGTGCGCTGAGCGTGGGATTCACCTCGAGAAGAAGAAGGTCTCAAAGTCAACTGGAACCGTTGCGGATTTGAAGACTTCTTGAACAGCGTAGATAAGTTCTGGGCCGACACCATCACCAGGAATGAGTGTGCATTTAGTTCGAGCGTCAGGGCGATCAGGGAGCTACAACAAAGGGTTAATGTAAAATGCGTTTTGATTCTTAAACAATTTTCTATTAAAAGTTTTGAAATGAAGTAAGTTCGTTGGTAAAGTTACTGGTATTTAATACTACAAAACGGAGCATTTAACCAAGAATCGATTCCTAAAGGAATTAACATTACATCTTCTCATATTATCAAGTTATTAAGCAAAATGTTGGTAAAAACACGACTAACTCAGGTTTGGACCGTTCTTCATCACTATACATGAATCTTTTAGGTTAACAATATAAAACAAATGCTTACCGCATTGTTGGCTGTTGTAGTATGAATAGACCTCAACGTGGCATTCGAAGCCTAAAAACATTTAATTATAATTATTTGAGATTTTAAAATATGTAGCCACAACATAGTCTGCTGTGTTTTGGTTGATTATGTAACTTACTTGGCCCAAAATGCGTGGCGTCAATCGTGCAAACACTGCCATTATCTTAATTTTTTAGTCAATTACTTTTAAAATTCAATAATGCTTAAGCCCTTTTGTTTGGTATATAAATTGTTGAAGTACCTAACTTTCGCTCAACTCGCTCCACTTGAGCGATTTATCGTCAAATATTTTGAGTTGGCCACATGACACGAGGTCGCTGTCATTGAAGCGCTGAATTCAATTATAATATGCGAAAATATATGATGACGTACGTAGAATCTAAGTAAAAAGGAAAAGTTTTAAAATTAACGTAAACAAGTATTGATATATTAAAATAATTGTGGATACAATAATTTAAATATACCTTAAAGTTGTTGCAAAGGGTTAATATTGAAATGCTAAGGTACAAATAAATATCAATCAAACGTTGGTAGCAATTATGCGACTATGATCATAGAATCTGCTTTTAATTAGTATTAATTTATGAGTTCATTTTCCTGGTAAATAATTTTGCAGCTTTCGTAATGCCTCTGTAACAAGTTAAATAAGTTGCCTATGTTCAACTATCGTTACATCAGAAAAGTATTCTTTAAAAGTAAACTAAATGTACAAAACTAGTAAACGAAAAACAGGAAAATTAATTTTTGAATTATTTAAGATGTAACAAACTAATTTATAGCTTGATTTTACGCTTAAATCTTTAAAATAACTTGGTTATAGAGGTCGCTGTAAGCAGTCAACTGAAAATTTTAGCGAGGAAGGAAGCGTTAGTACCGCGCTCGCCGCCAGGTGCTCTCCGAGGTACATTGTTTCCTGACGTCATAAACAACGATCAGTCAGCGAGTGAGCGAGGCGAGAAATGTCGGCGTGAGCCAAGACGAGAGTTGCAGTAAGTTCGGTGCGCGCACACACCAGTTCGCTGAACGGATCTCGCGGTCGACGTTAAAAGAACAATCCTCGTCGACACCGTCGTCGAGACACCGCGTCGCATCCTCGTCGCGCCAGACGCACGTTTACGCACAGTGCACCAAGCAGAGCGACGCTCCGAGCGCATTCGCCAGAATGTCGACGCTGAATCCAGGAAAACCGGATTACACAGTGGGCGGCAAGTACAGGCTGATTCGGAAAATCGGCAGTGGTTCCTTCGGGGATATCTATCTAGGCATCAACATCACTAATGGCGAGGTAAGTCACAGTATTCTCCAAGTGTGTAACTCAACGCGTGCATATGGCCACCTGGGTGAGGTTGTGTGCGTGTAAGCGAGCTGACACATGCACGCGCCGAGCGCTTCACCATCTGCTACTGCTTTGTTCCGATTGGTGGGGAGAGGACGGGCACACACACAAACATAGACGAAGAGTGTATGTACACGCGGTGAGAGCGCCGAGCGAACGCAGAGCGCCGCGAAGTCGGCCATGTTTCTATTGCGATACTCTGCTCGCTTGTCTTTTCTTTCTTGAAAAAACCATGCAACATGTTAATTTACACCACAGATTTTACCCTTTTATCATAGTTTAGCTTATTGGCTGGCATTTCACATCTGAAACTAGTGTAAAATCGTAATTTATTATTAATTTTGAGTAGAAATTGTGTCTAAGAGCAGATGTAACCTAAATAAAATTCTCAGTTTTAGGACTGCAGGTGTAATGAAAATCCTTGTTTTCTACTCAATATTAAACAATATCCAATGGTTTTACTTAATTTTCAAGTTTTCTATGTAAAAGATACGATGAAGTTCCAAAAGCTTCTCGTTAACCTTAAAATTTCGCACTAAAAGCACAAAAGTAGGTTACATGAATGGTGCGAATTTTTCAACGTAAAGAAACAAATTTAGCAGACGCGTGATGAGTTCGGGATGTGGAAAAGGCTTGCGACACGTTTCGCAATTTCTTTGACTGTTGGAGGTGATTGGCGAGAAATATGATGAAAACCAGTGAAACCACACGATCGTAACATCATGCCTGCGTGGTTAGCAAGGTTGCAAACCATTTGAAACGATATTGTTTTCAAATTTTAGTTGTAATTGTTGCATATTCAGAGATTCTCATGAATATTTCATTGACTTCATAGACGAATTAAATTTTATGATATTTCACGTTTGGATGAGTAATATTAAAATTACTACTGCACTTCGTGTTTAATTATTTGGTTTAGGTTTATGATCATCAAATTTCCTAGAATTTACTTTAACGATTACGGTTTTCATAGTATTTTATGCAAATAATGAGGGATTTACAATGATAATGGTTTAGTTCACAGAACTTCAGAGATTTGTAACTGTTTCTGGTGATAGTGGTTGGATTAGGTAAAGGGTAGTATTAGTTATGGTCAAAGTATGGCAATATTTGAGCAAATAGGGTTAATGATATTTTGATTGCCTGATAAAACTATTACACATTCCCCCAAATTCAATTTGAGTGTTTTCTTATTAGTTTAACAATCATAATGTTTAATTTTCATGAAAAAATTACAAAAATAGTAATTAACTCTATTTTTATTGATTTTTTCTATTTAAAACTTTTATTTTTGTGAAAATTATATTTTTTATGATTTTTCTTGTTTAGTCTGCCAAAAAACTTATTTTTTTGAAGTTTGGTAATATGTTTACGCAAATTCTCCTACAAATTGCACACTTTCAACGACTAGACTTTCAAAATAATAATAATATTTAATTTTATAATGAATTAGTTCGGTAATTGTTTCTATTTGCTGATACCAACCTTAAACGCAATTTAACAATGCACACACATGTTTACATCCTGTGATGCTCGTGTCGAATTATGCGCATAATACCGCACAACGTAAGGCGACGACGTAAATAAAGCGTGTTCGTTTCCAGACTTTTCAGAGCGTTATCGCTCGGTGATGATAGCAACATTTATCAACAACTACCAGCGGTGTGTGACGCTCTACAACACAACGCGCACTTGAACAACATTCGCACTCACTCACTCGATTTAATAAATTATTTATTATTGAAACGGAAAACATTTACGATTTTTACGCGAAGGACATACTTTTGCTTGTTTTGCCATGTTAATAATTGCATATGAATGCAATGACAGTCGCAAATCTAGAAGTATTACTAATGTTTGTTGATGAAATGATTAACACCGTAGAAATTTTATTAGTGACTGTGTGTTAGGTAACAATTAACGAACAATTAGTCGATTTCGCAGGTGTGCGTAGGTAATTATTGTAGTGTTTGTGTTGGTTGGCGGTTGTATTCAATCGCGATTATTGATTACCGGACGCGTAGTGACTGCCCTGCTGTTGTGAGTGTTAACTTTGAGTTGTGAATGCACAAAAGTCAATATTGGTTTCTCATTGCAGTCGTTTATTAACTGAAATTAGAACTTTTCAGTTTAACACGTGCAGCGCAAATCAGACTGAAACTTGTTGCCGTAATTAATTTTGCATTGATTGCAATACATATTAATGTATATGTCATATTAGTAACTTGTTTCTTGGAATTTAATGTTCGTGTAATAATTCTTAATTGACTTAGTTGCTTAGTGTATTACATAATTCAATAAGTAGAAGTGGTCTGAAAAACTAGACCAAAGATTATTAATTAATCCCAATCTTGATACCTACTTTGAATCTAGATATCGATTACATTATGCTCGATTTTCACACGCGTTTTCCTTTTCTTGTTTTTGTTTGGCTGACTCTTTGTTAAATAACTTAAATCATCACGCACTATATGAGTAATATGTATTCCAAGTTTGAGAACGGAATACAAACAGAAGTAGGTAATAAAGTAGGACAATCGAAATCATAAACTTGTTGGTAGTGTAGTCTTAATGGCGGCGAAGCCCGAATGTGGGAAATTCAGCGGTGGTTTTTGTCCTTGGACTGCATATTGCGATTTTATCGTTGTTTATTTTGCGTCCTTGGTGAAAGTTGAATTTTCCATCTATAAATTCAACAAGGTACTTCATAAATTACTATTATTAAGATTAATATAAGAAAAAGTTGTTAGCAACAAAGTAATGTGTTTAAAATGAAGTTTTTTCTTGCTTGTGGGACACTAAAGGCCAAACTGTAAACCTACGCGGTTTTTGTTTTTGGTCATAGACATTGCCACAGTGGAAGCATTAATTTCATATCATTTTGGTCACGTAATCACAAACGAAGTGTGTTTTCAAATGGGTATCCTACATTTATTTGTTGATTGATAGTTTTGTTAAATATTATTTATTTGCACTTCAAATGTGATGTTCTTGTCGATTTGTGTCTGCTAATTTGTGACTTTGAGTCTTAAGCAAACAATTACCAGATTAACACCCACAAAGGACATTCTCCTCACACGTTGAATTTAAATTTGAATACAAATTAGTTGAGGGGAGACCTCCAAATATAAAATAAAAAACTGCAAAGTCTAAAAACAAGCCACAGCTTCCTTCCATTCAACAATGTAAATTCTTTCATTTTAAATCTTTAAAATTTTTCTCTTTTAATTACAATTAAGGCCGTTTAACTTTGTTTAATGGCTTCAAGGATGTTGCTGTACTTTAGGTGCTAATTACAAGGATTTGTTTGTAATCGCAATCAAATTATGCAATTTCTATAAATTTGACTTTGTAATTAGCTTTAGTTTATTCCAAAAAATTGCAAGAGAGTTTTTGTACTTTCAAATTCTCATTGAATGAATTTTATTAATATTTATTAGATGAGTTTGTTAAACTTTTGCATATGAATTTGTTTGTAAAACAGACTAGTTCTTGTTATTGTTTGCATCTGCAAGCCAAATTAGTCATATAACAATAACAATATATAAAACTTGTTAAATTGATAAAATAAGTTTTGAAATATTCAGCAGAAAGATAAATATGTTGTTTTAAATCTTCCTGGAATTATTTACATTTTCTCAATGTGACACTGGCTGGCGACGTGTTAGTTTAATGGCGACGACCTGCAACGACACTGCCTGCAGGAGCTAACTGTTTTAATTAACTCTGCCAATAAAACGTTAGATGCAAGATATAATAAACATATCGGTATTATCATATCTATATTTATATTTTAATGATCGACTTCACTAATCCCTAGCTCGATAAATTTCTAAAACAGTCGGAGTCTAAATAAATAACAAAAGCGTATTTCAGATGTGTTTCACCGTGTTTAGTATTTTATACAGTTTTGTTTATATTTATGTTTTTCAACAGTAAAATGTAAATTTTCTACATTTGCATTTCGCTTTGATCTCGAGTGCATGAGAATGGATTGTATGTTTCACAGTTTCACGGCGTTTAACTTCATTTAACCTCAAGTGGACAAGCGAAAATGGAAATCTGCATGAAAAGAAAATATAATTCCAAATGAACACGTTTATCGTTATTTAAATGTGGCAAAACTTGCACCTGGTGTAATAAATATTACAATAAATGTAGAATTATATCAGTATTAAATAGAGACCGACCGAAATTTAGGTTTCGGTTTCGGCCAGTTTCGGCCAAGAATTCTAGTTTCGGCTTCAGTTTCGGTTTCGGCCACACCGAAACTCACTTTTCGTAAATTGTCGTGCGTCACTCGGTTAACTTCGCGGCTAATGGCGCTCGTTACTTGCCACCTCAGTTCGCTCATAGAAACTTAAATTAATATTATATTAAGTATCAAGTGACTAAACGGGGACTTTACTCACGAGATGGATTTTGTATCAAAAAAACCTGAAAAAACCGGCGATGTGTAGGTAGTAGTAGAAAAATATGTATGTAAATTAGTTTCGGTTTTGGTTTCGGTTTCGGCCGAAACTGATTGCAGGGCCGAAATTTCGGTTTAGGCTAAAATCCAGTTTCGGTCGGACTCTAGTATTAAAGCATAAAAATTGATTTGGGGTTTGTTTTTGTTTCAGGAAGTCGCAGTAAAGTTGGAAAACCTGCGCGCCAGACATCCGCAACTTTTATACGAAAGCAAACTGTACAAGATTCTGCATGGCGGTGTAGGAATCCCACATATCAGGTTGGTGAATATTTAAATATTTATGTAATGAAAATTTTATCTGGTAATCTTATCAAACTCTTTAATTTTTAAATATGTCAATGCCACATCCATGGTTGAATTATCTAGTAATTAAACGTAGATTATTATAAAATAATCTTATCTCGTATTGTATACTTTCATGATGAAAAGTTTGGATTTTCTGCGAATTTTGCTGTTTTAAAGATTATTATAACTTATGATTTTAGTTTAGTAAGAAATCTGAAGCGTGTCTACGAATTGCTTTTACTTTTCTTTTCGCGCATTCGAGCGTGTCTCGACAACGCTAGGCAAAGCAATAAATCACAATAAATCGCGATGAATCACTTCCAAACTCAGTTTATAGACGAGAAATGAATCACAACTTATTTGCTATGCAAATATTATCCAGTTTTAGACAACTTTAATCCTTTAATTGTGTTCTAACAATAAGTCTAGTACATTTGTACGGATGCGTATTGTTGTCAATTTTAATTTAACTTGATTTCGTTATTTTTGACGTTAAAAACATGTTGAAATGAAAAGAAACTCGACGAAAAAAAATGAAAGAAAGTTTTTTTTATTCGTTTGCGCGCTTCGGCAGTTTTTGCATTTGAGTTGTGTGGTTGGTGTGCTCTCTGCTCTGAGCTGGTTGTGAGCGTTGTAGGAGAAGCTCAGAGAGGTGCAGTCGGCGTGTTGTACTCTTGTCCGTAACGATTCGAATCTGGGACACTCGATTAACAACAAACGCTACACGCCTGTAAGTTGAACGCCAAAAACCTGTGTCTGGTGTAGTTTTTGCCTGGTACGAATTGAGACAGACGCTAAAATTCAAGTGCTAAACTGTTAAATCAATATCTACTAAGCACACAAAAATATTAAAATTTTCAAAATCAAGAAAGTAGGTTTAATGTAGATTCAGAAAATTTTAACTATATTTAAAACATGCTGTATGTTACGTCGTAAATTTAGTTGTTGATGAGATCAAGGTTCGGAGTTCGTGCGTTTGTGCGTGATGCAAAGTTTTTTTTATTATTATTATTACTTGTATTTTTTGCGTTGGTTTTGGGCGCTGTGTAGATGTGAATGAATGTAGGTGGTGTTGATGTTCAGTTGTCGTTTTTTTTTTGCTTGTTGTCTTCTTACTTTTAACTTTCTACTTTAGACCGTGACTAGGTGACACTACTGGTACGCAGCGAGTTCTTTTTTTTTTTAAATTTAACTCAACAAGTCGAAAGCGCGACATCGGCAGCAGTCGCACAGAAGCTGGCAAATGCAAGGCATCAGCGAGTTTCATTCAGTAGCGACTAGATTAGATCAAGTTTAAATTATTAGAACTTTTTTCCTGTAATTTAAGGATTTTATTTTTAAACTACTTGAGATTAAAGCGAGATTTATTCATTTATAGATTGATAGTCATGGGGAAATTTATTTTATTGCGGCTTATTTATTAATTTGCAGTTTGCTCAGTTAAGTGTTAATATTTCTGGGTCATTTTTACTTTTTACAGTTAGTCACTTCTCTCTTGAACAAATTATTTGATCAATCATTATATTAAATCATTCTGAATACTTTCTAGCTGTCATTTATGATTTTTTTAAAATTCTAAATATTTTCTCGTAATTTGACTTAATTCGTTCTCGGTTTAAGTTGTAAATAAGAAAATAATCTTGTTACATTCTTGGTCTATTTGTGGTCTGCTCACTACTCTGGTGTACACATCTCAGTTATTTTTGTCTATTCTTGCCGATTCTAACAGCATGTTCATCTTTATACCTCTCCTCATCGCGCGTTTGTGATGTGTACCTCGTGCATTTATTCCTTCCGTGGACTATTGTGCAGCAAGAATTTTGTCTAGGAATGTTTCCGAGTTTCCCACGAGCTGGAGAATTACAAGCGTAGAGTGGAATAATGAAATGTAACAGTCGTAGACTTCATATACTCATAAGTAACGTATCCAACATAACCTGTAACTATAAAAAAAACGTGGTCGATCGCAAAACAAGAAATTTATTTAAGGCGTGTTAACTTAGCCCTGAAATATAAATAGATTGCACTGGCGTTGAACTAGGTTACTGCGAATGATTGACTTAAGTTTACTCATGTGAAATCGTCAAAAATATGTGAATTTAAGCGTTAATGTACAATATTTCCTCGTAATTGTTATTATTTAAGACGTGTTCAATTTTATCGATTTGCTCTTTGGATATTTGTATGCATAACGCATGCTTACCAACGGTCGATCGTCGTGCATGCGACGTGCATCACCATCGCCATCCGAGTCATCACATCCATCTACTAGTCGAGTTTTCGGGGTCACTCAACTTTGGGTTGTTCTTTTTCCCCCGGCCCGAAATAAAGCCGATGTGAGCACATTATTCGAAATTCGATTCAGTCAAACACGACTTAATTTATAAAATTTTAGAATTCAAATTGATAGTAAATAATAGCAAAAGGAAAAAAGAATTATATTGACTTAAGTCATTATAAAATGTTAGTTTTGATTTTATTCAAGTCTAATGTGTGTAGATATAATATTCATTTGGTGACTTTAGTTAAGTTAACTCATTAGTTTCCGCGACACAACGCCACGCAAGTGTTTTGTGCGTGTGTTCAATCGAGCCGAACAGGAAGTTTACCCGTCGAGCGCAACCTTGCGGTTGCGTCTTGTGTTGCCTTTCGATAGACTCGCGTTGACTCAGCCAGCTTACGACGTCTCCACGGGGCTTGCTTGCTTGAATCAAGTCTAGTCTAGTCCGCACGCTGAAGTTGATTCTCACTTCTCTTCGCGGCTTGAGTTACTTTATTATACACTGCCGGTTGGAGTTTTAGGAGTTTGTAGTTGCAAGTAAGTGACTTAAGTCAATGTATGGTGTGCCGGTGTACGGTGCACCTGAACGTTCTTGTTCTTCTTTTGTTTGAGGACTCATCGATGGCGTTCTACATTATGCGTTGGTTTGGCTTTAGTTACGACTTGACTTTAGTTAAGTCTATCCTTTATTCGGTTTGTACGAATTATGTTGAACAAATGTACAGGAAACTTGTTCGGACTTGTTTCTTGCTTGTTCCTTACTCGTTCTTGGCATGCATATGCACATCGATTGTGGATTTAATTTTAATTCTCTTCTATTCAAATAAATTTATTTCGTTTTTGCCTTATTGCCCATTTCAAATATAATATTATTTTCTAAGTGGCGAGGAAAATGTGCATCGCGTGGAAAATTTGAATATAAATAATCTCGGCGGTTGGCACGTCGTCAAATTGTGACAATATCGATTTATTTAGACATTTGCAGACGTAATTGGTGCTATAATACAGTAATATTCCAATACGAATATTTGCACACATTAAAATTACACATTTTCGGTTTATGATTTGAAATCAATAATTTTTATGGTCTTTTAAAGGTTTTATTTCAATTTTGTAACGTAAATTACACGAAACATTGAAAACTCGAAGTAGGACAAGGATCTTTGTCGTTGATCGTTATAATATTTCATTATTTCACTATATTCAATAAGTTGTGCAATATTGCGTTGTGTTTTCAGTTCCATAATGGATGTACTTGCAAATAATTAACATTGCAATATCAATGCTAAGCCGGACAGTCATTTTTATTACAATTGATTTTTATATTGTTATTGGTTCATGTCTAATTATTTCTAATAAGGCACGCGTTTTTAAAACTTTGTTCAATAGTAGTTAAGCTTGTTTGCCTCATCTACAGCTGCTTGAGTTGTTGCTTGGCACTTATTATCGCAACTGGTGTATTGTACGCTACCTCATCGCTCATCTGTCGATGAAGAAGCTAGCCCTGCTAGAAGAATCTCACATCTTGTCCTGACTGAGTGACTTTGACTTCTTCCAGCGCGTCTTCGAGTTCGCTTGTGAGCTCGCGACTCGCGGATTTACTGTTACGAACGTTTTTCGTTCCTCGCCCGATGCGAACAAAGCACGCAGGCCAAACACGTACGCAGAGAAATAAAAAAAGTTCACTTGCTTTGAAAAGTCACAAAAAGCGCGAGTTCACAAAAGTTTAGGACGTTTTTTGTTGATGTTAAACTTTTAAAGAATGAAGTAAATGATGCGCGATTCAAGATGGCGGCATGATGATACATCTCATTGTCTGAATTATATTTCACAATATCATTTTTTGATTGCATTTGCTTTGGGTGTGGAATTGGTTGTTCACTTGATTCTAAAACTAATTCTACTGTGATGTATGTAACGGTGTGTGCAAAGGTCGGTCGGCGGTACGGCGCTTCCAGAGACACTTTATAAATAACCGGGAGTGAACGCATGCAATTGCACACGCCAAACAACGGTCGATCGATTCGCTAACGATTCACCAAACGAACAGAATACTATTTTGCTGCCATCCAGAGAACCATTAGTCACTGATTTTCAAGTTTTCAACTGAAAGAGGCAGGCAAAAAATTCCAATGATTGATGTTGAAACAAACTTAGCTTAGGTTTATTCCTAGTGCACAAACAAACAATGTGTAAATTTGATAACTTTACTATTTGTTTATATGTGTTAGCGTGCAGGTTTTTATCGCTATATTTATGCGAAGTCGAATCGTGGAACTGCGCACTTTTCAATGACAGCCGAGAGCGTTTTATAGCGTTGTTTGTTGAATCGTTTTACGTTTCATTGATAATCACAATAAACACACATTAGAAAATGTTTATATGTACTTCTCTAGGAACGAATACTTACAGTTTTCAAATTGTAATTGTATATTACTTGTTTTTAGATATTATGGCCAGGAACGAGAATATAACGTGCTGGTCATGGATCTGTTGGGTCCATCCCTGGAGGACCTTTTTAACTTTTGCTCGCGTCGTTTCACCATCAAGACGGTGCTGATGCTTGCCGACCAGATGATCAGCCGCATCGAGTATGTTCACTGTAAGTCCTTCATCCATCGCGACATTAAGCCAGACAACTTCCTCATGGGCATCGGCCGCCATTGCAACAAGCTGTTTCTCATCGATTTTGGGTTGGCTAAGAAATTCAGAGATGCTCGCACTAGGTATGAAATTTAAATGATCATGCTTTGTATGGTGTTTATGACATTTTGTTTCTTTTAGAATGCACATAGCCTACCGCGAAGACAAGAATCTGACTGGCACCGCGCGCTACGCCTCCATTAATGCTCATTTGGGCATTGAGCAGTCGCGTCGCGACGATATGGAGAGTTTAGGCTACGTCCTGATGTACTTTAACCGCGGTTGTCTACCCTGGCAAGGCTTGAAAGCAGCAACAAAGAAACAGAAGTATGAGAAGATTAGCGAGAAGAAAATGTCCACTCCCGTTGAAGTTTTATGCAAAGTACGTTCGCTGGATGAATACTTAAAGGATCTGTAGAACGTTGTATATTTTTTTAGGGTTTCCCAGCCGAGTTTGCGATGTATCTGAACTACACCAGAGGTTTGCGCTTCGAAGAGGCACCAGATTATATGTATCTGCGTCAGCTGTTCCGCATCCTCTTCCGCACCCTCAACCACCAGTATGACTACACGTTTGACTGGACCATGCTGAAGCAGAAGGCCAACAATCAGACACCGCTCGGTACGTCGGCGCAGCCCCAGTCGTCGGCGGCCGTCGGCCAGCAACCCGGTTAGTAGCTAGCACCTAAAATGAGATACTATTCACGACCTTTCCGCCCCTGCTAACCGATCCTACAACTGATCCCATCTTCGCCCACACTTTACCTTTCCCCCTTATAGTCAAAAAGCATTTGACGCAACACGATTGATTAATTTATGGTTTTTATAAAACGAACTTTTCCTCCCGACTCTTTCTCTCGACATGTATACAACAACAAACATCAACAACAACCGACACGCGCGCGCCATCGATACCACCCTCGACAATCCTCGTCTCACGCGCGTAGGTGTAGAGAACAACAAACAACAATAATTACTTGTAAATCATCTTCGACAAAAAAACAGCAACTAAATTACCAAGACGAGATGTTCCAAGATTATAAGGAATTGTGGTTTTTTTTTTGGCAAAAATTTATCTCGACCCACGCCTCGAAAATATTTATTGAGATTGGCGTCGGGATGGAGTTTCTCCAAATAGCTTTTTTTTTTCGATAATGTATTATATATTATACTATTTGCGAAATGTTCTAAATGTGTGAGGGGGAGGCAATGAGACATTTGGAAATTTTTGTAAATTCTCATCGGCAGTGTGTGTGTTGGACTTTGAAGAAGAATCAAACCGACAGATGCATTGTTGTTCGTATTATAAATGTATTTATAGTTTTTTTTTTCTCACCTCTGTCAAGTACCACACACACTCCCAAAAACGAACACTCACATAAGATAGAGCATAGCCATACACGAGTAACCCACCAATTGCGATGCGCAAACAAAGAACCAAAAAAGCAGGGGCAAATAGGCGGATCGGTAATCGAGCTACACGCAATTCACGTTTGCAGTGATTCGAGACGTCGACAGAAAGCTCAACTCGGCGAAAGCGACCGTACACTCGAAGCCGCACGTTTCTTCCACGGACGTGGTCAGACCTGTTAAAGGCCATTAGAAACGCCAACAACAGAAATTGCATTCTCAAAATGTCCCACCATGCAAATCCAGAAGTTCGTCAAACAATTTCCGACCTCCAATCAACAAGATGTGTAACCACCAACCTCAACTGTTCCTCATTCCTTACTGCAATTTGTCGAGAAACTGAACGTCGCCAAAAAAATTGAAAATTGTCTACAAGTGGAATTATATATAAATTTTTGCGTGCAATATAATTCTTGTTTGAGTGTATGCGTTGTGGTTGTTTCGATTACTGATGCGTCCGCCAATGATGATTAAATCTTTAGATGATACAAAAATACGAAATACAATTAGCCGTAACGATGATTATAATTATGCCCTATTGTAAAATTATAAACGTGAATGTGTAACTACTACAACTAATATGACTGTAAATCATCCATCATGTCCACCATCGTTCATTCGACATTCATATAACATTCACAACTTCTTATTTCTTCTGTTGTGTTTTTATTTTCTTGATTTAATCATTTACTACTTTGGTTGTTGCGAAATGGTGTGTGTTAATTTTCTACAAAGATATGTATGATATGTGACACAACTTGACTTCAAGTCTGTTCATCATGTCTAATTAACACTCATTTTACGATTTTGTTTCTTGTAATTTCACGCGCGCGCACACACACCAAGTCTCACACATTATAATTTCTATTTATTGCTTGTTTCGTCGGGTCTCTTTTGTTTTAAGTTGTGTTTGTTTTGTGTTTTGCACATTTGATTATTAACATGATCGTTTCATATTTTTTAGGCGCTCGCTAACATAATGCCATCGGATCCACCCACCCCCACAACGGTTCACATTTAATTCGCTAATCAAAATACTCCACCAAAAATAATATAATCAGACAAAAAAAACAAACAAACGACAAAAGCAACTACAACAAATATAATTAATAGTGAATACGTGTAAACAATTTCCACCACTTCATCAAATTAAAACCAATCAAATCATTTCGACTAGGGTTAAAATTCAACACTTTAGAGTTCGATCGAATTAGCTGTTTTATTAAAATATGTATAGACACACACTTACTATTAAAGCTAATACGAGTAACGTGAAACAACAATTAATAAATTATAAACGTGAAGAAATGAGATTTATATATATATTACATATTAATGCTAAGGAAACTAAACGGAATAATTGATGAAACAAATATTGTATTAGCGGTACGGATACGAAATATGCGCATGTGCAACCGTGCTAAAAACTGAGCGTTTGCACACGTGTTGCATATTTTAAACGTTTAAGTCCATTTTTATATATAAAATAGTCACAACATGAATACTAGACATGTGTAACTGTTACACACTCTAGCGTACGATGTGAGTTAGTCCAACAATAATAATTGCGAGCGGATGTGAATTGCACCACTGTTGTCGAGCGTTGAAGCGAGCGTAAGGGTTTAAGTAATCTAGTATAACTTTAATTTAACAATTATAAAATTATAATTTAAAATAGTTTGTTATTGAATTTAATGCTTAGGTTTTAATTACATGTAAAACACAATTATTGTAAATTACTGATAGAGATGACTTACGACGACAACAACAAAGCAAAATTGGCGTCTCAATATAATTTTTTCATCTCTGATCAAAAGAAACAAATTTCAAAGTGTGTAATTGTAATTAATGTATGGCGTGAGTGCGTGTGGATGATGATAGGGTGAATCTTTCCGTCGCCGGACGTCGACAAGATGGCTGCCGAGTGGGTTCCGTTTGCGAAGCGAATTCGTGCGATTGCAAGTCTGGCTGTACTATTTAATATTAATAAACACTATTAATATGATAACTAATTAAAAAACTATTGCATTACGATGATGATAATGCGAAATATGCATACAATTTAACTTTAATTCTTACACGAAATGTACATCCACAATGATGATGGATTTGATTGTTTCTGGCTGCATGTGTAGCAAAACATAAGACGATGAAAAACAAAAGAAAATGTGCAAAAAAAAATTAAAACGCAAAGAAAAACAGTAAACGACAAACGAAAAATCGACAAAAAGAAACAAATTATCAATTATATAAATATATTTAAATTTAAGTGAAGAGATGAGAGTGTTGTCCCGTTTTTTCTTCATTTCTTCATGAAGATGATTTAGTTTACGTTTGTCTATTTTTTACGTGTAAGGGTCGAATGCTACGGCCATGTTTTTTTCGATTTCAACGGACACGATACCTACCTGATTATGTCGTTAGTTGATTTCACAATGATGCTGAGTCGATTTATTCTCACAATTTGAATTGATTAACGATTACATGTATTATAACTACTTGTGTATCTATTATTACGTAACACCCATATCCTTTTCATAGACTCACCACTGTCTTTTTAAAAATTGTTTGATAATGTTACGCCGGATGCAAGCGTTGTTTTCAGTTGAAGTACATGGTTAGTTTTGTTTTCCATCATATTATTAAATTCAGATAAAATACAATATCATAATTGAACTTGCTTTTGTTTGTGATTCTTTTATATTTAGGAGTTTACAGCTTTGCTTCATTCGCGTTAGTAAACTACATTTTAAAATCACATCTCGGTACATTAGTTATTTTGTTCACGTATCATGTTTGAGTTGTTTTATTTTTATATAAAATGGTTTCTTGAAATATTTTTAGGTGGCGCAGCGATGCACTTGTTTACCTTAAAATAGTCACGCGATTGAAGATTACCTGAACAGTCCGTCGCTCCTATACCGGCACGCGTTTCTCATTTTCTGCTGAGAGCCACGTTCTTATTAAATTCAATAAATCGCGTTGTTTAATTGACTACCGGCAATATTTACTTTTGTTATAATTTATAGTGTGTGATTAAGTCTTCTATTGTGCTAATTTAGTGTGTTGTGTGTTTACGCGTGTGTTGATCAGTGAGTTGCTGTCGGATGACGATATCATGAAATTGCCAATATGGATTGAAATTAGTTCTCACTCAATTTTGGAATTTAAAGCAGTCTGAAGTCCGATAGTAAGTAGATACATCTCAATATTATGTAAAATGTTCTTGCTAATCTCCTGTTTCCTATTTATTGCAACATCTATTGCTTTTGATTTACCGTGTTTGGTGCACTGGTAAGTAAATAATCGTGATACCGATGTAAATTTTGCATGTGGGGACTATGCAGGTCGTAAACTTGTTTAAAATAACGTTATGTATTTCGTAGATATTGAAATTTCCAGGTTTGAAGTTGTACTGTATTTAGTTTGTTAAAAACGAAATGTTAGGGCACGAGGCGATCTTGATGCCGTAATCCAGCATCATCGCCAAATTTCGCCCCAACTGCTTTGCGGCGGCCAAAGTTAATCATTTTTTCCGAATTTTTTAAAACATTGTAGAAACCGGGTAATATTTAAGAAATCCTTCATGATAGTTTATTTTTTCCTTCGGATTCTATTAGCGCTAGAGTTGAATGGATGTCACTTTTACCGTATCCCTTATACGGTGTCCGGAATACGAGTCACTTCTACCGCTATCTTCATACGGTGCCCCGAACACGAGTCACTTTTACCGGTACCCTCGTATGGTGCTCCGAATGGGAGTCACTTTTACCGCTAGTTTCGTATGGGGCCCTGAATAAGAGTCTCTTTTACCGAGACTCTCGTAACGTGATTGCAGATTATAACATTTCCGAAAATTCTGTATAGAAGAAGATAATAAAATATATCAACTACGTGAAGTAAAAATTCAAAAATAGTCGCTAAAACTGCCTGCGAGACTGCCTTTTCATTTAGACTGCATTCATTTCTGGATTTTAGGATAGATTGCTCGTACGAATAAGAAAGTACGAAAAATCATATCTTTTCATTGCATTAGACCAGTGGTTCCTAACCTTTTCAATGTCACTACCCCTGTGAACAAGTATGGGAATTGAGTTTACCCTTAGCTAATTTAAACCTCTTCGCACGGAAGTAAAAAACCGCAAAATCCATTGCGTAGTTTCAAAGATTTAAGCATACAAAGGGACAGACAGAGAAAGCGACTTTCCTTCTCCAAACAAAAACATCAACCGGTCAATATTGTTGGCGCGGCGGGTATGTCACAAATTACCACAGATTACTAAATAAGTCATGCGAAGTTTATATATGCGTTCTGAAATTTCACACATAGATGGCGTGACAACGGGAAACGGGTTTTATTTTTATCAATCTTTCCGAGATATTTTCCTAATATTTTTTTTCGTAATAACCTTCTACAGAGTATTAGAAAACTACAAAAAAAATCAGCCAAATCGGTCTAGCCGTTTTCATGTTATGGCGTGACATCGGGAAACGGGTTTCATTTTTATATATTAAGATTGTCAAAATATATATAGACTAGCGACCCGCCCCGGCTTCGCACGGAAGTAAAACCGCATCAAAATCCGTTGCGTAGTTTCAAAGATTTAAGCATACAAAAGGACGGACAGAAAAAGCGACTTTATTTTATACTATGTAGTGATTATTATGACCAATTATCAATATATTAAAATTGCGACTATAATTTGAGATTTAAACTATCCTCTCTCTCAAGTTGGATCGAACTGCTCATGGTGTGCGAATTTTATTATAATCGGTTAAGTGGTTTAGGAGTCCATTGAGGACAAACATTGTGACACGAGATTTATATATATTAAGATAAATAGCGCCGTGCTACCGTTTACCGTACTATTATTTTGTTCATTGCTATTTTAATACTATTTCGTGCCATCCCGTGTTACCCTCCTAGAATTTCCGTTTTACCCCTGCGGGGTAACCATTGCATTATACTGTATGCACAACATGCATTGTTCATAGTTGTCCCCTTCGACTCTTATCGGGGTATGTGTACAAACAACTTTTTTTTCGCTTTGCAGCGCGTCCGGCGAGCTCAGAATTGTTCATTGCTATTTCTTACTTAGTCGATAGTACGCTGCGGCGTGGTGTGCACGCGATCTCTTGCGCGGCGGTCTTCGTGGTGACTTATTGCGTTTCTTGTGATTTTAAGTCTGTAGTTGAATTAGAATCGGTCAGCAAAGATAAGATTTAGAATCAACGGACAAGTGTCGTATATAGTTAATGCGTTAACTATATAAGTTAGCACGGTTTTAATAGATACGCACGTGTTTGCCGTCGGCTGCCGGATATCTTCCGTCGGCTAAAAATTCTAAGTAGTTTTGTTTTGTATATTCATTTAATAGTTAATTTAAATCAAGATCTTTCGTGCCCCGTGTGGAATATTTTACCTTTAGTTTAGGTAAGAAAGTATTAAATACTATATACTACAGCCAAATGTGAATTCAAAACATGATATGAAAAAACGAGCAGTGAAATAAGTAAACACTCTGAAAATAAGTAGGAATAGTTATCACATGGTCGTTGTAAAGCAAGTTTTGCAATATTGTCGCGTTTCGTCACGTTTTCGTGCCTGATTGTTTCTTTTGTACTTAATTCTATCTGATTTTACGTGATTGCTAATTTGTGTGCTTAGGAAATCTTAATTTAATATTTCTTTAAAAGATGTTTTTATCCCCGCAGCTATCAGCTCTTCTAGATAAACAATAGGAAATGGGTAATAAAGCATGCACTTTTGATTTTCTCCCTATTGCCCAGTGAAAAATTAGCAGTCTTTCTGGCTTTGGGGTAATTTCCTTTCTAAATTGATGATTTTCTTTTGATAACACCCTGTAAATACGTTTTCATTCATGTCATGCGAAAAGATTCTCGTCGCGCTGTCGCAGCAGCACATTTTAGTTTAGTTCTTATCACAGGTACCGTGTATATTGCAATTCGTGCATAAGGTCGCGTGCCAGCGTCGCGCTGCCGTCTTTGCGCATCTATTGCTATTCGCGCATAAGGTCGCGTGGAATCGACGCGCTGGATTTGCGCATCTATTGCTTTTACCTGCCGGGTTTATGCAGCAGGCCCAGACTATTATTGTGAACTGTCGCATCTTTGCGTGCGCAGTTTCAGCATGCTCTATTGACGAATTGCAACTAGTCTCGTGCCGGTCTCTAGCGTATCCAGACGTATATCGCGCTTCGCGTTTTGTTTTATCAGGCTTCTATTTGCAAAGTTTGCATTATATTCGGTCATCAATCGACTTAGCCGTAATATGCATCAACAGTGGTTTCTTAATAAGTAATTGTACATTTAGTGTGCATGAATGTCTTTTTTTGTTTGCTTTTGATGTTTATATTTCAAATCAATTATTTTGGTTATTGTGGGACGTGGTCGGTCGCTAGAAACTAAGTTCGGAATAGTTTTTTTTTCCAGATGCGGAATTTAATTCTTTATTTCTCTATATCGAAATTTATTGCGAAGAAATTCCGTAACGCGAGTTATATTGATAGTTGTGTGTATACGCACTAGTACTCGTTGCACTAGGAATTGTAGTTTTTTTTATTATAACACGCGAACGCGGTCCTAAACTAAGTTCGGAATAATTTTCCCCGATGAGGAATTTAATTTTTTATTTCCCTATCTCGAAATTTATTGCAAAGAAATTCGGTAACGCGAGTTATATTGATAGTTGTGTGCATACGCACTAGTACTCGTTGCGCTAGGAATTGAGTTTTTTATTATAACACGCGAACGCGGTCTTAAACTAAGTTCGGAGTAATTTTCCCCGATGCGGAATTTAATTATTTATTTCCCTATATCGAAATTTATTGCGAAGAAATTCGGTAAAGCGAGTTACATTGCTAGTGGTGTGTATACGCACTAGTACACTTTGCGCTAGGAATTGTAGTTTTGTTATTATAACACGCAAACGCGGTCTTAAACTAAATTCGGAATAATTTTCCCAGATGCAAAATGTAATTCTTTTTTTCTTTGTATCGAAATTTATTGCGGGAAAATTCCGTAACGCAAGTTATATTGATAGTTGTGTGTAAACGCACTAGTACTCGTTGCGCTAAGAATTATATTTATTTTTATTTTAACACACGAACGCTGTCTTAAACTAAGTTCGGAGTAATCTTCCCCGATGCGGAATTTAATTCTTTATTTCCCTATATCGAAATTTATTGCGAAGAAATTCGGTAAAGCGATTTATATTGATAGTGGTGTGTATACGCACTAGTACTCGTTGCGCTAGGAATTGTAGTTTTGATATTATAACACGCGAACGCTGTCTTAAACTAAATCCGGAATAACTTTCCCAGATGCAAAATTTAATTCTTTTTTTCTTTGTATCAAAATTTATTGCGGGAAAATTTCGTAAGGCAAGTTATATTGATAGTTATGTGTAAACGCACTAGTACTCGTTGCGCTAGGAATTGTAGTTTTTTATTATAACACGCGAACGCGGTCTTAAACTAAGTTCGGAATAATTTTCCCAGATGCGGAATTTAATTCTTTATTTCCCTATATCGAAATTTATTGCGAAGAAATTAGGTAAGGCGAGTTATATTGATGGTTGTGTGTATACGCACTAGTACTCGTTGCGCATGGAATTGTAGTTTTTTTTTATTATAACACGCGAACGCGGTCTTAAACTAAATTCGGAATAATTTTCCCTGATGCAGAATTTAATTCTTTATTTCCCTTATCGAAATTTATGGCGAGAAAATTCCGTAAGGCGAGTTATATTGATAGTTGTATGTATACGCACTAGTATTCGTTGCGCTAGGAATTGTAGTTTTTTTATTATAACACGCGAACGCGGTCTTAAACTAAATTCGGAATAATTTTCCCAGATGCAGAATTTAATTCTTTATTTTCCTGTATTGAAATTTAACACCCTGTATATTTGTGTTCCTAAATATCCTATCAAAAACTGGTGACATTTAGTGTTTCCTAATATTTTCCCTCTTGAACTTGGCATTTTCTTTTGTGATGTAGTAATTTCTTTTTTGTAACACCCTGTATATTTGTTTTCCTTGTTGTCCGTGAAAATTTAGCTTTACCTGTTGTTTTCAGGTTTTTCATCTTTGCACTTTGAATTTTCTATTTGTATCACCCTGTATATTAGTTTGTACTGTATAGAGTTGTTTGTTTGCACTTTAAATTTTCTTTTGTAACTCCCTGTATATTTGTTCCCATTTTCACTCACGTAGAAAATGGTCTATTCCCTTATTCCCTCATTTCTTTATCCCGCTAGTTCTTTGCGAAGTGCAACTTGCTGGCATGTGCGCGGCTATGCAGGTTGTAAGTCCCGGCTCAATATGGCATGTATTTTGTTGACTTGTAAAATCTAAACTTGTATTCTATTGTTAATAAAGAAATTGTAAGATATATTGACTTCTTTGATTTGTGTGTACCCCTTCTATCATTTCAGGAATAATTCCCTCTCTCAGGAGATAATCCCCACTATAAGAATTGTTAAGGTATCCTGTATGATTTGTGTACTCCTTATTTCATTTCAGGTACAGGTCAGAACATGTAAGATTATTTTTAAGTGTCGCCTCTCTTGAGACGACTTAAAACTTCGAAATATTTGAACAAGACCTTATAAGGATTGTCCTTATAAGGAGTTCCCTCTCTCTGGGGGTGATCCCCCACTATAAAAATTGTTGATATGCCTGATAATTCCGGGGATGAAGCGCAGAGGCATCGTAGCTGTAGGATGGGCCGGGAGCATTGGACGGATCGAAGCAGTGTGCTGCCTTATAACGACACGCCGCCAAAAAATTTAAAAATTCCGGCACCCCCATTCTCTTTTCTTCCTGTACTCTCTCTTCTCTTCTTACTTCTCCTATTCTCTCCTGCTGCTTCTCTACTTACTTGCTTGCTGCTCTTCCACCACCTTCTTTCTACTTATTCCTATTGTTGCTCCGTCCGTACTCGGCTCTTCAACTTATTTGTGTGGTATGCAACCCACATTTCTTAAATGTCTGATTATTTAATAAAACTGCCATCCGCCGCTGAGATTCGAACCATGAACCACGAATTTCTAGCATGCTAGCATATACACATGCCACCTGAGCCACCGGGCTCTCATATCAAAACTTATTCGTTTCAGGTATAAATGGTGTTGTTTTTATCACCTTTTTAAAAACAACAACATTTATATACCTGTTATTTGCATTTCAAGCACATGCAATCAAATATGATCTTTGAATCTAATATAGAAAACGTTAAATAGGAAGTAAAGAAACAAATATACTAGTACATGTAATATTAAAAGTATAGTTTATTGCAACTCATACCATCACAAAAATACATGTTAAAATTTAAAGTTATTTGTTAAAATAATTAAAAGTGTTGAAATAATTTTAAGTATTTTCAGAGTATTTAGTTATTAGACTGTTTCCTCCTTAACGTCTCATGAATCCATTTCGTCCATAAAACATCTTCACTAAATGTTTAATTCCTAGAATGTTTCGGCCTTGCGTGCGCGGTTGATATATTTCACACAGGGTACAAACAATAACACTACGCAAATAAAACCACTGAGACTTGTAAGCCGTCGTAAGATATTCGACGGCCGACGGCAAAAACGTGCGCACATTGGAAAACCACACAATTCTATCTTCCACGCGCGATAATTCATCAACTGTACGTCGCACTAGTCCGTTAATTCTAAATCTTATCTTTGCAGACCGATTCTATTTCAACTACCGACTTAAAAACCCAAGAAACGCGGAAATACGTCATCTCAGTTACTGAAGATGCCTTCGTGGCGAGACATGTTTTACTCCCAAGGTATAGACACATTTGATATTCCGCATTTCGTGTAGGTAAGTATTCCATTCGCCGACGGCTAAACGCACTCGCGACACACTAAATTCTTAAATTACAGGTGCCATGAATAATTACCACAGCACATATTAGAATTGCCATGATTTGCCATCAATTGCGATTCAAATATTAAGTGATCTATTTCTTACAAGGAACGCGCGCCAGCAACCCGAAGGCTGGAACCAAACTGAAGCAGACTGTGCCGGACCACATGATACTGCAGTAATGTCAACCAGTCAAAACATAGTGTTTTAATGACTTTTTGTTCTCCTGCCATTGTTTTAAACATTTTAAAACTAGGAAATAAGAACGTTGAGATGATGTTGTTATGGTTATAAAAAGGTAAAATAGATTTCCAAAAAGAAAAAAAACGTATATTACAACTCCTTATGTACAAAAGCTAAAGTATATCTAAGTCCTTACGAATTACGCATAAAATTAAAAATACAAACGCACAAAAAATCGTAAACGTAAATAACACATGAAAAAGAGTAGTAACTCTAAGAACAGAATATGATTAGATAACATGTTAGTTTCACTATTGTAGAATGTTGCTTGCTCCCGCTCCAATTGCATTGCTACCAAATTGTTTCTCGGTTAAAAGTAAGTCATCAACAACCAATTTTTACATTCGAAATGTACAAAATTAGATTATTCTATTTAACTATTGCTACCATTTCTATTGTAGGCGCCTCCTTTTCAGTGTAGTGTTCAAGTGTAATAATTCAGTGTAACAAACGTACAATAATTGATTTATTGTGCAAAATCTTTTTACAGTGATTTTTGGCTTGTCGGTTAACAACTTTGAAGTGTTTCTTTGTCTTATTTATATATTCTGACATGACTTCTTTGCAAGATGTGTTTTGCTATAAACCAAATGTGTAGCAACCACTTGTTTGTATGGACTAGGAACAATCAAATCAGTCTGAATCAGTTACAAGTTTGGCTACAAAGTTCCATCCTACAATCATTCCTACAGAGTTTGCATCCCATCGCCGATGCAACTCTCCGAAAATTCCTGTTAAATTACTAAGCTTACGTTACGATTACAATTAACTTTGTGTTTGTTTCAACTTTGCGTTTCAGGCGTGCGTTGTGTAATGACAACTCCGTACATTTGCAATATAACGGCGTCGCGCATACGCAAATGAAGATGGGAAGTTAGAAATTAAAAATAAACAATAACTCTAGGCAAAATTAAAGAAAGAAAACAATAACTAACCTACCAGCACTAAATGTAAGTTACAGAGTAGTATGCGTTCCACTAAATCTACTAATAGTAATATTCAAAAATACAATATGTACATTTCTTTTTGTTTTCATTAACATTTGCATCGCGGTGCCTTGCTGTGATCAATACAAAGAGAAGATCATGCTACTTCAGGCGCACTCTACATGTTTCGCAATCTTGCTTGAAACTTCAAACCAGTTATGTATTAAAACCTACCGATCTATTAAAAACCGACTTCATCAAATCCAGCCTGCCTACCTACAATTATGAGGTAAGTGCGCACAACCATTATTGTTGCGACAATGTTAAAATTATCATAGAGAGATATAAATGAAAACGCGTGTCGTGTGCTAGAGGCGTGGCATAAATATCAACAAATAGTAGGAAAATAAGCCGCATCACAAATCAAATCATTACATTGTACAACAACACAAAATCAAATTGAAAGAGCATGTTTGCACAACGCATAAACTAAGAGTTGGCTATTTTAACTAGTTCAAGTGCATGGACGTAAGTGTACATCGCGGAAAGAAAATCAACAACATGCTTGATGAATAACATGGGCGTAGACATCAAGTGACTATAAAAGAAGACGGGCAGGGTAAGAATTGTGCGCGTGCCGCCCTGCCATATCACGTGCGCAACCATCCCATCAGTGCCCGTGGCCCGCCCTCATGCAATATCTAAATATATAAATAACTATGCTTTATGTTTGTGTGTTCTGTTTCGCAGATTGAGGCACCGAAGTGCACAATGTTGTAGGTGTGTGTGTGTGTGGATGGGATGTTTTACACTGCAATCCCGCCGACAGCGCCCGCCTCTGGCTCTGCAACGTCGACATACGTCGTCTGTACCTCGTCCAGTATCTCCGGCGTATGAATGTATTCGGCGAATCCGCGTTTCACTAATTCGTCATTTAAATATACAATCGACTGCAGGGAAATACAAGAAATATTATTATAAACTTTAAAATAGTAGAGTATAAAAATTATTACCTGTGGTCCAACTAAAATGTACATTAAAACTAAGGGAATCCCGTGTTCGGTATATTCTGCTATTTGCGCGAGCGCCAGGGCACCCTTTGTTACATCGGCTACCATTTTATACGCCTCATCGCACCACTGAGCGTCATCGCCTAAAAATCAAGTATGAACCTAACTGCAAAACTATCCTTTGCGTGTTAAAAAGATTGTGATACATACCACCTACAGGTCGGATATTCGCAAGATGGCATTCAGCTGCCTGGAAGGGAAGCAGGAGAAAATCGCCGCGAATTTGTTTGAGCTGATCATTGGGAATTACAGCAAAACCGCCATAATCAAGGAAGGTCACATAGGAAGTGTCCTCTTCCTCTGATGTGGATAGAATCATCGCCCGACACCACTCGCCGATTGATTCCGCCACACAAATTGTGTTTGCTATAGAAAACGTAAAATTGCATAATTGAAAGACACATTTCCATTTTAAATTAATATAAAACTTACGTTGAATTGGTTTTGGCATTGACGGTGATTCTGGATTACTGTAGCACATCATCATGTACCTGGAAAGCACTTGCAGATGCGGGTAGGACGGGTGCGTCGGCTGTTGGAGGAAGAGATGGCTGGGCGTCACCATGCAGCTCACGATGGTATCATTATTAACGCCTTCGACAAGTTTTAACTGCAAAAGAAACAATGAGCAACACAGTCAAATACTTTTAAATGTCACTTACATATATGTGATCTGTGCTAATGGGAACGCTGGACATCTGTGTTGAAACAGTCACTTGTTCCAACGTAACTTCTGGATGCTTCTTTAGTGGGAAACGCTCACGAATCATCTTCAGGGCTTTATCGATTTCACTTTGACTACCTACAAAATGAAAAACCAAAATAACATTAACACTGTTGATATAAAAGTTTTCTTGATGTTACCTTCAATAACACATAATTTGAGCTTGCCAACTGTGGGATGCTTCTTGATCACAATGTGTGAACGCGTCTTCTCCTTGATCTCGGCGACAAATGTACCGAAACGTCCGATTAGCTTGCCAACCAGTACCTGTGGTAGCGTAAACTCGTAGGTCAGTGGCATAGAGTCCCCTGCAGGGGTGCGCGACGGAGGCGTAGCTACATCACTACCTCCCTTACCACTATCACTAGAACCCTGATAAAACAAAGGAAAACTTTATAGTATGCAACCAAAATAACATGATTTCCGTCAAATTAATTGATTAGCTGTTGTCACTTAGCAAAATAAATTTAAAGGGAAGTCTTATGAACAAAATTTATTTTAGATTAATATTTAAGTGTATGTACAACTGGGGCGTCAAGAATTCAAAAAGCTCACCTCGCTGTGATTATCCGAAATGCAACTCAGCGATGGACTGGCCAACATAACATCAGCGGGGCTGTGATTAGCTGAGTCTCGCTCACTGCTCTGCCGTTCTTCGGCATGTGCATTTGCTTGTTCCTCTTTCCGGCCATTCTCGACCTTTACCTCCTCCTGGGTCTCCGACTCTTGATTGAGTTTCATGTTGCTGAGCTCTTCCTCTACCTTTTTAACAGGAGTCATCTTGCCCTTCTTCTTTTCGGCGTTAGTCTTCATCTGGTTCTTCGACTTGACTTGCGAGTCCAACTTCCCGGCTGGCATAGCGTCTTCGGGCTGCTGTACTTTTGCTTTGGCCTTTTTTGCCGGTGTGCGCGATGAGGTAGAGCTCGTCGTCGAAATGCCGTCAATCGTATCCGACCCACCAGAAAGTTTATAATGCTCCGATGAGTACGAGCGCATCGACTTCACCTTCTCAATTTCGATGTCTAAATCCTCGTCGGAGATGACAATTGGGCTGGTTCGCTGCGATCTGAGTTCGCGCGGGATGATAATATCAATGGGCGTGGATGGGGTGGAGAGAACTCGCGGGGAACGATCTGGGGAACCAAATGGAGAGGTGTTATCGGAACTACTACCTTGTGGCTGATGGTGTTGGGGAGTACCGATATTACCGCCAGACGGAGTGGCAATAGATTTCGTCGGAGTGTTTGATACTTCCTGAAGTTCACTAGTCTTATTTGAAGTAAGCTTCGTCTCAGCGATGGACGGCGAATCACCTGGGTCACTCTGTTTTACGCCTCTTTTCCTCTTGAACCAGAAGTAGGTAAGGAGCACTGCGATTGTGGGCACTGCAAACACTAGCAGCTGACGCGAATAGGATGGGGCCATTGCTTATCAGCTCCACGATTAAATCCGGATGATTCACAAATGCGATCCTGAAAGAAAAGAAACGTTGTTATTAGATGCAAATCCTCAGAAAAAGGCACTCTCAGTGTAATCCATAATAATCAACAAGTAAAAGAAATACTGTTAAAATCACGCCAGCTGCTCTGAGCGAGCGTTGAAGCGCCAATGCGCGTTTGTTTTCTGTTTTCGCTAGCGTTTTATTGCTTTCAGTATAAATATAGAATGCTTGTAATGCTCATATATTATCGCCTTGTACACACTCGCACACACACACACAATATACATGTGCTGTTGCTAACGCTTTTCAGTTGTATTTCCATCACTTGACTTCAGTGAAGTTTAAACTTGACTTAAATCCACCAAGTGTTGATTGAACAAATGTACTACACTTAAATTAAGCGATTGTTTAGGATAAAGCATTTATGGTAACACTTGGTAGATTAATAAGATTATAATTATTTGATAAATACCTTTTTAAATATGATGGTCCGCAGAAAATATCAAGTTACATAACAATGCATCGGATTTTAATTCGTCAGCGCATTCAACTCACAATCTAAGTAAAATACTTAAGTAACATGAGACATCAGAGTCATCAAAGTAATAAACGGAATACGTAAGTAAATAAAGTCGTAAAAGTGTCCATAGTGTCGACATCACGTTTTGATCTATTTGGAAAATATTCACTTTCGATTGCTGCGCGTACTGGTGATAATGATTTGAATAATTATTACTCGTAAACCTTGAACGCACCACAAACGATAACTATTCAGTAAACTATTGAATTACGTTTGATACCGATAGTGTATTTGGCCTGTTCTTGTGTACTTGGTTGCCTATAAGACTGTTTCAGGTTATTTGCAAGTTTATGTTCATATCGATATTTTACCCGCGACCTCGACTCGATAGTGTTTAATAAAAATGTAATACATTTTTACTCTCTTGTTCTAGACATAGTATGTGTCAATTCTATACATAAGATTTGCAATATTATTTCAAAAAATGAATTATATAAAATTGCTGATAATGCACTTCAGCGCGCCATCTCGGATTCAACTAAATAACTATAACTATGATTGAATCTCAATGCCAATTTTTATCCTATAGAAAAGGGCTGTCTTTAAGGTTTTCCCGGCAATTATTCGAATATTTATCGCCGTAAAAACCATCCTTGGACTTTAACAAACATTTAAAAAAAAGAATTTGCTAAATTAGTCTAGGCGTTGTTGCGTTATGCGCGTACCAACAGATTTTGCGATTCATTTTTATATTATCGATAGATAATTTAGCATAACACCCCAAATGTATTAATATTTTAATCAAAGAGGGTGAAAACTACCAAAAATTCTACTATACACACAGGAAATTCAATGAATCAAGTGAGAATGGTACAAAAAGCAAAGATTTATAAACATTTACAGGTAAGTGTTCAACAACAGAGTATGCGGCTGTAACACATCTTAAATCCACCTCAATAAGACAGGTATTCGAGAATCCCGTAACAAATTCAATTGAATACAATCAGCAATAATATTCCTTACTCATTTTTAACAGAAGTATAATATATACAGGGACAATATTAAATATTCCCAAAATTCAATTTTCAATATTTTAAATATTCAAAACGCAAACGTAATTCTTCTTCTCATTCCAGACTAATTCGCTACTTAAAGGGACTTAAAGCACCCTTGGAAAATAGATAATACTTCGTATTCGTATAATTGCACGTGCTTGAACATGTCGGACGTCGTTTAAATGTTTAAACTTTTTTTTAACTCTTAACATATCAACATATCTAAATATTTTTTATCATCTCGTGCGCAAAACTAAAAAAGACAACAAAGAAATTAGAATTATCCTAATTGTGAGTGGAAGTAAATGCATTCCATAGTTTCTGCCATTATTCCAGTCGCGGTTCGAAGTTTCAACGGTAAACACACCTCATAACCTCTAAAAACCATTTCGCTTAACGTTAACCTAATCTGTGATTGACACATCATCAGTCAGCTAATCAACAACTTTTATATAGTATATCAATATTGTAAATGCGATAACGTGCGTGGATGAATCGACGGTTAGTCACAACAAGTCATTGACTGCAAATATTGACTCGATATTTTAAATCTACCGCTGGGACGCATCAGTCTTCTCTTTCTCAGCGCGCTCCTTTTCCTTCTTGAGCCGTCGACGCAGCTTCACCTCCTCCTCCATGAAGTCCTCCTCGGTGAGATTCAGACGGTTCACATGCGCGATTAAGTATTCCTCTTCGAGAATCTCCTGCGGTGGCGACCGCAGGACGTTCAGTGTGAGACACAAATCACCGCATTGTTTCCTCGCACGCGCTTGTCCCAAACACCCGATGAGAATGACGAGCGCGACTTTGAACAGCACCTTGATGCCTTCACAGAGGAAAACGTCCCAGACGCGGAGCAATGAGGACCATGGTAAAGTGCGTGTAAATGCGCAGAGAAACCATTCGGTGCAGTAGAACATTGGTTCCGCACCGACTTTCTTTAAGTGTTTGTAGGCAGGTGTACAAAGTCGTTTTAACAACGCCTAAAATAGCATTAATTAATTATCACCAAAAATTAGATAATATGATTTAAATTTTACCTGTAACATAAGTCCATCATGCTGGACAGTGTCCATTGAAGGTAAATAGTAGTTAGCTAAGTATTTCTCGCAGATGCTAACAAGACACCAAAATGCTTGCTCGGCAGGCATATGCATCAACAGGAAAGCTGCAACTGGGCCTTGTGCTTGGCAATAACCCACTTCAGGGTTGTAGACTACATATGCACGTAAAACATTTTCTAATTCCCTTTGTCTATATGAACATAAAATTGGAAATGCAAAAAATTATAATTTATTTAATTATTTATGTAATTATAGTATACTAACCCTGGTTTATCTTCTGAACAAAACATCTCATGGAAAGGAAACTGTCGATGAAGATCTTTCTTGATGTCATCCATTGCTTTTGCTTCAGCTTCCTGTGATAAACACTTTTGATAGACACCGTTAAATTTTATCCGTAACATTTCACCGCCGCAGAGATGGGCCCATGCGCGTGCTCTTACCGACATTGGTATACCTGTTATAAATAATTTAAATTTATTTAAATTTCGTTTTTGTTTTTTCGGTGTGATTATTACCTTTGCGACATCGTTCACGTATTTTTTTGTATTGTTTATCCATATAAAAGTCGTAGTTCTTAAGCATCGACAGCCACTTGCGCTCGCGTCGAAGAACCACCTCGGGCGGGGGGCCGCCGCCCTTCTCGGCGGTGTATTGTGCGCCGCCGATGAAGCCATACCGATCCGGCACGGTGGAAACCACGCTTCCGCCAAATTGTGTGCTGGTATCAGAAGTTACAGAGCCGTCGTCGTCGCCGGCGGCGGCGGGCGTTGATGCCGCCATCGTCGGATGAGGAGGCGGGTGTTGCGCTAGGAAGCGAGGGACTCGCAATATGCGCGACAATAACTCGACATCTTCGCCGTGTGGGTAGAAAAAATTAACTGTTTAATTACTCAATAGTTTTAGTAATGCAGTCGGCGGTGGTAATGCGGGGGCGGCAAACGGCGGAGTAAACATTCGCGACGTCACCGTATCAACAAGCAGGCGAGCGGGTTGACTAACTTCGTGTTTTTATGGGAGAATCATTTCTGACAGCAGTGATAATTTGACAGCGTTTGACAGAAACCATATGAAGACTACAAATTATTGCAAAATTTACCTATTTTAATAATTATAAACATTTTAATCAATTAAATAAGTAGTAAATGTATAATTTAAAAGTAAAAAGTAATTTAGTATTTTTTTTACAATCTTAATAAACAATAACTTCTTATTTAAAATGTAGGCAAACACAAACACTTTATACTAAGTGTATTGTTATGATCACATTTTCCCAATTAAAACATTTTATAGTTAATTTTAATGTAAAGAAAAACTTAAATATTATATTAATATTACTTATTATTAATTATTGTACTATTTATAGTTAATTTACGCTATTTATATGTATATTTAAGTTTTCTTATGGTTAAAAATATTAAATATTATTGCAACACCTGGTATATTACTTGTCAGTGCGTCGAAGGGTATTCTCAAGGTCAAAAATGACAATATGAATCTATTTCGTATTTTGCATGGAATAAATTAAAAATAACTCAACTGCACCTCTTGCATATCCGATTTCAACGAAAATTCTAATGTGCGTTTAGTGCCGGAGAATGTCTGACTTGGTGTCCAAGTGTGTTCTGCGGCTGGAGGTTGACGCTAATGGTAACATTCAAAATAAAAAAACAAAATTTACATTATAAATAAATTTTCCTAGTTGAAGGAGCTGAATCAATGGATCGTGCTGAAACAACCACCCGAGGTCAACGCACACCGCAAGAAATTAGTGTCGAGACGTTTCCCAGTAAGCTAGAAACACCTAGAGAAGACTGGGGACTAGTGCCAGTGCACAGCAGACAGGCAACAGTTTCAGAAAGTGATGTTGTAACTGAAGAGCGATGTGAGATTGGTTTCTTTAGTGGCAATCCATTTGTTGAGATCACAAAGGGAATACTACATCTGTATAAGGAAGAGTAAGTATTTTACCTTGCATGTTATTATGAAAATATTGATTATTTGTTTGTTTTATAGTGTATTGAGTAGCAAAGATGAAGCATTGACTTTGTGTTTATTGGGAGTTCCAAACTCTATGACCTGCCATGATCTACTGGGTTTTACAGCACCATGCCACTCTGAGATTTCGCACATTCGCGTGTTGAGAGATAATCTCCCAAATCAATATATGGCATTACTAACGTACGTTTTTTTCTAGTAATAAATTAATTAAATTTAAAAAATTGTTTTCTTCAGGTTCCGGACACATTCATCTGCTAGAGAATTTTATGAAACCTTCAATGGCGCTCCATTCAACAGTCTGGAACCGGAAATTCTTTGCAGGGCTGTGTGGGTATCACGAGTTGAGTGTGGACATGACGATATTCCGCCTCATGGACACACTGAATTACCAATTTGTCCTGTTTGTCTCGGTAATTCTTTTAATTCTTATAAATTGATGTAATTTAATCAACTGAATATTACACAGAGAGAATGGATGAGTCCGTCGACGGCGTATTGACAATCTTGTGCAATCACACTTTTCACTCAAACTGTTTGGAGCAGTGGAGTGATTCGACTTGTCCAGTGTGCAGATGTGTGCAAAGCCCCGAGCAAGCGGAAGACAGCGAATGTGAAAGGTGTGGTAAGTCCGCCCCAGCAGCGGACACTCTTTGGATTTGCCTCATCTGCGGCCATGTTGGTTGTGGGCGTTACCAAGGCGGGCATGCGGCGTCACACTATCATGAAACAGGTCATTGTTATGCGCTGCAACTGGGATCTCATCGTGTATGGGATTATAAAGGTTAAACATAACCTTAATTTAACACTAGGACATCCTAACCTGTTTAATTTAAGGCGATAACTTCGTTCATCGCTTGTTACAAAACAAAGCGGATGGTAAATTGGTCGCTAGCGAAGGACCAACACCTGATTTGGAACAAGCGCAAGAGAAAGTCGATTCGGTGCAGCTGGAGTTCACGTATTTGTTAACATCACAACTGGAGGAGCAACGCATGTATTTCGAGAATAAAATATCACAGTAATACGCAATATACACGAAAATAACACGGTTTAATAATATTCAATTGCGTGTTTTTTTCAGACTTGAATATCGGAACGCTGATGACACGGAAGCATTAACTCTAAAGATAGGCAACCTCACCGAAGAGAATCAAGCACTGCGTGATGAAGTAAAAACTTTAAAGAAGGAAAAAAGCGCAGTGGAGAAACGTCTCAATCAACAAATCAACAAGTAAGTTACTAGATATTAACTAAAATCTTCTAAATTACAAATTTTTATAGGTTTAACTCAACATTAAAAGAATTAAACGTTGAGCGTCAATTAGGTAAAGCCCTACGTGCTAACCAAGAGCAATACCATGACCGCATGGTGAAACTGGAGAAAAAACTAGAGGATTTGGAGGTTACACGCACAACACAAATAAAGAGCTTGGAGGAGCAACTGCGCGACGTTATGTTTTATCTCGAGGCGCAAAATGTAAGTATAAGAAACCAAAATAAATAAATTTTGAGGTTATGTGTTTTGTTATTTCGTTTTGTAGACAATTGAAAAATCCGATATAAAAGATGAGATCGCCGAAGGTACGATCACGATCGGAGATGCTCCACAGACAAGCAAAGGACGCCGCCGCAAGAAGAAGTAAGAAAGGATGCTAACTCTTCGGCGATCGTCACTGTTACTTACTTAACCGTTACAACACAAAACATATTTATAACTAGGTCGTATAAAAATTGAAAAAAGATTTAAAATGCAACATTTAGAGACCCATCTCTTTGATCAGGTTTCCAGCAATGACCAGTTTTTGAATCTCGGAGGTACCTTCATAGATTTCTGTGATGCGCGCGTCACGATAATGCCGCTCGGCGGGCATATCACTAACATAGCCCATACCGCCGAGAATCTGTATGCATTGATGGCTGAGAAGTGTGGCTGCCTCGGAGGCGGCGAGTTTAGCCATGGCGGCTTCTTTTACATACGGCATATGTTGATCTTTGAGCCATGCGGCGCGCCATGTGAGCAAACGGGCTGATTCCAACGCAAGCGACATATCCGCGAGTTTATTCTGAATGGTTTGCAAGCGTGTTAGAGGTTTACCGAATGCCAGGCGTTTGGAGGCGTATTCTGCGGCTAGTTCAAGTGACGCCTGCGCAATGCCCAACGCCTGGGAAGCAATGCCGATTCTACCGCCATCTAATGTCATCATTGCGATCTAACATAACAAAATACAGGTTATGTGAGGTTACTTTTTTTATTTTAAGTTATATCTTGACTTACTTTGAAACCATCACCTGGTTTGCCCAACAAGTTCTCTTTCGGTATTTTAGCGTCTTCGAACATGAGCATACACGTAGACGATCCACGAATGCCAAGTTTATCTTCTTTCTTACCAAGTGTGAGTCCTTCGACAGGCATAGGTACAATGAAGGCGGAGATACCTTTATGTTTTAGATCTTTGCTTGTCGTCGCGAATAATACACTCGCTTTGGCTTCAAATGCGTTGGTTATCCATGATTTTGACCCGTTCAGGTTGAATTGTCCGCCTACTTCAGAAGCGGTGGTTGAAGCGGCGCCAGCGTCGGATCCGTTGCCAGGTTCAGATAGGGCAAAACATCCAATCTACACAATAATATTGTTTAAGATTTCGTTATATCTTTAAAACGAAGAAAAATTATTACCTTTTTACCATCAGTGAAACCAGCGACGTTTTTCTCCTTCTGTGCGTCGGAGCCGAATTGCATGATGGGCCAGAGGTAGAGACTGTTGTGTGCGGACATGATTACACCAGCAGACGCGCATCCACGGCTTATTTCTTCCATGGCTATGGCGTAAGCTAGGTAATCTAACCCGGCACCGCCGTATTGTTCTGGGACTGTAATGCCCATTAGGCCAAGGTCGCCCATTTTTTCAATGGCCGCTGTTGGGTAGAGATGCTCACGGTCCGTCTTCGCCGCCATTGGTTTCAGTTCGTCGTCCGCAAAGGCACGGCATGTTTTCTGCAGCATGCGATGTTCCTCGCTCAACGCAGCTAAGGAGGCAATATTTGATTTGCTCCATATTCCTTAAAAATGATTAAATCGTTATTAGTACACAATTGATAATTAAATAGCCGCTGATTTAATATTTTCCGCCATTTTGAATATCGTGATTCATTTGTTTTGTTTTAATTTGTTTGTGATTAGTTTTATAGTGCGTCAAGGTTATCTTTGTTTGTTTTATTTGCTTTTTGGGTCTAGTTTATTTTTATGTTTAATCTAACCTATCTAAAAACCAATAATCTATGTTTACGAAGAACAATTTGCAAACTTACCGGTATTGGTCGTCTTGCAAAGACATTTCTGTAAATTTCTTGCAAATAACGCCATTTTGACACGAAATCTAGATCGAAACTAAAATATATTGAACTAAAAACACGACTTTAATAAATACTTAGAGATCTGAACTTTGAACACTTTTAATAACACGATAAACTGAGCCAAACACAACGTACACAACTGAGGAATTTTATTTGCTCAAAAGACGTCTCAGCTGGTGCTACATTGGGTTGCCTGCGATAAAATTAATTAACTACAGAACTTTTACACTCTATAAAATGACAATATAAAAATACAATCACACACAAGTAGTTAAAAACTTGATATTTATTAGAAGTTAAAACTAAATATAAAAATATCTGTATAATGGGTTGCATTCGTTACTTCCACATATGATTACAATGCCCAGTTTTGACATTTCTTACGTGGTTAATTCGACATTTGACAACAAAACATCCCAAGTCGACACATCGACGTGTTTGAAGCAGATAAACCTAAGAAAAGTGAAACAGCCGGCTTCTAACATGGATTTCATTAATTCCATTCCAACGCACATGGTAATTATTGTCTTGAGAAGGACTAAAAAGCAACTATGTGCAGGTTTAACAGTATATGTTATTTTTAAGGATTTTGAGGGGCAAGCTCGTGCTGAAAGGATCTCCAGGATCATTATTACATTATTTGGAATTGTTGGCTTAGTATGGGGCTATATTATACAACAATTCTCACAAACAGTATACATTCTGGGTGCTGGATTCTTACTTGCATCATTGGTAATTTTTAATATTTTATTTATATTATTTCAGGACAATTTCACTAAAAGTTTATCCAATTTAAAGATTTCATAATGTAGAGATTAATTTAACAAATTGAATATCTTTAAATTTTACTAAAAAAATAATATTTAATGTTTGTATTTGTGAAAAATGTTTTGAGGTTAAAACTGAATTGAAATTAAAATGTTTGTTTATAGTTGACAATTCCGCCATGGCCGATGTTCAGGCGTAAACCTCTTCAGTGGCAAAAAGTTAAACCAGATAATGCATCACAAAGTAAGAAAAAGAAGTGATTATAAATATTATTAACTTTGTTGTATTCCACTTTCAACATTATGCATTTATTTGCTCTATTCTTTGTTGTGCGACGGCTCAGAAATAAAAGTATTGTCTAATTTGATTTATTATTTGCTTTAATATGCAATAAACTTATCTTGATCTTACCTGTGACTCTTTTCAAATGTTTAAAACCGGCACCACTAGTTTCAAACATGTGTATATTTGGTTACCTATACATCGCTATTTCAATTTTGAAAATGAATCTTTTTAACATTCTGCAACCTTATTAAGGATAAAATGCATAAAAAATTAACAAGAAATATATATTTCAACACCATTTTATTAATATAAACTATTTTTAAGGTTTGTTAACTTGAAAACCTTGGGCACATCTACCCTAACCGTTTTAACTGGTTATAACCGTTTTTACCCAACTCGCGCCACACTTTTATATCTTGTAACGTGCGTCAGTTAAGTGCATTCACAATTGTTGTAAGACATTAATTCAACTATTAAACATAAACAATGGATTGTCATCCCAATAATATGGACAACTCCACCCAACAAAAATTAAGCAGGTTGGTTCTCAATTGTTTTTGGTTGCAAGACATTTTCTAATTACAATCTTTATAATAATTTATTAGAATGCACTGGTTAGCGAAGAAACTAATGCGGATAAATCAACTAGATATGCCACAGAGAAAAATATTGTGCCACAAGTGTAAATCATACCTGGGTACAGTTGCGTTTACACCAGGCAGGGGAAGACATTTATGCTTTGTGTGTTTTGTAACATATCCACCAGCGAAAGTCTTGGTTGCAAATGATTCTCTGGTAAAGCAGCTTGAATTTTTGGAGTATCCATGTACAAGTCCATATGAGTGCCACTTTATTGGCTCATTTGATGAAGCAACTGCCCATTCCAAAAACTGTTCACCAACATTCACTTGCACATTCTGCAATGGCATCATTGACAAAGACTATACTGTCGAACACTTCTTAGAACAACACTGCAATCAGAAATTATTTGCTTCACATGATGCTGTATTCGATAAGATTGCCATCAGTGTGCCTCTGAAAACAGACAAGATTCACGTCCTCAGATCTGGTTATACTGATTTTATTTTATTTATTAAAACTGTGAATCGTGATAAAATCAGTTTAACGGTTGTCAAATGTTATGGCATGTCTTCACCCGAATTCAACCGTTATTCACACGACAATTTTTGCATTGAATGGAAGAATAATCATAAAGCCAAAGGTAGAACCATTTCAATCGACGATTATTTCGCCGGTGCAGCAAAACCAATTGGGATACCGATAAATAGAGACAAAAAAGAGCGTTTGGAGGTGAAAATACACTTTAATAATATACAAGCAGCGAAAGAAACGACGGCAACCATTGAAGAATGTCCGATTTGTTTCGAAGTCGTTGTTTTCAAAACGCGCAAATGCAGAAATGGCCACTCAGTCTGCAGTAAGTGTCAACTGAAGATTGTCAACTGCCCGTTTTGCAGAGAACCGATGAATCTTGACATGGATGCGGATAATATGATTCCAAAACGTTCCGTTCAATGCCCAAACAAACACTGTCTTCAAGTAATGTGCGAGTCTAGAATTGCTCAGCATCTGGCTGGTAATTGCGCGTTTGAAATGTTTGATTGTCCTGAATGTCCCACCAGTATACCAAGAATGAAAGTCTTGGAACATTTGCAAAAGACACACAAGAAGTACTTCCAAGGATATGAGTTTTATATTCATTCTACTGAGGGCAGCCGCACGCATTACTTACTATTTAAGGGGAAGTTGTTTCAATTGACGATTGCTGTTGTGGGGAATGATATAGCAACACAGCGGGTTAATTTTTCAGTGAAGTTGTTGATGGAGGATACTTCCCTGTCGCGCAAATTTTTTTATGAATTGCATTTTTATAAACAGCCATCAGATGTGTTGGCTGCCCTGACGTGTAGTAATTTTTGTAAGGATACAGTGAGTTCCAGTGTGAAAGCCTCCGCGATTCCACGTGTGCTTGCAGCTAAGAAGTCTCTTGGTTTTTTTCGCATTCATATTTTTAGCGTATAATATATTCATGAGACTTGCTACTGTTTCGAAGACAAGTTAATCATGATTCACATGCTTTCTTTTCATCTTGAGGTTATTCAGACATGTTACAGTTAGTTTGTTGTTTAACTTTTTCGATATATTTAAAGCTCACTATTACTTTTTACGTTGTTTTTATTACTGTTCAGTAGTTTTTTATAAATCATGAAGTGTTTTAGTTTACTTTACTTTACAATGCTAAGGTATTTTTATTGTATGACTTCAAGTAAGTGATTGCGTTTATTTTTTATATTTTTATCTTTGTATTGCAGCATTACTTACTGTTTTTCTTTGCATTTAAAACTAATGAATCTAATGAAATGTTCAGATTTAAATTTTTTTTATTTCTAGGTTAACAGTAAACTATTTGGTGCATTCGGTCACAAAATTAAATACTCATACATCTGCCTCAATTTAATCCTATGAATCTTCCCGGTGACTGTATAAGGAATTTCATTCTCTGCGATGAACTTGATGCCCGCACGAATCTGATGCAGTTCATCCAATTGCTCATTGGCAAATCTGAGCAATTCATCTGCAGACACACAACAGCCCTTTTTAAGTACAACGATCCCTAACACTTGTTCATGGCGTTCTTCTACCGGGCATAAGCCAACAACAATAGCAAGCAAGACAGCCGGGTGTTGCTTTAAAATCTTCTCAATACTCGCCGGAGCTATTCTATAGTTATCATATTTAATCAATTCCTTGATTCGATCAACGACATGCAATCGATAGTCGTCATTCAAATAACCCAGATCACCGGTTTTGAAGAATCCTTGCGCATCCCAACAATCTTTGGAGTCCTCCTTGTAGTATCCATTTAATTGGCCAACTCCTTTAATTCGAATCTCACCAATCTGGTTCAGATCTAATGGAGTTTCATTACCAGGATCAACAATCTTAAACACACAGATAAAATTTTTGTTTTGTAACTTGCTATTACGTACTTACTCTGATGATACTACCTTTAGGGCGAGGTGTATATAGATTTGGAGGATCATAACTTCCATTATTTACAGCAACGACGCCAATTTCAGTCATTCCGTAACCAGTAATTATCGGAACGTTTTTTAGTTTCTCTTTTAGAGTATTATGATACACTGTTGGTAATGTTCCAGAAAGTATCACCACTGCCTTAAGATGTGGTAATGAATGTTCCAAGTATTGAGAACAAGGCCCATGAATATGTGATAAGAAAACAAAATTAATCTGAAACATATATTATTAAACCATTTTTCTAAACTAAATATTATTCGTAGGTACTTCATATTTATCCAGAGTGTTCCAAACTGTTTCAGCATTGAATTTTCGAAACATTACTTTGGTGAAACCAAAGTAAAAGCAGGTAACAATATAATTGAAGCCTGAAATCCAAAAAAGTGATGCAAAGCCAAGAATTCTTACACGTGGCAAGTCAAATTTGGTAAATGTGCTATAATTTAGCCCAAAATCAGTCAACAATGCATTATGACTCAAACAAGACGCTTTTGGTAACCCTGTTGTTCCACTACTGAATAGAATAGAAGCAATTGTACTCGAATCTTTCACGTAAATAGGTTCAAAAGATTCTATTTCTTCTGTGGTGTACTTGCTGCAAATATTTGGTGCATTTTCCATTGAATCATGTTTGTATAATGGCACTATCTTTGTTTTATAGGTGCAGTTCTTGATCGCATTCACAATCCGATCAATGGATTCTTCACAAACAAAGATCAGTTTAGGTTCTACCAAATCCAACAGGTCTTTGGTATACTCAGCTGAAAATCTTGGATCAGTTGCAGCAAGAATGGCCCCAGTGAAGAGTGAAGCAAAAAGCACCGCTGAACTGTTTAGTGTGTTTTCAGAACACATTGAGATTTTATCGCCAGGTTTAATGTTTTGTTCTCTCATGTACAATGCGAGTTTTATGCATTTGTTTAAGGACGTTTCGAAGGATTCTTCTAATCCTGTTTCACCTTCAATCTGAATACATGTTGTTATTTTATGTTTCTACACACGATTAAAATGAAAATTAAATTGTTTAACCTGGGATACGAGGCCGGCTGCAGCATGTTTTTTCATATTCTCGAAGATGGCTTTTCCCATTCCGCCTGGTGGACAGGTGAAGGGAACTCCGCCTGTGTGTAATTCCTTGGTTTCGTTGTTGAACACATATTGGTCTGAAAAATAAACTAATTTTAATATATGTTTATAGAAAAACAGGAGTATTGTATACTCTGCATTGTAATTATTTTTTATTTTAGGCCACTGTAACAAATGAGGGATGTTACCAGCTTATATAGTATAAAAGTTACGATGTTTTCTAATGATAACGCGAAATGATAGTTTTTTTAAATGGTTTAGGTGAAAACAAACAACAATTATTGTTTATTATTTTTTAGCAAGGAGAAACTACTAGGTGAAATTTTATTTGATTGTATTATGTAATATGGCCTCTAATATGGCAGTGACAATAGGTTATTTCAGCGATAACAATGTTTATAAAATGTTTATTTCTTTATTTCTTTCCTACGCCGTTCGGCGTATATATGTTAGAATTAAAACTACTTAAAACCTGTAGCATTAAAAATACGAATCAAGTATTTTTGTAAATAGAGTCAAATTTATGTACAAATCAATTAAAATTGATAATTACCTCAAATTTCTGTTATTGTTTTCTTAGGGTTTGATTATATGTCGATCTTATGCCTTGTGGAAAATTGTTTTCATTTACCAATATCACAGTTTTTTTTTTAGTTTGTTGATCTTTCTTGTTTCATAATGATTGATAGTGCAGGAAACCAATTAAAATCATATTAAATCCAATCAAGTGTCTTACAAACATTTAATAACAATAATATTAAACAAATTCATTACCTTAACTTGTATAATATGATTGGCTAAATATTAATAACGTTCTAAATCAAAAACAAGAATATATTTATTTATTACTGTCTCTAATGAAATTCGGAATTTCAAAATGAGTACAAGAACTTACCGAGCATGCGCAAAATACTAAGTTTGAGTCATATGAACTATGTTTGAACGTGATACGCATAAAAAACTTTTGGGAGCATAACATAAGCATAACCCTAAGTGTTGAAAATATGTGAAACAAGTAAAACCGATCTACGTTCATATAAGTGGACGAATTTGCATTTAATGTAGTTTGAATTTAAACATGAAATACTCCATACTATGGTGGTGGTTTTGTTTATATTTCATTATCCATGAGTTATACTTTCCGTGAAAAACACTGTACAGACTTTGCTTCATATTGGTGTTCAATTTTAGAAATGTACTGTGATCACAAAATATTTTCTTAATTCGAATATGCAACATTAATCAACGGTACAATCAGCAGTAAGATGAGGTATGTGGTAAAGTTAATTAAGCTTGTGATTTAGTAGCAAAGAAAATGATAATATTTGAACCAAAATTAATTATTGCATCAGTTTATTTTTAACCACATTTTCTCTTGTTATATGTTAGATTTGAGCAAATTCTGTTTTTGTGTTATTTTTGTAATGGTTGATTGTCAAACTTTTGAAAATTATTTTCAATTATTGTTTCAGTTTGAATAAAAGAATAAAGCATAATCAGGTAACCCTACAAATTTTTATAAATGATTTTTTTCTGAACTGTTTTACCATCAATTATATTTTTCTTTAAGATGCAAGATAGTAATCAGCTAATTATTGCCATAAGAAGATTACTGCCATGTTATACAAACAATATAACAGATGAACATTTGGCAGTGGTAAGCAACTTAATAGAAGCAATTTGTACAGACCGCACTGACAAAATACTCCAATTATTAGAACCCTTTGACAATGATTTAAAAGACGAATTGCTCTCTATGGGTGGAATGTATTTACGAGAACACAATATGTCAATCACTTATAGCACAGCTAAATTTCTTCACATAACTCTACTCAGTTTCCGGTTTTATTTTCCGGCTGTTCAACTAGAACTTGTTACAAAAGAAGAAAATGAAAACATTCTGAAATACTTAATCAAACACATGGATGTCATTCTGATCTGGAATGGTCCAACCAATCAAATCTTATTATATCATATTAAGCAAGTTATATTTATAGCAAATGAAGTGAGATTTATCGCAGAAGTTAGAAAGCTGCTATGGGGTAAACTTATATTTTATATGCAGCAATTTATTAAATATTTTACCTCAAAAGAAAACATTCATTTCTTACAAATAGGATTTATATCAGTCAAGAATTTAATTGATTTTATTAGGTTGTTTAAAACAGGTATTGAATGTGTGTATTCAAAAAGACCAAAATCTCTGAAAAGTGTTTTGAAAGAGAACGAAAGTATAATGCTGCATTTTGAAGAGACTTATAATAATATACGAGATATATATGTATTGGTAAGGATTGAGAATAATATTTCTAGGATCTTTCTCAGGACAAGTTTTTTAGAAGATTTGAGGGTATTGCAGATACTTGGTGAGTGTTTCAAACAAACTCATGCAACACCGAATATTTCACCTACTTTTAAACAATTTATTACATCCTATATAAGTGAACCTTGCATTACAGCTCTAGTTACTCTTAGAGACAGCATTTCGCACTTGACTGGCGTTCCCGTTTGTTCTATTGAGTTCATAGATGAAGTCGAGTATCTTTTACAAAAGATTCAAGTTAGATGTGATTCATTTATATATAATTACGTAGCCGAAATTAAAATAAAGATCCTAAATATTATAAAATCAAACAATTTTGAAAATATTGAATTACCATGCTGTTGTAATTTGAAATTGAAACCAAATATTTATAATCTGTTCAAAGATACACAATTTAGGAAGCCAAGCAGATTCCATCCAGAATTAGAACCGTATGAAATTATTGCTATAAACGAACAAATTCAAACGTTTGAGTTAATTCAATTTGATAAATGTTTAAGAAAATTACATGATGCTCTTGAATACAATCACGAGTACAGAATCATTGAAATGTTGCTAATGTTAATCTTGAATCATCTGAATGAAGACCAAAAAAGATTAAACACTAATCGAAAGTGGTACATGGAGAAATATCCGACATTGACTGGACAACAACTTAGGAATCATCTTGCTCATGGAGATCCAATTGTTGAGTTATTGGGTCTCAATGAAGAAATAGCGGTCAGGGACACTGCAAAGTTACTTACTGAAGAATTACATATGGATGTTAATGCCAAACGGGGGAATATCCAGAAAATCACTGAACGAATAGCAGTTAAAAGGATGGAAGAAATTGATAGTAGTAAATTAATCAGCTTGGAAAAATATTGCAAAGTGTTTGGATGTATCATGGAAGGTAACTTGAATAAACTCAAACGCCATATTCAAAAGATTGATTCTGCATGGATAAATTGGCGTGATTCAAATGGACGAAATGCTTTGCAATGTGCCGCACAGAACAAAAATGATGATGTGGCAGTATTCGATTTTATTTATGATAAAGAAAAGAACACGGTTAATGTTAAACCAAGCCAAGAAACCCGTGATACGCCAATATTTCTGGCCGTACTTGTGAAAAATTATAAAATAGCTAAGCACATCGCTGAGAAACATATTCTGGCACTACTTAAACGAGATAAAAATGAGCTAGGCTTAGATCATCTGGAAAGATGTGTTGCTTCAACTTTGATGTTAAAGACAATAGCACTAGATGATGTATGGATCCTCTGCTATTATGCAATATGTTGCAATAACGCTGTCCAACTGCAATCGATATTAGATTTGTACTATTACAAAACACTGGATAACATTTGGAAAGCCAATACTTCATTTCTTCACATAGCTTGTGCTTATGGAGCTACTGAAGTGGTCAAATATCTCATCAACACAGGTTGCAATTTAAATTGTGGTCAATCAGGTCCACATTGTGAAACAAATCTATGATACTTTTCCACATTTGATGAACACATGTAACAAGAATGGCCAATCACCAGTTGTTCTTGCATTTGAATTGCAATCTGTGGCTGTGCTTAATTTAATCGGACATTTGGTAAAGTGATTTCAACTATTCTTGAAGGTGAGAAATGATTGTCTGATACGAATGGAGGGTTTTAAACAGTTTGTGTCTTATATGTTGAAAGAGACAAATTGTGCATTCAGTTCTTATTATGTTAAAAAAACGTTTCTTAGTAATACATTGAATGTTATGGAGAAATATCCTAATAAGAAAATGGTCCAATATTGGGCAAGGTATAACCAGTTACTGCATTACAATTTAACATATTATTAGTTCTAATAATTTTAGTAAATTGTCCAGAATATATTTGAAAGATGTTGATATTTCTGAGATTCAAGTGGAAAAATTTCACACTGTGTTTATGAACACAATTCATGAATTTTCCACTGATGAGTTCATCCAAGTTGAATGTATTACTTTGTTCTTAAAGATTTTCTTCTACAGTGACAGATTGGAAAATTATAAGTCCCATTTGATAGATGCTTTTAATTCTGTGTTAGAACAAGTGAGTATACATAGGTTAAAAAAACTACTGTTTGATTTTGAATTTAATTGCTTTTAGATTGTTCTATATCCTCAAGTAGTGCATATTTTAGAAAACTTTCACAAACCACAACTACCTCAATGGAAATGTGAGTTATTATCAAGCCATGCATTATCTGTGATTGACGTACATGTTGATGTTTCTGCTGTTCAACTTTATGCACTGTATGAATTAGCTTTACTCTGAGAACAACAATAACAATCAAATAATGTTTTAGACATTTAATTTATTTTTGTGTGAATAACTGGATGGTACCAGATGCTAATATGATCACCCTACAAGCTCGATTACAGATTGTTTTATCTGCATTTGGCGATAATTCTATTGTATTAGAAATATGTGCGACGTTGTTCGTAAAATATTTTCTCGAAAATCTTGAAATTGTAAGTATTTAAATCAGAGAAATTAGGTGGTATTAGTCAAAAGATTCTACAGGTACCTGAAGATGTTGATAAAATAGGAAGCACATTAGAATCCGAATTCATTGGATGGGAAATTTCAGACTTTATGAAGAAGAAACTTAAGTCTAAAATAGAAAAAAACCTAAATGATTACTGAAAAGATGATGGAAAGTTTATAAAATGTAAGTATTTTTTAACAATGATACAGAATATTATTGATTTTTGGTGATTACATATATATTTCAAATAATTCAAACAACTAAATAATGCCACAACCAAATATTACCCTGCATAGTAGTATACCCTGTACATATTTAGTTATCATAATTGTCCAGCTCAGAATCGCTGTAATCGTTATTTCGACAAAGCAATCGCTTCTTAATTTGATCCTTGAAGTCATTTTTTACGGTGTTTTTGATGCCCCATTTTGACAAAAGCTCTAGTATTATTTTATCAATAACCTGCAGCTGTTTACTTTTGTTTTCTGTGTTTTGTATTTTGATTAAATGTTCCGAAGTTATATAAATCGTAATAAAAACTTTCGCACATAACCAAATTGTAGCTGTATCAGTTTTCTTTGATAAAATTTGTTCTATTGTTTGCTGAACTGAATTAGATGTCTTAGGACCATATACCAAACATAATAACTTGCTAAAATAAAGATAATTAGTAATAATCTTTAGTTTCATACCAAAATAAATATATACCTTTTTGGAATTTTACCCCAAAAATTTTCTTTTATGTCACCTTGACCATTACCGGATTTTAATAAAAGAAGTATGACGTCAGAAATATGTTCTTGGAACTCTTTTAATTCTTGGATTTGCATATTAATCAACAGTGATTTTATTATTTTCTCAATGATGTTCCCTTGTTCAGTTGTATTTTGCTCCCTTCGAATTTCCTCAAAATGTTCTTTGGTTATATAGAGCGAAACAAAAACTTCTGCACATAAATTAAGCATGTCCTTTTTTTCAGATAGGATCACTGGTATTGTTTCCCGAACTAAGTCAGATATATTTGGACCATATTTATGACATCGGTGAAGTAATTTGCTAAAATAAATATAATTATTACTAATTTCTCAATATATTTACAGTTAGTATAAGTTACAGTGCGTAAATTGGAGAGTTAAGATTACGCGAATCTTCGGGATTATCATTCAAAAAATATTGCATTACGTCGTATGCATGACTCTGCAATAGTTTATATCCACTTAGTCCAATACCAAATTTAAAGACTTTAAATAATTCAAGAAGAGTGTCAAAGATATATGACACCACGGGTTTATTATGAACCTGAAAGCAATGACTTTTTAAAAAACAAATCATTAATTCGCAATACTATTAGAAGGTAGTTTTTGTATAACGACGCTGGTCTCTAGTGAGGAACAAAAAATTTATATATAAGAAACATTTGGCGTAATCAAAAAACGAATGCAAACAAATCCAAAGTAAGTGAATAGCAAAGTTGCAAACAATGTGACTGCATTTTGTTGTTACCAAGAGTTAAGCCAAGTTAATTATAGCGAATACTTACGACTTCTGATATAGATGTAAATGCTTCTTTAATCATAATTTTACACGTTTCATACTTGTTGAAGGTTTGCACTAATATTCCAAGGCATTCCACAATAATAGGGTTTTCCTCAGATTTCGAAACAATTAAATTCTTCACCATACCAAATATTTTCAAAGCATCGTCTTCGTTTTCCCCTGAACTTCTTTTAAAATATAGTCGATTTATGAATCTCCTACAACAGTAATCAATCAGTAAATTTTCATTTAATTTGTCAAGTATTCATACATTGTAAAATACAAAACAATATTGTCTTCGCTATGATCCTTAATTGCATTTAAGGATTGTGTTAATGCACATCTGGTTGCAGCCCACTCATAATACACTGCTTTATAAAAAACAGCTTTTAACGGCTCAGAACGTAAGCGATAATCACGTATAATCTGGAATAATATAGTTATTTATCGGTTATTGTTACAAAAATTTATACAAAACCCTCACAAGCCTAAATGTTGTTTCAATTACTTCATCATTTCCTTGTTGAAATGCAATATCTATAGGAGTTTCTTTATTGTCATCACATACCATCGTTAAATGTGGGAACTTTTCATAAATTGTTTGAATCATTTCTGGAGTGTTGCTGTCCATCGCTAGGTGTAAACTGTTTTTGCCATCTGTAAATCGACTTGTAGACAAGATTTCCAATTGATTTTGTAAAAACGTGTTTAATTGAATAACATCGCCGTTTGCGATAATCTCAGATAAAAGAGAGGGTCCTTCTTGGGTGTTCTTAGTTTCGTTATCAAAACCATCAATCCGCGAATTAGAACTTGTATTATCTTTGTGTCGTGTCAACAATTCTACTAACATATCAACAGGATCAACATTACTCTTCGATTGTCTTTTCGTTTGAATTGGTTGCACGTTTAATTGCTGTTTAAACTCTTCTAGTATATATTCCATCTTATTATCAGCAACATTAAAATTTACTGATTTTAATTTAACACCAATTTCATTAATCATCTTGGATTGATACTTGTGTTCTTCGTCACAAGTAAAGATAGTTATGAATAATTTTATGTATTCATTAATAATTGGTTTTTCCTTAAGATAGTTAATCAATCCATGCATTACTAAATCAATCAATTTTACCACAATTTTATTATTTTTATAAACAAATTTTTCTGAGATATACCTTGTTGTCAATGAACTAAAATTGAAAATTAATTGATATAAAGGAATGTTATAAGAAATAAACTACACTACATACATTGCCCAAAATTGTACTACATTCTCAGAATTATTTTCCAGCGCTTGTACTGCCTTCTTCAAAATGCAGTCGAGTTTTGGCCACTCGCGCAAAGTTTTAAAGGCAGCTTTGAAATTTTCAGGTCGTGTGGAGACATTACTTATGATCTAAAATAACCAATTTTAGTTAAATGTAAATCCTGAAGGGCATTATTAGCATAAAATTGTTCCAAAGTGTTTGCCACATTTTAAATCAAAATAAAGTGTAATAATAATGGATTTTGCATAAACTACCATTACCAAGGAGGTCGTAACAATATAATTTACTTTCAAAATAAAATCTACGCGGAAAATGATGTATAAAAAATATGTATGTACACTTATCAAAACTTACCAAATCTATTACTTTCTCAAGGTAAATTCTAATACGAAGAGGGAAGTCTTCTCCTCCTTCTTCATCATAATAATTATATGGATTTAATAAATACGGAGCCCTTATGTCATCCATATTCTTTGTCACGTCCTTGTCCGTTTTCATAATAGCAAGATGGAAGCATTTTGGGTTTTTCTTGAAACAGTATACAACAAGTAAATTCTTTTCGTCCACACATACTTTCACATTATTAATATCCGTGGAAGCAATAATTTTCCACACCTCAGGTTGTTCTGCATCATACTGCTCACCGAGTAATGTTTGAATGCATTTTTCCGCTTTATTGGTAGTATCAGTGATAAGTTCCATTTGCTGAATATCTGTGTCTTCCAATGGATGACTCAAAAAAGGAGAAGCTGTTTGATCGCTGTTAACACCATTTAAATTTATGCCAATTCTGTTTAAATATTCCATCACATTTGAAGCATTGTGTTTTGTAGCAATATCAAAATAAGAATTACCACATCTATCTTGATGAGTATCAAGCAATTCGTAATAAAATATATTTGTTATTATTTCGAATGGCAATGTGTTATCACAACAAATTCCATAATAACATAAATCCCACCAATTACTTTTTGGGATTTCACTTGGTATCAATTTCGTCGATACTAGTGCCATTAGTTGTTCAATATTATTAATATCAAATTTTTTTAGTTCAAATGCTGTTTCTGTAGAAGTATTCTGTACACATCCATTTTCTAGCAAAAAACTACAAATTTTAATTTCAAAAATACGCTTAATAATATTATAGTTGCCGATAACTGAAGCAATTTCATCAATTGAAAATCCTATTTCATAATTTTCGAATAATAATTTGGGGTTTCTCTCAAATATAAATTCAAATACTTTCAAATTATCATCAGTTACATTTTGTGCAGCTAATTGTAGCTCATTATATTCTGTATAATTCTTTGAATTTATCCAATCTTGGTCCAGTTCGTCAGTTATTTCCATTACTTCATGCAACTTGCCTTGAATTATAATTTTAGACAACTTATTCCATTCCTGCATCTTTTCAATTATCATGTTAGTTCTGTTCCTTCTTTCATCAATAGACAATATTTTAGCTTCCTCTCTATAGTTGTCGTTGGCATTTGGTTCAATTAAAAGTTCTGCAGTCTTCCTGACTGCTTCTTCTTCATTAATATTCAACAATTCTACTATCGCATCACCATGAGCCAGATGATTTCTCAATGATCTTCCGGTAAGAAATTGATGTTCGTCTTTATACCAATTATAATTGGGCGTTAAGTTGTTTTGTACTTCACTTATATAATTCAATGCTATTAAAAGCAACATTTCAATTTCTTTCATATTATTAGTTTTCAAACTTGCTTTCAGCATATCAATGCAATTCTCATAACTTGTTTGACTTTTTCTTTTTCCTTTTTTTCCATATTTTTCACAAATATCTTCCAACTCCCAAAGTTGAGTGTTTAACTCTTTTTCACTTGGTTCAGGTTCCATCTCCCAGATAGGTTGTACGAAATCATATAAATACGAAACAATTTGGCGCTTTAATGTACTCAAATCAATTTTAACATGTTGTTTGGTAAACCAAAACGGCAGTTCCAACGTATCCAAATCAATATCATTTAGCTTCTTTAACTGATCACATATTGAATCAACAATTCCGCCTCTGTACCCGTTCACGCCCCAATTGAATAAAATGCTTCGCAGGTTCTTTAGAATACTGCGTACTAAACCTTCAATTTCTTTTATTTCAGGGACACTGATTAAATGGCAAATTTTATCTCTTAGTTTACTGGTTCTATCCAGAAAATAGGTAGTTAATTCTGTTCCTACTTGTTCAACTGATTTGTTCAGTTTTGTTAACCAATCAACAATAGCTTTATTTCCAACATTTTCTTTAGTAATTCGCTCTCTTAAATCAGATGAAAAATTTGCAGATCCTACGGTGTTTTTGAAACCTTCACCAACCACTTGTAAAATCCTTAAACCACTAAGTGTTCCAGCATCCTTCGTAAATAAATATTTGGACATCCTTTCGAGAATGTAAATAGTTCGAATAATATAATAATTCTGATCTAAATGTTTCAAAACATTTTCATTGTTTGGATTGCATTCATTTTCTCCTGATGCAATATTGTCAATGAAACTTTTCATCAACCCAATATATTGCATTAAATTTGATTTTGATATATATGTTAATTGTAACATATGCATTTTTTCATTTGATGTAAAGTATTTTATGTATTGTTGCATATAAATCACTAATTCACCCCATGGAAATTCATCTTTATACGTTTTTTGGAAATCATTTATATAAAATATAACTTCTTTAAGGCGAAACAATAAAATATTATCTGTTGGACGTTTCGAATATTCCAAAATTTTGTTTATCTGTTCCATAAAATACGGTAGTGATTCAGGAGGTTTGAGGTTGAATAAAATATCTTTTAATAATTTAGTTATTTTGCCACTCATTTCATCAATTTCGTTTTGAAGTTTTGGGTCTTGTGCTTTTGTTTTTGGTTGTGTTTGGTGTTTTTTCAATGCATTTGAAACTAATTTCACTTTTAAATCATGATCATATTTATTCAAAATTGTTTTAATTTCATCTTTCTTAATATCGGATTTAGTCTCGATAGAACTATTAATTGCGGTTTGTATTGCAGTAATTAATTCATCGATTTTTTCCTTAAATTAATATTTTTAATTTTAATTATGATTAAATAACGAGTTTAATTTAAAACATACCTCATCCATTGTTTCGTAGTTAATATGTTAAATGCTGCTAACTATGAACTTCATTCGCGTGACTTCACTTACAACTGAACTTGGAAATGTAGCAAATTGCAGTTGTTTTATAATATGGTGTAATCAGGAGGCGTTATATGCCACATCCGTTCCCGCCGGGGCTATATAAGGAGAGCTTTGAATCAAATCTAGCGGCTGAGCTGGACACAGAACAGATATTTTTGATAAACAAAACCGCAAACTGCGAATGGCACCTATCTTAATATTTATAGAAGTGCTTAGTGTGTTTATTTATAAGCGTAATAAGATAAGGATTTTTATTTTTACAGGTGTCTATGATCTAAAATGATTTCACACTTTCATTTCTTAGAAACCTGTATTTTTTGGGTTTTATCTTTTTTATTGTGCTGCAGTGCAAATGCAATACGTGTGTAACTATTTCACTTTCTGAGTTAAATGATAATAACATGGAAATTTGGGCTATCTGTCAACAATGAACATTTGGTTATGGTTTGAATTTAAAATAACGGATTTCGGTGTAGTTTTGGTTTCGCCATTCAGCTGAACTAAGTAAAAAACGAGATTAATTGTTATTGCCAACATCTGTGCTTGTCTTTAATTCTCTGTTACCATACCACAATTCCTTATTTTTCTAATGTTTACTACCTCTATTACACTTATTGTAAAATTTTGAAATAGATATTTGATTGAATGTAATTGAATTGCTAAGGCATGAATATTGATAAGGATCAGTGCATTAAAGTTGTACGTTTTAAATTTATAATTGGATATTGAAGTGTTGGTTTCGATTCAGATTTCGGTCGAAATGGAAATCAAGGCCAAATTTCGATTTGGATGAAATCAAGATTAATTTTGTTATCGCATATATGAGAAATTATCTTGCTGTTTTAAGTTAAACGACGTTTTAAAACAATATTCAAGTGATGAAATTCCAGAGAATCACTCACAATTTAGTTTATTTGTGTTAACGCTTAGGTACATTCTCATGTACAGTGTAAATAAATCAATTTTAAAGAATTATAATGATAATAATGTTGGCAAATAATTGAGGGTTCTTATCTTGTTTTCAAATCAAGGTGCTATTGAAAAGATGATTTCTATTTGGGAAACAGAAATTTGATTAAAACTTATATACAATACTACAACTACAATACAATAAATTTTGTTACTTAGTATTTTAAGATTATTTGCCAAATATAAAATTTAATGAATATTTTTTGTGTCAGTTTTAACAGTTGTAGTGATCCAGCTCTCAGGGATGAAATAATGGAGCTTAGTCTTTAACCACTCCCATATGAATTTTAGTTTCGGTGGCTCATCTTGCACTTGAACTCGTCGCTTAGCAATATACGAGTACTGTTGCATATCACTTAAACTAATTTCATCGTTTGAGTTCTCGGTATTATCCGATTTTGTTTCGCCCCCGCGTGAATTTGAATCTATCACCGACAAACTGTTTTTGTCATTAAGTACCTCCCCTTGAGCTGTAAAATCGGTATACGCTATTTGACATAATTCATTTTTTATATCTTCCATCGGAATAAGTTGATTTTTTTCGTTTAATGTGATATCATTGTCATATTCAATCGGTAGTTGTGCGGTATTTTTTGTATCTTGCCCTACGTTCATAGCATTTTCTGCAGTTTCTGGGTTTTCTGATTTCTGCTTTTTTGGCATTATTTTTACAGCAGATGGAATTGGTGTTTGAAATATTTTGGTGTGTACGTATTGCATATTCTTAATCTGTTCGTTGTGTCTGCCCTGTTTGAATATTTTGTGTAGTTTATTAATTGTTTTTCCCGAATGTGACAAATTAATCAGGCGTTTGTAGGTTTTCAGAATCTGATTTGAATTGACATGTGTGATATTCTGTGCCTTCGCCAATTTGGCTGCTTCGGTAATTTGACGTTTCTCTTCGATGTATTCTTTTTTTAGTGACTCGTAGCGATCCACTATGCTGCTCTCCAATGAATCTTTTCTCTTCGCACTAAAAGCAATGCATAATTTGGTTATAATAATTAACAGGCTCTGTACGTCTTAATGAGTATGTATGATAGTAGGTTCTTACTTCTGAATTAAAACATTTAAATAATCTTCATAAGCATCATTAATTGGACATATAGAATTGTTACATAGAAAGAATGAAAAGGTTGCTAATGCCGTGGTAATTTCTTTGTGTTCGTTCATGTACTCTGCTTTACGCTTTTCCAACAAACAGATTTGATTACGTTGCGCTTTAATTACGTCCTCTTGAGTGGCAAGCTTCCACACTACCGTTTCATTTTTAATCTTTGTCTCGACAGTTGTTGTTTCATAATAGACATGCATGTGCAATGAGTAATGGCATCCACATTCCTTGCAGTTGTTGCCATTCATTGCTGCACATCCCATCAATATTGGATCACCTATTATGTCCGCTGAAACTCCTTCTAAATAACAGGGATTGTGGCATCTTTCCTTGTAATGTTTTTTTTTAATGTCTCCCACCTTAAAAAATAATATTTATTGCATATACTCGAAGCTCTATGGGGGATTTTTTTTTTGTAAGTCATATGAGCTCCTACCATATAGATCTCTGAACATTTGAGTGCAGTACAAACTGTTACAGCTTGTTCTAGGTTCTTGACATCCAAACTTACAAAGGGTATGTACAATTTTTGTTTGAGTTCTTCTGCTGTAATGTTTTCCTTTTTAATCTTTTCAATATGAACCTGGAGTGCGTGGACGTTGTCTTCCGTTAGATCGCTAAGATCGGCCAATGGTTTGGCCAATTCTAAGATCAATTGACGCGCACAGTTAACCGAAACAGTCTGTTGAACATCATGCGGTGGCAACGATGGATGTTTTTCATCTCCCACGATATACTTTATAAGGTCCCAGGTCGAATTGTATGAGACTTCCCAACTTTTCTCATGTTGTTCCGGGTTCAGCATTTGAAGACCCTGCTGTCTTGCAATAAGATATTTAAATCCTTCATTCTCAAAGAAAAAACAGTTTCTATGATCAGTTGTTTTGTAGCGCAGTGGTATAGTCACACCTTCCTTTTTGGCTATTTCGTCTAAAAGCTTTTTCAAACAGTTAATCGTTTCCGGTGCACGATAATCAGTACTGCGCGTGCGTGTAAAGAGAAATATGATATTGTTGGCAGCAGATCGATTTAATCGTGATAAGAGCTCAGCGAGACAATATCTAAATACGGCTGTAATCGCTGTTACATCTGGCTTCATCAGAAAGCAAATAGCGTGCAGATTTGACAACTGTCCAATATAATCAAGAATATTCTGGAAATTGTCACGATCCTTAATAATTGCACCTTGTGTATCGTTTATTCCGGGTGTGTCTATGATACGGATCAGTTTTGTTTCAAAAGGAAAAAACATAAGACTTAGTACCTGTAAAATATATTATAATAGAACATTATTTTTTTATGACTTGTATAATAATACGTTGAGTCGACGATCTTCCCAATTGATCGTTCTCATTATCGTCTTTTTTGAAATGCACTTCCTGTGTATCACCATCCTCCGTAGTGATACTAAACTTTGCCGGAATGATACATGTCAGCTCGGGATGGTTTATTGCATCTTTTAGAGATGGAAAATGTAAATAATTGACGAATGAATTGATGAATGTTGACTTTCCAGTGCTTGTTTCTCCAAGAAGCAGAATATTTATGTATTTCTGTAATAGTTAGTTCCAATAATTTATTTAAGCGCGCAAAAGTGCCACTTTTTGTTTGGATTTTCTGACCCAAAAAATGGTACTTTAGTCACGTACAGCCTTTTTTAGTGACGTAGAGAACTTGCGCCTACAGATTTGTCCGCAGTACAAGGCCACCTAGGACACCGCGCGCCGAAAATCAAACCCACTCCCCTTATTAATAACTTGCATTTTCTAGTAATGTCCGAGCAAATTATGAAAATTTAAAATACAAAAGTTCAAATACAGAAACGTAAAGTGGAAATAAAGTGAAAGTAGAAAAAATAACGTAAGCATCACGTTGCCAACCGTTTTTAAACGTCGGTAATTAATACTATATATAATAGTATACAGTGGAATCCCGGTAATCCGACAATTACTTAGCAGGGCAGTGTCGGATGGGCAAAGTTGTTGGATTATGGAAAAGTGCCTAAGACCCCTTACAGTCCGGAATTTTTTACAAAAAAATACCTTGTAATCCGACAAATTACAAATCCTAAAGTACAAACATATAGCGTATAACTATGTCGGATTACAAGATGTGCCGGATCAAGCCGGGTCCCGATTACCGGGATTCCACTGTATTAAGTAACAAGTGGCTAAACGAGGGCATTACAGACGAGATTTGATTGAGCGAGCAGTCAATCAATTGAGTCATTAACA